AATAACTCGAATACGTATTATTCGATTCTGATTAATTTTGGGGTGTGGACAGAATATAGGGAAATTATTTAGTTTTCATCAGTTACAATCGTAGGTTATACAAGATGAGAAAGAATGTCGTGCATTTTTGTTATACAGAATGGCGAAAAATTGATGATCTGAATACAATTTTAAATTTTATTTTATTGTTAAGGTATTTGCTATATGTGTTCATATTAAACCTTAAAAAAATGTATTGTACCGAGAAAACTATTATGGACGAAAACCCATATTCTTTTTCCAGGTCACTTATGGGAGTAACTAGAACATGTATTAATTTTCTACACCATTGCGGTTTCCAACAAACCATAACATTTTTTTAATGCGGTTTTCTATTCGACTTTTACTCGGTCAATTCGATACTGTGTTTTAATTAGTCCTACTGTAATTAAATATACCTACACTCAGTATAAATTGCTAGGTACCACTGTTCGACCCAATTAAATTGATATCATTACATACTTTTACAGATATGCCACTCGCTCGAATGCAGGAAATTATTCTAATAACAGGTGGGACAATATGACAAAAATCTAGCCAGTCGTGGGCCCGAATGGTGGTTACGAAATAACAGTTGTGCCTGGTTTAAGGCAATTTAAATTATTGGTTGTTTATTTTGTAATGGAATATGGTGAACGTTGGGCATTTTTCAGAATATAAAGCGTTTGGTCTTATCTAAATGGCTCCATTGCACACCAGGTCGGTTGGTTAATACGTGTAGGTACTCTTTCGGAGTAGCATAGGGAAATAGCAAAGCAGGAAATCGACATTTCTGAAGGCGTAAGTGGACACGAGTCGCGAATGTTTTGTTAAAGTCGTGAAAACTATCGGCAGTATCAAAATATTTCTCAGGTTTTATCAACACACCAAATTTCATTAAAATCGGTTCAACAGTTTTTGCAAAATAATTTTTGAAAAAAAACGGAATATGATTATAGATTATCAATTGAACTCTAACTGTTCAATATGTTAGGATCATCATCGAGGCTATTAAATAGATCATTAATAAAAATAACAAACAAGAGTGGCCTCAGAACTGGTCCTTAGGGAACTACCCCTGAAGAAGAGAAAAGCTTCATATTGCTGATGACAGTACTTTCCAAAAAGTGCATTTAACTCTTTTCATGATGGATTTCCAAAGGTGGTTCATTCATATCTTAGGAAACAAGGATTTTTCCAGCAAAATTTCTTCATGGATGTAAATTCCAGTAAAGTATATACTGAGACATCTTGCCATTTTCTGTATTGGAAATTTTGGTTAATTTTACCTTCAAATTTTATTTCGATTGGTAAAAAGTGAAGTTACATTTGTAAAACATATGTAAAAAATGTAAATATATGTGCACAATTATGTAAAATAGTAAATGTCGGCTTATGTAAGACTATAACAATTAAATCCGAGCAAGTTCTACGTAAATAAATCGTAATATTCCTTAACTACACGTAATTCGACGGCGGTATCTGGCCGAACAAAGGGAAAATTAATTTGTACGGCGAAACAGATGGCGCTGATAAGAGGTTATCAGTTCGCGGTGTCGTAAATGAACTTTCTATTTAACATCGGACGGGTTTGCGGGAACAAAATGAGCTGGTAATATGTAACAAATACGACGACTTTTGAGAGATAACGATGTGCCGCTGAGCATAATTAAAAATGGCGGCGTTCACTTAGTGAGAAAGTCGAACGGAGGAAGGTGTTAGAAAACGCTGAGGCATATCGCCGACGAAGAACAATTCCATTAATCGGGGCCTCGGACGGTGATGGCTTATGGAAATTTTTCATCACAATTACTGACATTTTAAAGTACATATATTAAAAATAAGATAAAAAATCAAACGTTTACGTCTAGATCCGACTTAATAAACATATACATAGGCATATTAATTTATTCATACATTCAGGCTTCCCAAATCCGGTCCTGTCGTGGTTAATTTAACAGAGCGTCTGCATAAAACTGCATAATAAAGAGCAACAAAGGCTCATAGCGATCGAACGCGCGCCGCAATGTTATCAATGAATGTTTATGATCCGGTTGGTACAACTGTTCTAGACCGTGCTCTCTCACAAGAACACAATAATGGACTGATCTATATTTTCACTTCCTTACTCGGGACCGGTTGGTCGAAGTCGCTTCCGAAGCAATAGATGTCCTTTTTCGTACAGGAGTCTCGATAATTTTTTAAGGACACATGATGCGTAACTATCAAATATAGTCCCCATATCACTCATTGCGTTCTAGTGATACATGCAAGTGCCAACCTTTGCGAGTGCCTTCTTTATAACGAGTCCGACAAACTTTTCCTTTTCGAAAATTTTCGGCTACAATGCGCCGCGCGCGCCGTTATTCCATGGCTAGAAATTGGCCTCAATGATTTGGGATCGAGGGGGATTATCCCTCTTTATCCTGCCTCATCTCGTGTAGGCCTGGACAGCCTTCGTAGGTGGGCCCCATCCGTCGTCTACCCCGACCGCAAATGCGGCCGGTGTAGGCGCTTTGTGGGACCTCCTTTTGTCCTGGCTGGGCCCCGCCGGCTAGAGCCCTTTCTTCTGGCGCTCTTCTTGCTTCGCCGGCTCGTCTGTGTAAACCCCGGGGGTAGTGTCATGTTGAACACAATGCGATGCATGCAATTTTCTTTTTTATCGGAATGAGAGGATGCGATGACAAAACGTCTGGTAATAATAACGCAGTTTATAAATGTTTAATTCAAAAATCATAAATAAACTTCTTCTGTTTATAACTTTTGATCTAATCAATATTTTTTGACGCTCGAGGGCTAGTTTTGCAGGTCTTTTGAAGACGAAAAAAAAAGTTATTTACTGTTAAAAAAAGTTATAAGCGAAAAACGTGAATTTACGTAAAAATTATACAATTAACTACCCTGTAAACAATCTTCCACCCATTTTTATGACTGTGGAAACTAATATGTTATTGGACATGATATTTAGCATTTATAGTGATACATTCAGCTTGCCGAAACAAAAAGTCGCGAAATGGTCATTCCCAAGCTCTTTTTCTTGGCCTAAGAACACGTCGCGTCGTGACGAAGTATTTACTACACTATTTCTTTAATTTATAGGAGCGAGCATTAAGCGAGATTAATTAAATGAAGAAAAACTGAAGAAAAATTGTAGATACTAATTAATATTTGTAATTTTTAATATAATTCCTTAGTGGTAGACTACATCCATTCCATTGTCATTTCTCTTTAAATATTGTAATATATTACGTCTAGCCAGTATTTTCCACTAATATGTTTATGTATATTAAGCCACGTTAAAGACATATGCAATGCAATTTTGGGATATTCACAACAATGTGGCAGCAAATGTATAATTGAAAATTTTAGGATACAAAATGTAAAATTAACAAATGACAAAACACTAAGTCATTTAGAATGTATGCAAGTTTTTCTAATAAATTAAATTTTATTAACCACGCCAATATTACAAAGTGACATTAAACATTGATTTTATTTAAAAAGCTACTACTAAATAATTCGATTATCCCCAGCATTTATGGTTCAACAATTATTCATTATTCATTTTACTTTCATTCGTTGGCGATTTCTTTCATTTTTTCTGTTCTAAGAATCTGGTCTTGCAGATATACAAACAAATCTACATTTTGCCTTCAAGAACAATATTAGCTAATTTGAACCGCAGACCAAACAGCATAATCTGATTTAAGTAATTAGTTTCATATTAAACACATTAACCTCTTTACAAATTGGCAAAACCATTTGTATTAATTTTTATTCCTATAGAGAGTATTTTTTAACCTCTTTTTAGCTTTTAGAAAACTTTAACAACTTGTGTGATGACAACTAAACTTTATATCTGAAAACATCGATGGAAAGAAGTAAAAAATAACTTACGTATTTAATTATCACTAGAATTCTTTATTAAAAATTTTGATATATTAAACAAATAATGAAAATTAGAAATTCTAGCTTTCTCATTTAAATATTTTGTAGCATTAAATTATTATATTAAATTCAATTAGAGACTCTAAAGAAACCTTTTGGAATTGGAAATGGTTTACATTAAAACACACACTGTTAAAGATTTTGTATTAAAACATTAAACATGCTGTATCTAGCTAAACATTTTTCTGGTGGTTAAACTGTTTGGAACAAATAAACACTAAACGCGAAGATTTAGATATCAATTTTTTAAGAATTGGGAGTTGGGTCAAGGTTAGAACTGTATACAAGTAAAACAGTGGAAGAATTTCATTTCGACATGACGTTGACTAAAAAAGAATAATTTTATGTTAAGCCACTTGACTATTTTCAAGTACAACGGAGAATGAGAAATAAAAGTTTTAAAGTGACATTAAAACAAGTACATAGGGAGATGACCGGTAGGTTAACAGACTAGGATGATTTACACTGTCTGTCACACATCTTGAGAAGACAACCCAAAACTCTGCCTTACGTTCACTTTCATTCTAGAGCCCGACCCAGACCCGTAAATTATATAACCCAGTAATTTCGCGTCGTAATACCTGTTCCCTCAACAGTTCTTGCTAATAACTTAAATATAGACACTCTTTTATCTCGAGGTGCTAATAAGTACACAATTGGTTTTTCGGTGCATACTCTCGACGATTATAAACGTATTTGCACGGTTGTGCAACTGGTAAATGATAAAAATATTTAAATAACGAGATAATCGAATTGCGTGAACGAAATATATACCGTTACGATCCTTATGCTGAAAAATTGTTACAGTGAATAATTTTTCAATATTATTTTGTTTTTAGTGGCATCATTTTTAATAACTAATCGAATATTTTGAAATGTTTATGAATTAAATGTTGAAATCTGATATCCAGGATTATCTACATTGTCGTGACTAATACGATTTACACTGCTTTTTCGAGCAATACAATCTTCTATTAGTATTTTCTTCCAACTATTATTATTCAACATGGTCATTAAAATTTTTTTTTTTTCAGGGCTATTCTTGTGTTGATCTCCTAAACGCTGGCATGCGTAATTCTGGGGTATACTATTTGCAGATCCGAGGGACCACATACTGGTTTTTGAAAGTATTTTGTGAACAGGATATAGCTGATGGAGGATGGACGGTGAGTAACCTATTTTATTTTAATTTTCAAAATGAAACTGTACCCATATCTCAAATTTTCCAAGCTTTAACTAAATATTTACATGACAAATACTATAAATACTATAACTGGTTTTTATACTGGAAGGCAAAGTATATTTAATTTAACAAAACATAAACTATACAGGGTGATTCACAAGTGGTGACCAAAAATGAAACCTCGTATTCTTTGATGAATTTTAAGGGGAGTTTTTCCTATAAAGTTTTTATCTAGGACGCTTCATTAAAAAGATACAGGCTTTAAACTTTTCTTTTAATTTGTTTAAATAATTTAAAAACTGGTAACTGAAATAATTTTAAATTGGGCACATGTATTTATGAGGGCTTTTCCTAAAATTTACATGCTCCAGTGGGTAAGGAGATACAGTGTATCGTTGGCATATTTTTCTAAATAAAATAGTACGCCACTGCTTTACGGTAACAACCATGATAATTTCGAATTTGTCTTTCAATTTTCTACAAATTACTACTCCTTATGTTTTTCGAGAAAAGCCTGATTTTCGAATAAAACTTAAAAACGAAGTTCACGAAAGAATACGAGGTTTCTTTTTGGTCACCATTTGTGAATCACCCTGTATATTGTTCATTCAATTTCATATTCCTGCTGTTGCTACTGGTTTCCTAATTACAGCTTGACACTTTGGTGCGTCAATAAGGCGTAGAGGTAGGTGTTCGCCTCTGAACCGTAGTTCATTTTAAAAATATCTCGTTCGAGCTACATCTGTCAAATCAAAAAGTCTATTAAACATCCCCTTGACTCGCGTTATGATGGAGGTCTAACAGAATGTTGTGTTAGGCTGGTATAAAAGACATATTCGAAAGCAAATTTTTAAAACGCTCCTACAGATGCCGTACTGGGCATTTTTATTACATAACGCGATTTGAACTTAAGTTCAGTGTTCAGTTCATATTCCAGCTGATAATGAACAATTTCCATGATTTACAAGGGAAAGAGAAAGCAAAATATGTTACATTTTTCACAGATAATCGTACGTGTTTGAGGGGGACTGCTACAGAAACCGTTTTAATGATATATATACATACAGAGTGATCAATTAAAACTACGGAGCTACTATATGTCGCACACCGTATATGTTGCGATTTTAAGGTTATGTTAACAAATTGGCGGAAACAGTTTGTTTAAGATATTTTTAAGTTCCTGACTTTATCGCTAGAAGACTACTTTGCTATGGTATTACAAGAAATCGTCACTTTTCCAAACAATATAATATTATAATTATAATCTCTGTACGTACACATATACAGGTACACATCTTATTAAACAAACTATTAATTAATTTCTGCAGTGATGATATTATGCTATGCAATAATAGTAAGTGCCGCAGCCGTACTACATTCGAATTATAAATTATCTTCGGCAATTATCGACACCTTAATTGAGCAGTCAATAAACAGAACGTGGTTTTATTGCCTTTAAATTTCAATGTCACTTTCTTAAGTAGTTCAGAAATGCGTTCACTATCTCTCATTACGTAATGTCGGAAGAAATGCAGATCACCATACCGCTTCCAGCTGTTGTACAACAACGGAGGAAACAAAACTTGACCGGTCATTAAGAGGCCTATGTCTAAACGTTAGACCGACGTGCGACGCGACGATTGATTTACAAAACGCCACTCGATGATACCCAAAGTCATATAGTCAATACAGGTGACTTTCTGCCATTTTTGGAGTCTTTGTAGGTCTCGGACGGTTAGTAGCATTGGCCACTAGATGTAGTTCTTTCTTGATATTTTAATTTCCATTATTTTCTAGTTTGAATTTATTTTTTGATAGTGAAATCACAAGGGGAAGACCAGGGTTAGTATAGGCCACAAAAACTAAAAAAAAAATTATTTCCAGCTCAAGAATGAGTGATTTTCTTCTTCTTCTTCTTCTTCTTGAAAAGTTATGCCATTACAATTCTCATTCTAATCTGATCCATTTTACTACACGTTTATTTCGCATAGGCCTGTTAAACTGTAAATCTGTTGAATAAAACTAGTTACGCTCGACCGCTATCTATTGATATGCAAATTTCATAACAAATTTCTACGCCAATTTGTCTATAAACTATTATGACCGCGGTGTGTTGCCTTACTTTTCTGGTGAGGTCGGTTACGTAACTCTTTGAAAAATGTAGGCAGTGTTAATTTATGAACAGGATTATCAGCAACCGCTTCATAAATTCTCAGTGAAACATAAGGTACAGATGCCTACAAGGGATAAATTCTGACGTAGGGAACATTTAAATTGGTATTTCCTTTGATTTTCAGAACTAGAAGAGATAAAGGAACAGCAGAAAAAACATTTTTCTTATGAAATTATATTAAATGTATATTTAATTGACTGTTCATATTGAAAAGTTTAGTAGTATTCTGTTGGTTGTTGATTTGTCTTAAAATTTAGAATGTTATAACCTTTTGTTCATTACAAATGCCGTTTAAGGAAAAATAATTGAAGTAATATATCAATCGTGACATACTAACAGCTGCTATTTATTGAACTCAGCGTAACTTGATTGAAACTAATTGCAATTTTATAGGTACTTATTTAATCGCAGTAGTAATACCAATTAAATAAATCTACATATTTTCGATTGCTGCACTATTTCAAGCGAAAGTTTTAATCATAACGTTTTGATAACCACCGAAATTATCTAATCTCTAGCTAATGTTACAAATTGAAAGCGATATATCTTCTGTGTATTAGTTAACAGCGACGTCAAACCGCTTGTGTCCAATTTCGTCACTCGACGCATCCAGTAAAACGAAAAAGTCGCTATAAATTTTGAATATTCATTCCGTGAAAGGTTAACGATAACATGATTCTTTCCTACGAGACAGAATAATATTAACCCGAAAATTTATCGCTGCTTTCTTAACTAATTAAAATTGTATTTTTGAGGATAATCTCTAGGAATTGCAAATAATAAAGCCAAGGACTATAAATTGATACCGAGACTTTGAAATTTCACCCTCGAGCGTTGGGCCAGATACATATCTCAATGTTTTTTATGGGTCCTTTTAATAATTTGCCAGTCATACAATTTACGATGACAAATACGTTTTGCAACGGCTTAGTCTTAGCATAATAATGATTTTCTATCAGCGCATATCGATTTTTATAGATCGTTATGGTACATCGCATAATATTAAACACAATACAATTATTTTATTATTATTATTTTCTTATTTGGAAACTTATGTTCAATTTTGACACAGACATAATATGTAAAATTATGTTTGTTAAACAGTTTTTCTAATATTCAACTAACTTTTGCGTTAAATAATGCTCAAATATTTATATAGAAATTAAGTTAGTTGTAAAATTGCCTTAAAAGTGAATTGGCAGAACAAACGATAATTTATTAATGTGTTATATAAGATACACCCTCACAAATATGTAGGTAACTAGTTAGCCGTCAAACAATTTTGGAAATTGATAAGTACGTCAACAACTCATTTTTTTATGATTGTATACGGATAGAAAATTGATATTTCAAGGAGAATGGAAAGGTATCTCACATCAAATAAATGAAATAATAGCAAGAATATTAACAATACACAATTTTCTTGTTCAATCGATATTAAAAATATTATTTAATTATTATATAGTGTGTAGTGTTTACTGTCTATAATAATGTACATAATAATGAAATTAATTTTATGTAGTGTTTTTGGTCCCATCTCTAAAACCAAGTTCAATTTAGACTACACAGAAGAATAATTTCATCAAAAAAATTGAACTTGAAATAAAGAAAACACTAATAATAATTACTATTCAGAACAGCTTCATAGTTAGGATAGTTGTTACGATATCAACTGGAACCTACGAATCTTAAAGCACAGGATCGTCTACACTTGTCTTGAAATTTCATTCTATGCTTTAGCCATGATGTGTCTCGTAATTTATACTCGAATAGCCATTGGGCGAGTCCGGTATTGGTAGACCAGTCCGCCTGATGTAGAATCGACGGCGACGCGCTGGTCGTCAAAGCAAACCTGTATTGGTCCACTAGGTCATAAATAATTTTTTCCATTATATTCTATAATTAGTTTGGTGTCGAACGCGGTTTACTTGGCTTTGCCAGTGCAGTGGAGAGCAGGGCTTGGCGTGGTATATTTATTGGTGGTATAATACGTATTATTAATTATTAGTTAATATTATTATTTGTTCATATCGAAACCAGTAAAGGGTAATAGTTATTAAAATAAATATTATATGTAATTATCTAGTAATTTAATATGGCTTTCTGGATACCATTTGAAACGGAAGATAACGAAATAACCCGGGGAAATTCCCAAATAGTCGAGTCGGTTTTTGTCGAAAGCGTCGAAACCAACTCAAGAGTTTAAAAACAAAGATTTACACGTACAAAGTCAACGTATTATTTTAAATAAATAAATGTTTAAAAATAGAAAATAGTGAACAATGTGATAAAGAAATTAGGAAACGAATTAGCGAATTAACTATTTGTAAGATATCAAAAACGACAATTTATCGCGTAATTAAAGAAGGAGACGTTACTAATCGCAGTACCTACAAATAGGAAACGGAAAAATGCAAAATTTAAGAATATTGACGATTTTACCAGAGATGTAATACGGCGCACAATTTATAATATGTATAAAGAAAATAAAGTTCCTACTTTAAACATGATTCGAGATAAATTAAGGGATTAACCTGATTATAATTATTAATTTTAGATATTTTACGACATGTTTTATTACAATGCGGTTTAAAAATAAAAAACTTGACAATCGTATAGTAATTATGGAATCACGACGTTGCACTTCGGGAAGATTATTTACAAAAAATTAGAGAATCATCTAAATAGGAATATAGCTCGGAATATAGTATATCTAGACGAGACAATGCAAAATTCTTCTGGACGCCTATGAATTCCGTAGAGTTTACGAGTTAAGTGTTTTGATGCGGTTCCAACTGACATTGTAACGACTATACTAGTAATTCTAGCAGCTAAACCATGTTAATTTCTAGGTAATTCAAAGAAGAGACGACTTCGGCAACCCTAGAGAAAACTTCAACAGGGACTGGAACGACTACAAAAATGGCTTCGGAGATCCCGCGAAAGAATTTTGGTTGGGAAACGAGAATATCTACATGCTGACGAACAACGAAGAGTACTCTCTTAGAGTTGAACTGGAAGATTTCGAGGGAAATAAAAGGCAGGTCACTCAGATTTATACCATTTAACTATCTTTTTAATTTCGGTAAAAAAAAATTGATCCGTAATAATAATAGCGTTGTGGTCAAAATAAACTATACCTGTATCTACTTTACCAGAGTTTATTATTAAACAATTACATAAAAAATAAACGAAGAAGAAAGGAAACGCAATAAATTTCGCGTTTTATGGAAAACTTAAAAATTATGTTCCTATAAACATCTCTGACCGTGTCTATATAAATAGTTCCAGCTTAACATGGCACAATATTGAGGCCATCAAACAGTATAATAAAATAATGAAGAGATAAATTTATCGTTGCCATTCCTATTACATAACAATCGTACACTTAAACAAGTCTATAAAAATGCATTATTATGGTAGGTACAGGGTCATCTATTATATTTCGCCTGTAGGGTATCTCGGTTGTTACTTCTTTAAGGATATGCTTTATATTTTTCGATATGTGCACATTTTTAAATGGGATAGGTAACGATATTCATGGAGAAATATCGAGAATGTATAAAATTATATGTATACAAATTTAAATTTTGTCACGTGATCACGAAAGCAATGTGACGTCATTTAGTGCGACCCATGCTGGTAATAGAAGGAGGTAATAGAATTTTGGGAACAGTAGGTACATTTGAAGAGAACATGCTTGACAGTAATGCATACCTTTCTATGGATAAAATTCTGGTTAAACTAGAGATAGAATTCGGGAAAAAGGCATCATGAGGTTATAAAATTGAGACGAAAAATAAATATCTGTATTGAATGTATATAAATTGTATGTGGGTACTACATTAGAAATGTATCGACATTTCGACTCCTGACAGTTTGCTAGATATGGTGGGTAAACTTCCAACGTTAAAAAATGTACCTACTAGCTCGCAAAACTACAAGTACCTACTATCACTCTTACGCAACACTCCAAACCATTCTTTAAACCGCAATTCTCGAGCTCTAAATGCATACACTCCAAGGTAAACCGGCGCCGCATCTTCACTTTCGCGTTATCTAATTTAAGTATATGGTCTTGATTTGACATGCTGCTTATACGAGGGAATAAGTCTTATTTTGCTGAAAGATCAGTACGATTAGATGAATTTAAAGGAAAATGTCTGATAGAATAATTTAGTATTAAAGTTTTCGTAGTTCCCTCGTAGAGAATTCATTAGGCCTGCAATTTCTAACTCGACCTTTAAGAAATATATCCATTTTCAAATACGTAATTAATTTGAACGAGTATCCGATATACATTATCGCGAACGTATTTCATTCAGAGAACAAAAAAAAATTAATGAATCGTGTATATCAGACAAGTGTTTCATTACTGACAGAATCGATACATCATCATAATTGCGTGGATGCAGATAAAGAGATAGCGTTGTTGATATTTTATGACAGTCAAATGAGAATAACGACCAGCTGAGATCTGAAATCGGAGCTAGGTAAAACACAATGAACTTTTGATACGTTTGGACAACACTACGGCCCGAAAAATAACAGTATTATATAATGTTTATATCTACGGGCGATATTTGAGAACAAGTCAAGTACCTACTATTATTATTTATAGGTAAAATAAATATAAATATATCTGTTAGATAATACTAGCTAATTGTAGTTGTTACGTAAGCAATACCGCTGTAATACTATAAATAACAGTTAGTTTTTCATTCTCTCAAGCAGAATAGAAGTCTCCCACAAGATTTTCTTATTTACATTGACCTCTTTCGTGTTATTACAGTTTTATATACGATTCATTTCGAAATATTTATTCTTTACATTATTTCAAGATTCGCATTCTTCAATAATTCACATTCCATGTAACGGAGGGTTTTAAAAATGAAGAAAAATATACAGGGTGATTCAGTCATAATGTCATTAATTTTAACCACGCGTAATAAAGACAACCTAACATTCGAACACAATTATCATCCTAATACATTTGTTTTTATTAACAAGTAAATAATACTTGTTAATATTTAAAATGTAAAAAAATATCTTACTCATTCATCAAGGTAAAAGGATCTGTTTATTCCTTGTCGTTTACTACGCATTAAAAACGCAGTAAAAACTAGGTTAATGACCGAATAATACAGTACATCAAGATTCACCCTGTATAGTTATAGGAATACGTTTTATATTACAATTGGTTTTCTTGTAATTGGTCTCGGAAACATTAAAATGTGTACGTATATTTTCAGGTACGCCCAGTATTCTCATTTCAAGATTTACTCGGAAGCAGAATACTACAAGCTTGAAATTGATGGATACGAAGGAAATGCTGGTGACTCCTTAAACGACCCTTGGTACGGAAGCAACAACAGTCCATTTTCAACATACAACAGGTAAAATTATTGTTATTGTTATCGTTATACTGGTGGCTACAGTAAAAGCACTCAGTTACGATAGATCTAAACATGATTATAGACGCAATGTGATCCTAATATTCAAAAACGAAATAAATGATACATGTAAAACAAAAATTAAATTAAAATTAGGTATGGGACAAATTTAGGCAATGGTCAAGTCTAGATTTGAAAGCCCGATAAAACATTGTTCCAGGCCCGGATCCAGAGACTGGTTTTGGGGGTGGCGCAAAGCACTTCATTATTATTATTATTATTATTATTATTATTATTATTATTATTATTGTTGTTATTTTTTTGATGACGTAAGGTGTAGGTTAGGAAGGGGGACTTGCATTAATATCGACTAACTGCCTGTTGTCGTTTGGAGAAATTGAAGATCTTTAAAAAATGTTGTGCTTTGGGGGTGGCGATCGCCACATCGCCACCCCCTCTGGATCCGGGCCTGCATTGTTCGGTAGTGAGTTTCCACATGTCAAGGAGGTGATGAGAAGAATTTCAAATCATTCAAAGTGACTAGATTGATTAATTGATGCGCTCATCATAGATCCTTATTTAGGTTGAGAGATTTTATGTCCCGTTCTCATTGACTTTAGGCATGTACATAGCTTAGCGATAAATCAAAACACAGTGTAAAAATTGAAAATAGGAAAAAATTGCGGTGTTTTCCAATTTGGAAGTACGTTTTTTGATTTTTTTTATTTTATATTTAAATTATATATTATTATATTATTAAAACCGATTATTTATTTGTTATTTCATTCTGTTTATTTTTTCTTTCACAGAGACAATGACAGATCGAGTCTTAATTGTGCATCCATGTTAAAAGGTGGATGGTGGTGGAAGTCATGTGGAAGGGGGCTGAATGGTTTATATTTGAATGATCCCCAAGACCTAACAGCTAGGCAAGGTAATAATAGAATAAACATAATTTTTGCATTGTTTGATTTATCAATTTTATTTCGAACTTGATTTGCATCTACAAGAGACACAAACTGTAGAGCAGCTAAAATTCCCAAAAGTCAAGATGACAAATTTTAAAAATATAAAATAAAACAACAAACTATTACTAGTACTATATATACTACTATTTAAAATTTAGGCACTTTTAGGCAAATGTTAACAATGCTTTTTTAGGAATCGTCTGGTTCCGTTGGAGAGGTTGGGACTACACATTGAAGAAATCAGTGATGATGATAAAACCAAAAGGTTTTGTTAGTGGTACTTAAATTAAGTAGAATAGAATCAGTAGCCAATTTATAATCACCGGTAAAAAATCATCTCATTTCATCGTACTTTTCCCAGATACATGAATAAATAATATTTAATTTCGAATAAATATAGTTATGAACAACAATGCGCTATTTCAGAAATAAAGACCTTTACTAACGTTAAGTTTATAATGCCTTATTAGTATATTTTTAGATCAACTCGTTTTGTATTTAGTTCATACAATGACAAAAAATATTTACCACAACAATGCTGTATCATATGATATGATACTAATTGCAAGTACTAAGTTGTCCTGAACTTTGTGAGATCAAAAAATATCAAAGGCTAGAAAATGAAGAAACGTTATGTCCATTTACTAAAATGGTGAAAAATGTAATTTATCAATAATTTATTACATTCATCGTTTGTGTTCTAAAGTTTTTGTGATTATCCCGAAACATTCTTGCTCCCCCCTTTCAATCTTTAGTTTAGTTTATACAATAAATGCAATATTTACTAATCTATATTTGTATTTCTGCACTGCCATCTGTAATTAAGACACGAATTCAAATACTAACCACTGTGCTAGTGTAATCGATACAGAAATTTTCCGCTGATTATAAATTGGACTTCCTAAATTATTTAATAAAAAATGAGAAAAGGAATAAAGACTGGAACTTATCGAAAACATTTATGTTTTTATATAAGTATGTAATTATAGGATGAGCCAAAAAATATACTCACTTTCTTTTGTTTTTATTTTCTAGAAGGCAGAAAATAATAATTTACCAGTATGTATTAATAATATTCCATGTTGAATTGTTATTATTGCATATTTTATGGGAACTATTAGGTAGAGTTACTTAAACATATCCCATCAATCTTTAGCAAATAAATTTATGAAAGCACTTGCTTAAGTCAATAGATTTATGAGACAACGTCCTGTCTACCAAACGTTTTAATTTAAACGAAAAACAAAAATATTTCTATCACAAATGTCTAATTCTAGATTTGCAGAACAAGGAAAGTGAGTTTAAAATGAAACTCACCCTGTGTACAGGCTGCCTTACTTGAAGCTTCCAGAGAAATTTTTTCGAAAACGGTTTTAATTTTGAGTGAAAATAATGCTATCTTTCGTATCTTAAGTTAATCATACAAAATTTTTGAAATTATTAAAAAAAAACTGGATATTTTAAAGCAAGGTAGCCTTTATTTGCACTTTAGTTCCGATAAGTTTGTATTATATGTGTAATGTTAATAATTACCGAGGCTAACGGGACATGATTTGCAATGTTTTGTAAAACAGGAAGTCTCCCTGTATTAGCCTGTGTCCAACGTTAATCTGACAAATGTGGTAAAAGTGAGGAAGAAAAAATTTAAATGTTGTGTGTAATGTGAGAAAAAATGAGTTTAAATTTCTGTTTGCTTTGCTTTTTACTAGAACATATATCGAATTGACGTTGGACGGGGCCTTAGATTATGTACCTTTTAGCGTTATCAATATATTATATGGTTATTTGTAAATAATATATTTTCCAGAGTGTATAAAACGAATATATTTTAATATAATAAATTAGTGTTAATAACTCTGTAGTTATTTATTATCTATTACTAGCTCTACTTTGTTCAAATTCTGCCTGTCTATTTGCTTGCGCAAGAAAAACAAAGTTTCTATATTTTTAAACAGAATTATAGATTCTACATATTAATTTTGGCTTTTACTTACATATTCTGATCTGTCAGAATACTAACGAGCGAAAAGTTTATGTGAAATTCTGTGCACTTCGTAAATAGATTGATTTTTACTTTTAACTTTCTAATTATTTCTTCTCGTTTAGGATACACTTCAAATTACCTTTTTATAAACATATTTCTGAATTATTGTTAAAACTGATAAATATCTTACCTTAAAAAAATACAATACAATGTTTCTCCACTTTTCATTGTCTTCTACCAGTTCATGCCGTTTTATTGCTTTTCACAAGTTTACAATTAAACTTAAATCCACTTTTTAACTCCGAAAAAAAAGACGGACTATTTGAAATTTAAATGTATGGAACACAGACGCAGAATTCTTGTTCTCCTTTTTCTAAGTGTGTGGTGAGAAAACAGATCCATGGACCAGTAACGACAGAAGTTTTATCCCAAAGATAACGTTATAAGAAAAGAATATGATATGTATTCCTGTAACACAGGTTTATTGAATTATTTAACTCAAACATTGGAATAATTATTGCAAATAATTACAATATTTGTATGCATATATAATTCTCATTTGAATAAAATATGAGTAGGGCCTTTCAAGCACAGAATATCAAACCTATTTTTTAAAAGTATCCATGAAATGATCCTAATCCGATCTATCTCATCTCGATCTGATCTGATATTTGTCATGTCAAAGATGAATTGATTTTTAAACAAAGAGAATGAATTGTATGAATTGGGCTATTTTCTGTAGTCTCTGTGTCGGATTTCAAAATTACGTTTGTCACAAAATAAATTTAATCAATAATTGTTAAGAATTACTAAAATTGTGCTCAAATTATGGAATGGTAAAGAACGATTCAATGTTCATGGCTTCAGTTAAATTGAATTCAAAGTAATTCATAATGTAAAAATTGTTATTGTGAGTAAAATATACAAGATGAGCATCAGAGCTACATTAGGATTCACATTTATTGTCACTGCTAGTACAGCTATAACAAGTCTAGTGTTGTACCATGTCTTGACAGGAAGAGGAGAAAAAATAAGTTTTGGTTGGTTCCTTGAAAACACTTCACCTCATATGTGGTGTTGCCTCGGAATTGGCTTCTCTGTAGCTTTGTCAATAGTAGGGGCTGCTGTAGGGATCTACACCACTGGTGTCAGCATTGTGGGGGGCGGTGTTAAAGCACCACGTATTAAAACTAAGAATCTCATCTCCGTTATTTTCTGTGAAGCTGTTGCCATCTACGGTTTAATCATAGCCATCGTCCTGTCGGGATACTTGGATGACTTTACATGGGAACTGGTGTCTAAAGATGACTTCTTAAAATCGAGGAATTGGCTGGCAGGTTTGTGAACAATGTTAAAAATTGAGTGCACACACAATTTGTTGCGAACATGTATTTTAAACAGAGCGGGGTTTGTTCCAGGCTCTGAGAGTATTATGTTTACTTTTCTAGGGTATCTCATGTTTGGGGCAGGCCTAGCAGTTGGTTTGGTAAACTTATTTTGTGGAATGGCTATTGGAATAGTCGGATCTAGTGCAGCATTAGCAGATGCGGCGAATTCAGCTCTCTTCATGAAGATCTTGATAATTGAAATTTTTGGAAGTGCTATAGGTCTGTTCGGATTGATCGTAGGTATATTTCTAGTTTCGAAGGTTCAGATGGGTAATAAAATACATTAGGGAAGATAAGTGAAACACCAAATATTTACTCTTGTTCTAGTCATTATTTTTTCTGTGTTCGTCTAATTAAATATTTATTTTTTTGTAAAAAAATTGTAGAAGTTATCTAAAAGATAACGTAACTGTTATAACTGTCTTTGATAATATTCCCAAGCTTTGAACTACTGAATTGGTTTATTTGAGTGCTGCCGCACAAGAAAAATATGATCATGTGAGAATATTAATAGATCTGCTATATATAACTTGGGAATATTTTATGTTATTAAGTATTATGTAGTATTTAATGTGTATGTTACTTCCTCTGCGATGGCAATGTTGGAAAATAAATAATTGCATGTAATGCAATATTTGAAAAGTTTACTAATTAAAAAGATATTCTGTATTTAAAAAAATCTATTAAGTATTTACCATATTAAACTGGTATAGAAACAAAAATGTCGTATACCTTTAAACTGAAAAGAACAAAATTTCTCATAGAGCCATCAACCACCAAAGAATAGTTTAATGCTGAAAGCTAAATATTTGACTTACAAAAAATACTTGTTGGTAAATGTATTGTTGTTATAGTTTGTATTAGATGTACGCTTTATGTACATTTCTGATTCCACGCTTATATATCACATGCACCAGAATAATATATAATATTCAAGTGCATTATAAAATTATTAATGGGTAATTTATGAAGAAAATTAATATCCGTATACTAATTAGAATTGTGTAAAAATTTAAAATTAATTTGAGAGTTCTAGTTCTTTTTATCATGTAGCTGTAACAAATTTTAAAAGTTGACAAGAGTTTCTAAATGTATTTGATTAAAACCTTTCTCTTTTGCGAAAAACATTGACGATTTAATTTGTCCTGTTTATTTTGAGTGCTCAAAGAATCATCTTTAGTGCTGCTATATTACGGCCTTTCAATTTTCTTGATAATGTAGTTAATTATAAAAATTGTTTTTTTTTGTACATATCTGTGATCTGTTCAGTATCTCGATTTTTGTATTGCATATATTTATTTTTTTTTTGTTTAATATACTTTAGTACCTATATGAAAAGTGTTTTTCATTTCAGTTATAATCGTTATCAATACATGATTTAGAGCAGGGTGAAATTTGTAAATGACAAATTCCAGGTACATTTTTGATAATTTTTCATGATAGAAATTGAAACGGAATTCGAAAGTAAAGGCGATACTATTTAAATAAATTAATTTTATAAATTTCTAATCATACGTATTTATTAAGATCTATGATATCTTAATTCGAGAAACCAATTATACATATTTTTTATTTGTACCTATTTTCCTACGAAGTATTACAAATATTAAGATGTGGGAATAACGAGAATGAAATATTTTTTAAATGTTCATGCATAAATTATTTATTTACTGATTAACCTATACTGTTTTTTTCTTTATGTGCACTCCCAATACATAATATAAAGTGTATTATAAAGCAAATTTTGTAGTCGGTTTCTACTTCCATTTAGTTTTATTGGACCAATCTAGCGAAAATAAATCTTAAAGTACTGCAAATATCTTATTTACCTCCACATTAAGAAAGTTGTATAACATAGCCTATTGTTATAATGCAGGAGTTTAAATTGAAACAGATTGCGATAACCACTGCACTAGAAGTAACTATATACCTAATATAAGATACTGTTCAATTTTGTCATAATTAATTGTACTGTTGCCTCCTCCTAGCTCTTTGTTTGTCAAACCGCAATTCCATTTCTTCAAGCACCTTCGGGGTATATCGAACCACTAATTTCACAGAACCATGCGCTTGTTTTAGCAATTCCACAGCTTTTTCATGATTTTCCCCGTCTACAGACTGGAATAAAACATATTTATTCATAGATCAAAACTCGATTTAGTACAACTCACTACTCCATTAACACTTAAAAGCTGATCACCCCTTTTCAAACCTCCATGTCGGTCAGCCACACCTCCTGGAATAATCCGGGAGATGTATATGGGGGAATTTTGTTCTTTACCACCCATAACGTTAAAGCCAAGTCCTTCGTCCGTTTTGGGTAGTTCTACCACTCTAGGATGAGCATGGCCCTCACTAGCTGCAAAAGCTGCGACTGTGGCTTTTGCAGTTGCCGAAGCTCTAACATCTTGGGATCCTTGGATATCGACAGTTTCGTACACATGTTCGTAAACCTCGCGAACGGCATTTAGAAAATCGCTCTGCAGTACCTTTTGCAGAGCAGCTAATTTAGTTGCTGGAACCTCGCCACTTTTTTGCAACTTTTCTAATAACTCTATAGATCTTTTAATATCTTAAAATTGGAGGACATTAATAAAATAAACTTTCTCTTTTATAATACGTACCTCGGGATAAAGTTAATGGTTCGCCTATTTGTGCCATTCTTAAGGTTTTATTAATGTATGTTTATTCAATTCACAAATCCACACTCAAAATATTTATTAATTAATACGTCAAATTAATCAAATGTCAAAAAATTGACAAATGACAACAAGAGGGCGGAGTCAGGAGCTGCGTTCCTGTCATTTACTCCATTAACTATGGAGTGTAGATCAGGAGTCAAGACTCGCACAATCAGTGTAATTGTAAGAATAGATTTCCTTTATTCATTTGACTCAATTTCTTTTAGGTTAGGAATTTGGGCACAAGATCGTTTCATAAACAATTTATTACCTACTGTTCCACCATTGTAAATACATTTTTAATCTTTAAATGTAGCAACCCATATCAACACCTCTGCCCACAATGGACTCCTCCCGCTACCAAAGAGCTTTATTTTTCTTCTCCAGTGACACTTATTATATTTGTAACTCAATTTTTTTTTAGTTAAAAACAAAATCTATGTATATAGGCAGTTATCTATATACTTCACAGATAACTTGATTTCTGCGATAAATATTATTATTTGGGTGGAACAGGTGCAAATTAGAGATTTGATCGAAATCAGAACACTTTTATTGTTATTGTACAAAATTTATATCACAAACCAGTTGTATATTAAAAAAAATACAGATTGTTAAAAAATACATGTCCTCGTTTATTAACAGCCTTGATAATAATACATGAAAATACCGATCAGAAGGAATGTAAATTAGTGAGTTACAAATGCTTTTCTTCCAAACTGTACACATTTAACAATGGAATGACGAAACTGTATAAAAATAAATTAAGAAGATATTTCTTAACTAGATGTTGAATTTGAGCTAATTTTATAGGAGAGCTTTTACTTCGTCGTAGAATACTAATACAAGTGCAGCACCAGTACCACGAAGGACGTTAGAGAAGGCGCCTTTGAAGAAGGCCGAAGGTCCCTCAGATTTGGAAATTTTAACCCAACAGTCCAAGGTGTTCTTGTACATAATGTCACCCTTTGCGCGTCCTGACTGCATCATCATACGCCTCCTGACAGTATCGAATGGATAAGATACAATTCCGGAAAAGGTTGTGACGGTCTAAAAAAAAATTTAAATTAAATTCAAAATTCAGTACAATGAACTTAGGGGCATATTTTTGAGGTCAAAATAAGATTTTTTTTTCCTATAAACATGGGTACACAAATGCTTAGTTTTCGATATACAGAGTGCTAAAATTTTTTATTCTGTTCGATTTTTTAGGAATAATTTCCAAACCGATTTGAATGTTGGCATAAAACTTGGGGTGCGGGGTTTTTTAGGATGCTAAATTTAAATTATTGCTAATGAAGCTGCTTGTAAAGGGCACCACCTATAAGGGGGCGCTATAATTAAATTGGGCCTAACTTTTTTGCTACCCTGTACATTGACGTTTCGTATTAGTGCGTTTATTCCGTTATCAATTTTAAGCAAAAAAGATATACTTGGTCGAAATCGCTCAGACCAACTGTTTTGAACTGATGAAGAGTTAAATGCACACCACATTTTCAAATTTTAACTATTTACGGTGAAAATTTAAAAATTTATTTTCGCCATCTAATCGGTAATGCAATGACCTTGAATATTAACTCTACATTTTTCTCATACAACTAACCGTTTTCAAGAAAATCACTGTTGACTAGTGACGATACTACCGTTTAGTCAGCAGTGATTTTCTCGAAAACGGTTAGGTATCAAAAAAATATAAAGAGCAAAAATTCAAGATCATCACCTTACTCATTAGATGGTAAATAAATTTTAAAATTTTTCACCGTAAATAGTTAATTAAAATTTGAAAATATTATATTTAACTTTTCATCAGTCAATATCTCAGAAAGGGTTTGTACCTTTTTTGGTTAAAATTGATAGAGGAATAAACACACTAATATGAATGTCAATGTACAAGTGTCCCCTTATAGGTGGCGCCCTCTACAAGCAGTGTCAAGAGCAATAATTACGTATTTAAATTTAGCATCCTAAAAACTCTCGTACCCCAAGATTTATGCCAGCATTCAAATCTGAATGGAAATTATTGCTAACAAATCAAAAAAAATAAATAAATAAAAAACTAACATCCTGTATGTCGAAAACTAAGCATTTGTGGACCCACATTTATAGGGGAAAAAAAGTCTTATTTTTGACCTCAAAAATACGCCCCTAAATTCTTTGTACTGAATTTTGAATCGGCCTGTATTTACTAGGACTGAATTAATTTTGAGGGATTTACAATAGATGGCGCAACTTATGCTATATCGCATAGGACACTTCTGTAGCTAACGAGCGTTCAAATAAAAACGTGGTCAAGTTGGTTCTGAAAATTTGGATGTAGGGCATAGCGTATAGCAAATGAACTTAAACGTCATCTGTCAAAGCGCTATATCGCCGCTATCAATTTGAATATTTTTGTTTTAAAAAGCGTTTAAAATGGTGTTTTCTCAAGAACAAAAAGTGTTTATCGTAGAGTCCTACTTTAGAAATGGACGCAAGATTGATGGAATATGGAAGTATTCTATTGAGGAATGTTTCATAGAATTTCAAAATCAATTTCCCGGCGTTGTTGAGTACAAAATTTTTCAAAGTGCAGTTCAGCGTTGTGTTAATGTTTTTCGTGAAACGGGCAGTGTAACAAGAAAAGAAGGAAGCGGCCGACCTAAAAAGCGGACTGAAGAATTAAAAGAAAATGTCCAACAAATAATGGAAAATGCGCCAAGAACTTCTGTACGTGTTTTATCACAAATGGTGGGAGTATCAGTCGGTACCTGCCACACAGTGTTAAAAAAAGATTTGCGTTTGTTCTCCTATCGTTTAACTTGTCAGCAAGAACTTCATGAAGTTGATTTTCCGCGACGGGCTGTATTTTGTGAATGGTTTTTAAACAACTACGGTGAACTTCATAATATCACCTTTTTTTCTGATGAAGCCTGGTTTCATTTAAGTGGTTACGTAAACTCACAGAATATGAGAATGTGGTCTTCTGAAAAACCAGATAACTTTTTTGTCGAGGGCCCTCTACACGCTCAAAAAATTGGAGTTTGGTGTGCTCTCAATCGAAGGAGGATTTATGGACCTATTTTTTTTAATGGTACTCTTACTGCGCAAAGGTATAGAGAAGAAATTATCGCTCCTTTTGTTAACCAGCTGGAAGAAAACGAAATTACAAACTTTTACTTTCAACAAGATGGCGCAAGGGCACATACGGCAGGCGAGACGATGAATATGTTGAGGGAAGTTTTCCAAAATCGACTAATAAGTCTCAATGCTGAACATGAATTTCCACCGAGGTCATGTGATATTACGCCGTGTGATTTCTTTTTGTGGCCTTACCTTAAAAACACTATTTTTGAACTGCCTATTCCTGATTTAAACCATCTGCAGGCTCGACTTATAGACAAGATTCGTGAAATTAACAATACCCCGAGCATCTTAGAAAATGTCTTTAATTCTTTGAGGAACAGGTGTGAAAAGTGCTTGGAACAAGGAGGGGGACACTTTCAGCAGCTGCTTTAATTTATTGTTATAACAAGGAGGGGGACACTTTCCGCAGCTCCTTTAATTGTTTGTTATTGTTATCACGATTATTCTTTAAAATAAAGTTATATAGTCATTAACGTTATTGAAACTGACAGCTGCTATACAGCTCGTTGAGAAATGAGGTTAAGTCGGTCGCTATAAGCTACTCCCTACGTCCAATGTGTCAGAGCCAACTTCGACCACATTTTTATTTGAACGCTCGTTATATTCATGTGTCATTTTCCTGACGTGTAAACAATATATTTTTTTTCAGCTCCGAAGATGTCGAATCGCGAGCCAACAAAACGCCATTTACAAGAAGTTTTACTTTCCCTGTTTAATTGAAACAAAAGGTCTGCTGAAAGTCATCGACTGCTGTTGCAAACTTACGATGAACATACTCCATCGATAAAAACGTGCGAGTATTGGTTTCGATGTTTTGGAGGTAGTGATTTCGATAGTCGACCAAGACCACACTAATCAACCGAAAAAGTGCGAATATGAGGAATTGGAAGCACTACTCGACCAAGATTCATGTCAAACGCAATCGTTGAATTTTGATCGTATAACAGTTTCCAAACATTTAAATGCAATCGGTACGATTCAAAAGCAAGGAAATTGGGTGCCACACGAATTGAGGATAAACGATGTTGAATAGCAAAAAGGTATTTTGCATCGTATCGTCACTGACGATGAAAAATGGATACGTCAAGCGTAGGAAATTCTGGGGTTTGCCTGATCATGCATCAACATCGACGGTAAGGATGAATATTCATGGGTCGAAGCTCATGCTATGTATTTGGCGGGACCAGCTTGGTGTTGGTACTCTGAGCTGCTTCAAATAAATGAAATCACCACTGGTGAACATTAACGAACATAATAGGTGCGTTTATGCTGTACATTGAGGGAAAAACGGTTGCAATTCGAGCAAATTATGTAATTTTTCAGTATAACACTCGACCACGTCAAAAAATACTTAGAAACGCTGAAATGGGATGTTTTACCCCACTCTTAGGAAGATATGAAAAATTGGGTCGATTGGTGCATAGCATCTAAAAACAAGTTGTTCTTTCAACGTCGAATCCGTACGCTGCTAATGGGAAAAAGTACTCGTTAGCGATGGACAATACTTTGAAAATAATGTACACAGTTTTTCACAATAAAACCTTGAATTTACAAAAAAAATCCTTCAAAATTAATTCAGTCCTAGAAGTAAAATCAATAAAAATATATGTAAGACCGTGAATATGGACTTTTAACAATCACACCATTGTTCTAAGTTTTTAATGCCACTTCATATACAATTATGAAATGAACAGGTTATATAACTCTATTGAAAAAGGTCAACCATTAATAAAGTCTAAAGATAAAGAATTTATCTGAAGTTATGTACCCTTCAACAAGAAACTATTCACATTTCTAATTACTTTGTCTGCTCGATAATAACTGATTGTGATTTATCAAAGAGAAATAATCTTATCGTATATTTACTTCGATCTCAACAAAACGTGTTTTACTGGAACTACTACTATTTATATTCATATTATGTCATGATTAACAATACCCTCTAATATAAGCTCAAACGACTTACCTGAGCAATGAGGAACGAAATTATGAATGGCGTGTTCTTAGGGTCAGGTAACATTCCCTTTGCTGTATCGAAGCAGCCGAAGTAAGCTGCACGGTAGATAATAATACCCTGCACGGATACTACAAATCCTCTGTACAATCCAATGGGTCCGTCAGATTTGACTGTTTTTGCGATACAGTCTACAAGTCCCTTATACTGCCTTTCGGCAGCGCTCTTCCCTACATCGGCCCCCAAACTACAAAATAATTTTGCGTTATTATAACCGAATACATGAAAAAATAAATAAACAAACTTTTAGGAAATATCAGTAAATGGGTAGTGGTAAACTGTGGTCATCAAAACAGGCTCAGTTTTTCAGAAACATCATGTATAACAAAGCACAATAAAAAGTCTATTCTGATCAAATCTATCTAATCAGAAACATTAAATTGAAATCTATGCCAATGACTTACCGTGTTCTTGCATAATCAAGAGGATATACAAAGCAGAGTGATGTGGCTCCAGCTGCGCCTCCCGACGCTAAATTTCCCGCAAAATATCTCCAAAATTGTGTCTTTTTATCAACGCCTCCCAAGAAAACTTGTTTGTAAACATCCTTAAAGGCGAAATTTAAAGCTTGTGTAGGGAAGTATCTAATTACGTTGGCCAAGTTACCACGCCAATAACTCAGAACACCCTGTTCCTTTGGAATACGAATGAAGCAATCGACCATACCTATAACAGAACGTATTGATATAAAAAAGGTAAACAAACACCAAAACAAATTAAAATAAATTGAGGAAAACATCAGAAAATGGGTAGTGGTAAAACAAGAGTCATCAAGAATTAGGCTCAGTTCAAAATGGCATCATATGAGAAATTAGGTATAATTAATATCATATTAAGTTAAATTAGAGTAGACAACTTTAATTTTAATATTAACGAATCCACGTGGGAATCTATCTATGCTGTTAGGGATATTTAAAAAATCTTATCAATATTCCTGATACATAGACCAAAAAGAATACAATACGTATAACATTTGCGTATAACGCAAAATCAAATTTCGTTATAGAAATTAACTACGTAACAAAACTTTACAACAATTAAAAATGGAAACTGCCATGAGGAATGGTTATGTCAGCATCAGACAACTTACCTTTGTACGCATTTTCGGCGGATATCTGTTTGCTAGCGGCCTGCACTTGCAACAGTAATTTTACTCTTTCAATTGGGGCTACTGCAGTCTTCGCTACTGCGGCAGAGATACCTCCAGCGAGAAAATCCTTAATAAAACCGGCTGCGTCGGTAGGCATCTTTATCCTGGAATTTGTACACGTTCACACCGCAAGGGAGAGGAACAAAGAGGAAGAAATTTGACAGAACGTTGCTGATATCCGTTCCTAAACGAGGATACTGACGTCACTGTAATTTTTAACCAATTACCAACTTACTAGAAAAACAAGGCGTTTGCTTTCACATTACTAGAGTAGAGACAAGGGAATAGTCTCCTTATTGCAAGGTAGAATAAGAATGAAATCGATCAAAGGGATGTTGCGTAGCGACATCTACATCCTACCTCCTACCAATATACTTCAACCGCGAATTTTAATTTCCAATAAAATACTAGTCAGCATTATGATATTGTTGGCAAGCTTTTGATAAGTAGCAGCCACGGATTTTTTAAATTAAACTATCGATTTTCTCAAAAATTTTTAATGTTCAAAAAAATCTGAAAACATTCCGGTAGACAATAACGGCTCTGATCAATCCAAAACTGCATTCTATTCCTCTCTAGTTCATTCTGTTTTTGGACATTTTCGATTTTGTTCCTTAACAGAAGCACTTGCACAAAATCCGACCATCCCAGCAGCGTTTTCAGCGACCCCAGTTGAGTAGGATACCGTCTTTAGATGAGGATTTTTTGACAATTTTCATGGACTATGGATTATTCTCAAAAAGTTTTAGGGCTCAGAAAAATCAGAAAAAATTTCGGTGGACTATAACAGCGCTGATTAATCCAAAACTGCATTCAGTTTCTGTTCGACTGCTCCAGTTTTCGAGATTTTCCATTTTTTCTCGACGGTAGTACTAGCAAAAAAAACGATCTTCACAGCGTGTTAGGCAACCAAAATTGCGTACGGAACCGCCTATAGAAATAGGTAGACTATAATGGCGGTAACCAATCCAAAACTGCAAGCAGTTTCTTTCTAGCTCTTACCAGTTTTCCCTTTCAGTTCTATTGAAGGTTCAGTTCGATAGGCAACATAAAATACAATATATGTGTATACTTGGTTGCATAAGAATTCAATAAATTTTATATAAATTCTATATTATGTGTAAATGTATTAAGAATTAACACAATTTTTGATAAGCTATAACAGCTTTCACCAATCTGTCATTTACTTTAAAAAAGTTACTTTACCTGCATTTTTCGTTTTCAACACGTTACATTTATCTCCTCACAAATAATTCCTTTTCACTATTTAACGGGAAATTAACATTGATTAGAAAAACAAAATACTTAGTTTAATACAACAAAAAAGACGAACAGAAAAGTAGTAATTAGCAAAACTATTTTGCCTCAAAAGTGTAAGAAAATTATATAATCACATCAATTATTTATAACAATACTTTTTACATACTTGCAATCTTTAAATCACATAAAATAGACAACATCATTAAATTGTTCCTCATTTTACCAAGTATATTTCCTTAAAAGTACTGTAGTCATTATATTCATTAATTAATAATCTGATTTTAAAAAGACGTTAATTTAACATAGTGTGGCGATCATAAATATTACGACGCTGCTCTTTAACCTGCCTCTTCCATTTGTCCTGTTGATGTCCAACCCTGTTTAGAACATTACCCCTTACACTCATATTATGTGACATCGGTCCGGCACTGATTTCATCCTAAAATTTGAATGACAAATCAAATAGTATTAAAAATTTTCATTTTTCATTCTTCATACTTCTTCGTTTGTATGTTCTTGATAACTGCCTTTAATTCTTTTATTTAAAAGTGGATCCAATATTATTAAAAATGCCATATATATGACAAGAATGGAGATAACCCAAATAACAATAATAACAACTACTTTGATGATAGTAGTATTTCGATTTTCATATTTACATTCACATCGAGGGCAAAACTCTTGTTCTTTTCCAGCTATCCCTTCCCCGATTCTGGGTAGTATTACACCAACACAATTACTTAAAAAATAAATTTAATGATTAAAATATAGAATAGATTAATTTTGTTTTTGTTTACCATAAATTCGGAGGGACATTAGCTATATATAAAATTCTGGATGTATCAGCTGTTTCAGTTCTGTTTGTTACAGAAGAAATACTAGGACAGATACATTTACATCTTTTGTCTTCATATGATTGTGCCTAAAACTTTTAAATGCATATAAATGTTTTTACTACAACGATTCCATACCTTTGTATAAGAAACCATCCATAACAGAGCTATAATTCCAATAAAATACTTCATCTTTCTGAAGATTGTTTGTAGAAATTTGACATCTGTCACGTTACTTCATCTACTCATTCTACTTTCACTTGAGGCTACACTGGTCCCTTCTTTCCATTTTACTAAAGTCCCTAGTTTGACCCCAGATTTTTCTCTGTTCTGTGGTTTGTTTCCATTACAACTGCTGTGTTATTGTTTGTGAGTCTTTTCTGTTTATGTTTATATCACCTATCGCCTCCTCTATTTTGCTAGAATACTTTCTCGTAAGGAACATATTTAATGGGACAGTTTGAAGTATATTAGAACTATTAGGAGTATTGAACCTACCTATGTAATTGTAACATTTTACAGATTTATGTTTTTCTACAATATTTATTTTTAATTGAAAGGCTACGGGCGCTATCTACTTTTTAATAGTAAAACTAATCGGTAACGTGATCAAAGCAATGTTTACATTGTATTTGTGTAATGTGTAGACTTGGCAAAAGATAATAAATTAAATTTACAGAAAATATCTGTAGTCCTATAATATCTACACGTATTAAATGATCACGATTACAATTTATATTGCTTAAAATGGCACAGCGGAAAGTAGCTCTTATTACTGGAATAAATGGACAAGTGAGTACAAGCAGATATTTGATTAATTTTTTGTTTAAATTTCTAAACGGCCGGTACAATTTAATGTCGGGAAGTTGTAAGCTACATCTGAAAATAATAATAATAAAGACAGTCGTTTGTCTTACGCAGTCTTCGTCGTTATAAAAGGCATCTGCAGTAATGTAGCTTTAGAGGGTAATTCAAATTTTTTTTCAGGATGGCTCTTATTTATCGGAATTCCTATTGAACAAAGGCTACGAGGTGCACGGGATAATTCGTCGAGCAAGTAGTTTCAACACTAGTCGAATTGACCACCTTCATTCGGATCCTTATGCCCACAGAGGTGGTCAATTTCATTTACATTATGGAGACATGACTGATTCTAGTTGCCTAGTGAAAATTATAGGCAAGATAAAACCAACTGAAATTTATAATTTAGCAGCTCAAAGTCACGTTAAAGTTTCTTTTGATCTAAGTGAATATACTGCGGAAGTTGACGCAGTTGGCACTTTGAGGCTACTTGACGCTATTAGGACATGTGGCCTTGAAAAATTAACAAAATTTTATCAGGCCTCCACTTCAGAGTTGTACGGAAAAGTTGCTGAAATTCCGCAAACTGAAAAAACACCGTTTTATCCCAGATCTCCTTATGGTAAGTAAATAATATTTCAGTAGTATTTCGTAGCTGGACTATAAGTAATGTTTTCCCCTTAATAGAATAGAGTTAAAAGCTTGCAAAGTAAATGAATTTGAGCATGCTGTGGATTGCTAAAACTGGATCATCGTGATTGGTTCAGCAAATTAAATCGGTAAAGCAAATAGAATATATAAAATATTCAAATTAAAAAAAAAATGGAGAAGTGGGCTGTATAAATTGCTATAAAAAAATAATCATGGAGTACATACTAGCAGACTTACTCTTCTGTAGCGATGGCATAGTTCAATATGATGAAGAGGTACACTGTTATGGGACGTTCGCCATTTTTAGGCAAAATTCCCAGCCATCTTTGAAATATAAATTTAAATTGTCAGTTTTGTTATAGAAATTAGGGGAATCACAGGCATGTTAAATACAATATATTAAGTGTAATACTTCTGTCCAACAAATATGATTTAAAGAATTATAATTTTAAATTATTTACAAACAAATTATGACAAATGAAAATATTATTTTTCTCTGATTCAGCATGTGCCAAGTTGTACGCATATTGGATTGTAGTAAACTATAGAGAAGCCTACGATATGTTCGCCTGCAATGGTATTTTGTTCAACCATGAGAGTCCCAGAAGAGGAGAGACATTCGTCACGAGAAAAATTACCAGGGAAGTTGCAAAAATTCATCTGGGCCTTTCTGAATGTCTTGAACTAGGTAATTTGGATTCGAAAAGGGACTGGGGTCACGCTAAAGATTACGTAGAGGTAAGACATCTGTAGACGATCGTTTTTCATTTAATCTTCATTCGAACTTTTTGTGTCAATTTTAATCAAGCAACTGTAGAAGCTTGGCAATCGAATTAAGGGACACCCTTGTACCTATTTCGTTTCGTTTTACTTCAGGCTATGTGGCTTATGCTGCAACAAGACTCTCCCGAAGACTATGTCATAGCATCTGGAAAAACGCACAGCGTCAAAGAGTTTGTCGAAGCCGCTTTCGGACACGTTGGAAAGGAAATAGTTTGGGAAGGCAAAGGCACCCAGGAAGTTGGTAAAGAAAAGGAAACGGGAGTGGTTAGGGTTAAAATCAATCCTAAGTATTTCCGACCGACGGAAGTAGTACGTATTCACATTATTTTATTATTATTTTTGAATATATCTGCAGGATGTGACAACGTTGCGAGAAACTTTCAGGGCCGATTGTTTTTGTCAAAACAAGAAAGAAAAACAGCAGTAACATTTTTTTGCTAAAATTTCATAGGTCTTGAATTTCGACGCCTAATCTTTATTCACATTTTACATGAATGGTTTTTATTTAGTTATTCTTTTGATTTATGAAGAATCATAGTCCTGAAGAAAAATGTTACTATTTTTGTTTGTTTTGAAGAGAGTAATCCTAATGTTAGTGACAAAAAAGTGCCGCCATGATTTACTGCTATTACAGTACTATATGAATTTTGATGCCTTGTAACTAATATTTGAAACATTATTATTTTACTATTCTTTTTAGAGTTAATTTTTTTAGGACCTTCTACTTGGCGACGCCTCAAAAGCTAAAGCAAAGTTCAATTGGTCGCCTAAAGTTTCTTTTCCTGAGTTGGTTAAGGATATGATGGAATCAGACATTGAACTGATGAAGAAAAATCCCATGGCATAATTTTTTTAAATCTCTATATATTTTTTGCTACTATTATTTCACGTGTACATTTATTTTCATGTACATCTTATCCCATGGCATAATTTTTTAAAACTATATTTATCTTGCTACTCTACTTCACATGTAATATATTTCGTATAGATACGTGGTGCATTCCATTACTGTATATTCTTATATTTAAAGATAAGTGTTTTTCAGCCAGTAAAATTGTGCTCTCGGCATAGATAAACCTCGTATAAAAATATGCAATTTCTCTTTTATCTGCAGGGTGTTGAGATTCTATCCAGAACATCCTTGTCAAATTTGAGTTCGTCGTCCGATTTCGATGATTATTTTTTTATAGATATACATTGTCCTAAATCATCTGCAGAACCAAATATCGTAGTGATGGTGCCACTACGGGGCCTGCTATGATTTTTTTTGAGAGGTGTTTTTGTGTGAAATTGCGAAATTTTCCATAAATTTGAGAGGGGTGTTCTGGATCAAATATGAACACCCCGTATTTAAGACATGCATATATAAAAGTATTATAACCCCTACGAATTTTTTGTTACGTTTATGATATTGTAAATAAATGATTGTGTAAATAAATAATCATAGTTTTTGCGTTTTTAATGGAGTACCGCAAGGGTCAGTTCTTGACCCGATTTTCTTCTTGATTTATGTCAACGATTTACATTGTTGTGTGAATGATTCAGTTCTAACTATTCAATTTGTCGAATGGTACAAACTCGTGAACCACATTCCTGTAATTGATTTTGTAATAGAGTAGGTTCGTCAAGTTGAACTAACGATTCAAAATATTTTCTATCTATTTTAGTAAATTTAAATTCTATTAAGACAGAAACCGTAATATTTAACTTAAGTGAAGCTGAAGATATACTTATCCTGATTCTGTAGAATTTTTAGAGGTACAGTTAAACTACCTATACAGGGTGATTTTTTTCAATGTTTAGTGTAAGGATCTGGGAAAGTAGCATAGATACAAGAAAGCTTAAACGAGGAAAGATGTGCAGTTCTATGATCCTTATTAAATGTTACTTTTATTTTTTGAAAAAAAGTCATGGCTTACTAGATAATTGGAAAAATCCGAATTCGGACAATTCCTTCAGATGCGTGTAGCTCCGTTGCTATTTTACAAAAAAGTTTTATATTACAAAGGTCAGGTTTTTGCAGTGTTAATAAGACAGTGTCAAATTGTTCGTGCGCAACTGTGCACTTTGGTTTTCAAGTTATAACATAATATCATATCATAGTTAGCTATGAGTTAGAAAAATTTTTATTTTTTTGTGCTTTCCAACGATATATTTGGTATGGTTATTTTGAAAAATGGGAGAACTTTTATTACCTCAAAATTGATCTGCCCTGGTCTACAGGGTCGGAAAGTCCCCATGGTTCATCGGCCGTTACTTGAGAGCGATAAAGAAAGTAATAGAAATCTGTGCGATAGAGAAAGATGGCTATCATGAAGGCGTCTAATAGTCACCACCCATTTCGCCCTTGCACAAATAAGATCCACCTCCTATTTGTGGAAGGGCGAAATGGGCAGTGACTATTAGACGCCTTCATTATAGTCATCTTTCTCTATCGCACGGATTTCTATGACTTACTTTATCGCTCTCACGTAACGGCCGATGAACCATGGGGACTTCCCGACCCGGTATATGGTCTTGTAGGATTCGGGTCTGCTTGTTTGTTAAACAAAGTACTAAAACAAATCTAAAAAACAGGATTTTTTTTTAAATCTGTGTCTCGAAGTGATTTTTATCAATAGTCTTCATTTAGGTTTAGGTGCATTTGAAGGGAAGAGTTCATAATAAAAATGCTTGTACGTCTATCCTTTTAATGAAAAAATGGATGTAATATAATATAAACTTAATTACCTATTAATTAAAACACGCGTTGTACATGCAAAAGGCATTCGACATTTTAGGAGGCTTTCTTAGATAGACCTTTAAAAAAAACGTAGAGACATTCATGGATTCATGGTACAGTTAAATTACGAAATTTTTCGTATCAATTTCGTAAAAATATATAAACACCAACTCGTTAAAAATTAAATTTCATGTAAATTGCAAAATTGGGAAATATATTAGGGTGTTTTATTTTAAATAATCTAAGTTTGGTTTATAAAAAAACTTGAGGATCATAAGAATTGCCTAGAAATTAAAAAATATTTATCTCTTAAACGTGCCAAGATATCAGAAAGCAGTTTTACTATTTCGATTTTACTCGAAAATTAAAGCAACGATCTTAAAAGTATTTCTCGTGGGCCTTTTAGGGAAATAGAATGAACCCTTAGGAAATGTCGAATACCACCCTGTAAAAAGATAACATTTCATTACAGCCATCCTCTTTCCCCGCATGTTTGGATTAAGAACCGTACCCTTTCCTTCGCAACTAAATTTATGCCTGCCTTCATTTCTTCTATATCGGGTGGTGTCGAGGGTTTGGATTCTGTGGAATCTTCCTTTTTCTGAAAAATTACAAATAACGTCATCACAAAACAACGCTCAATTTCAATCGGTGTCGCATCTTTCATTTCTTCTAAAAACTTAGGTAAACTAAAAGGAGCAGTGTCGCATTTTAACTTCTCCAAATGGGAAATGAAATGTTTGTGGTAAAATTCAATCAAACCATCGAAATCGTCCTGTAGTACAGACAATTGAACGCTTGTGAAGAGAAAGAAGAACAGGTCTGTGGCTGGTGATTTATAGTCGCAGACTTGAAAGTCAATCATCTTGTTGCTAACAGGTACCTTGTTCTGAAATTTTATCATAGTATTATTTAACCACATGTCCCCGTGAGTTAGCGTTGCGAATGGTTCCTTTGCTGGTGCCTCTCGTGCTGCTCTTACTTTCTCGAAAATGTTTTTAGCTTTTGGTATCCATGGTATACATTTGTATGAATCTTGAAGGATCTCTAAGAACAGTAAGTTCATTTCATTTTTGAATGGCTTAGATTCATTACCGAATGGGGCCAAGTACGGTCTGATTTTCTCATCGAATACTTCTGGTTTCTTCAGCTTCAGAGCCAGTGGTATGGCATGGAAAGCTGCCAAGTCTTTGAGTATTAACTGGGCCGTCTCTAGGTCGAAGCCTACGTGGCGATCTACGCAATAATATTCTGAAAAAATGTTATTGATAAGTATACAATAAATGTAGGTATGTCAAAATGGAAGTAAATAATATTTATTTATAGAAAATTTTAAATAATTAGCGTTATACGGAATTTTATGGTAAATTATCATATTACAAAATTTATGTGTAATCTATAATGTTTAAATAGTAATTTGATCACACGATTTTTATTTGAATATGGTGCGAAGCAGTTTGCTCAATTTGATTTATAAATTTTATCATTAATAAACCTTCGAAGGAGTCAAGGTAATAAAAATTAAAGTTTTTTGACAAATTTTAAAGACGTATTTATTCCTTCCTTCTAAGAAAAAGTACCAAACAACTTTTAACTTCTTTAGTATATAGAATAAGGTAAATACACACTTCTCTCATCTCAAACATTTGCCAAATTTCAATATAACGTCAAATACTGAGTGGCGATATTGCAAGAAACAACTCTCTCTGAACTCGTCCCGCTTCCTCCGCTAGCAATATAATTTAATACATCTAGGATGTAATACAGGTCATTTTCTGTACTTTTTGGCCTCTAGGTCTCATGCAATTAGTAGCATTGTTTAGATCTCAGACATATCTTTTACTTGTGGAATTTTTCGTCTGAAGTAATAGCGCCCTGTGGTGCTATCAGAGCTTCAGAGTTTCGAAAGTATCTACTTCAAGTAATCGATATACCAATTATTGTAAATATAAGTACCTCGCATTAGATTAGATAATATGTTATTGTTACATTAATTTCAATGATTTTAGAAATATTAGAATGAATTGTGTTTGTTTTATGAAAAATTTACAAACGTTCTAAATAGGTTAAATATACTAGATAAGAGAATGTACAGGCTGTTGCTGTTACAAATTCGCTTGTCACTATAGACATATTGGAAACGGTAAGAGATACGAACTAGCTTAAATGGGGGGCAGTTACGTGATTCGTTTTCGAAATATTATAAAAAAAACTAGGTGGGTTTCACAGGATCTAACGATGCATAGAGTGTATGATAATTCAATAACCATAGAAATCTAAATAAAAAATTTAGATAAATTTGGAACGAATACATTGAAGATGAATTTTTCGAGACAAAACGTTTGAATCTTGTTAGGGCTGAGGCAGTACAGTATTGAGGGTCATAGAGGCTTACAAATAATGTAATGAAATTTCCAGGGCCGTATTTAAAATAACGAAATGTTACATATAAAAATTTATTATGCCATTCGATAGAGGGCAAAAGTTGCCATGAGAAAGTGTTCATCTTTTTTCAATATCATCTCGAACAAGGCTGAAATGAATAATGAAAACGGATTTCCAAAATTTCGATTTTTTTCAAATATTTTGAAAACTAAGCATGTTACCCTTGATTTTTTATTTCACTACATTTACCGATTTACATATCATTTAAAATACAATAGGTAAAGAGGTTTTATGTAACTTAAGTCTTAATGCATTTTTAAACTATATAGAGACAGATGTGTGTCGATTCCAATACCTCTTATTCATTTATCGTTTTTCCTTCTATGTTTATATTACACTAGTAATAATTGTACTTACAAAAATGTAACTCAACATACCTTTAAAGTTCAAATTTTCTAATATCAGCACCGCATTCTCATCCACAGTACCATTTTGTTCTCCCAGATTCAACCTAGCACCGTAAAGCTCTGGAAAACAGTCAATTACTTCATTAACACCATTCTCCCGTTGGAAATCTCGAAGTGTGGGTGCTATAACATTATACATAGCAATTTCGTTCTTGAAAGTCACTTGAATATTGAATACCTTTCTAGCAACTTCATGTTCAGGGATCATTTTTGCCACGGCATGTAGTTCCTCTTCCGTACCATCATTTTCGTCCTTCAGTGTTACGTCCAACTTCAACATTGTACTACCGTAGTTTTCTCCGGGACCAGTCAGGTTCGTAATCTTCTTGTCCGAAATTCTTTGACTTTTTTTAATGCATCCACTCAGCACTTCCTGTAAGTCTTCTATCGTGTGTTCGCCCATGATTATTTACGTGGGTACGTTTAAAATAAGTATTCTAAATTCCAGCTTAAATTTTCTATTACCAGTATGAATATTATTTGTTAGAAATATTAAATAGTAAGAGCACAGTTGTTGTGTTGCGTTTAAGTGTTACGTCTCGTGTGAAACTTGGTACTACATTCTTAATTACAAATAGGTAAGCCTTGAAAATGATAAGAATAAGTAGGGAAATATTTGATTAAATTATCCACTTTAATAGTGAGTGCATCTGTGACGGATACAATGAGTAATTTTGAAGTACATTAGTTAACAATAATTTATACTTATACAAAGTATATGATTACAAATTTCATCCCGTCGAAAAAAAGATAACTATGTCTGTACATGAGATTTTTGTGTTTTGTTTAGCAGTTTCGTAATAATAAAACTTTTATGAATTTGCTAAAAAATCGTGTCAGCGGTACAAATTACTCCTTTGAGTGTTGAATTTTCTTTTATATTAGCCTTTTATTTTAGTTTTCTTTTAATACCACACACACACACTTTTATTCTTTATTCCTAAAAGAAAACTTAACATTGCATTCTAACCTTATTGTCTTATTCCCTTTCAAGTTTCAACTACAGAACACAGAACTACGTTCTGCACTGAACATAGAACCAGGTAAGTTTAACACGCGCCATTATTCCATGGCTAGAAATTGGCCTCAATGATTTGGGATCGAGGGGGATTATCCCTCTTTATCCTGCCTCATCTCGTGTAGGCCTGGACAGCCTTCGTAGGNGCTAGAAATTGGCCTCAATGATTTGGGATCGAGGGGGATTATCCCTCTTTATCCTGCCTCATCTCGTGTAGGCCTGGACAGCCTTCGTAGATGGGCCCCATCCGTCGTCTACCCCGACCGCAATTGCGGCCGGTGTAGGCGCTTTGTGGGACCTCCTTTTGTTCTGGCTGGGCCCCGCTGGCTAGGGCCCTTTCTTCTGGCGCTCTTCTTGCTTGGCCGGCTCGTCTGTGTAAACCCCGGGGATGGTGTCATGTTTATGGTTGGGTACGGTAGTGCGGCAAGTTTAACATTAAGGTACGAGACAGGCAACTGCGGTCATTTTATTTTTCAGCTGGCTTTATTTCGACGCCCAGTTTTTATTCACATTTTACGTGAATGGTTTTTATTTATTTATTCTTCCAATTTATGAAGAATTTTTTTTTTGTTTATTTTGAAGAGAGCAATCAGCTTTGAAAGATACCTAATAATAATATTTGAAACATAAGTATTATTTTATTCTTCTTTTTATAGTTTATTTTTTAGGACCTTCTGCTTGGCGACGCCTCAAAAGCTAAGGCAAAGTTCAATTGGTCCCCTAAAGCTTCTTTTCCTGACTTGGTTAAGGATATGATGGAATCAGACATTGAACTGATGAAGAAAAATCCCATAGCCTAATTTTTTTAAATCTCTATATATTTTTTGCTACTATTATTTCACCTGTACATTTATTTTCATGTACATCTTATCTCATGACATAATTTTTTTAAAACTCTATCTTTTGTTACTCTACTTCACATGTACTTATATTTCATAGATACGTGGTACATTCCATTACTGTATATTCTTATATTCAAAGATAAGCATTTTTCAGACAGTAAAATTGTGCTCTCAACGTAGATAAACCTCGTATAGGAATATGCAATTTCTTTTGTATCTACACGGTGTTGAGATTCGAACCGGAACATCCCCGTCAAATTTGAGTGCGTTGTCCGATTTCGATGATTATTCTTTTACATACACACTGTCCTAAATCATCTACAAAACCAAATATCATAGTGATGGTGCCACACTACGAGGCTTGCTATGATTTTTTTTGAGAGGTGTTTTCTGTGAAATTATGAAACACTGCGAAATTTTCCATAAAAGCAAATCATAATATGATTTACTGAAATTTGAGAGGGGTGATCTGGATCAAATCTGAACACCCAATATTTAAGACATGCATATATAATATAAAAGTATTATGACATAGGAATTCTTTGTTACGTTTATGATATTGCAAATAAATGATTGTGTAAATAAATAATCATAGTTTTTGCGTTTTTAATGAAGGAGTACGGCAAGAGTCAGATCTTGACCCGATTTTCTTCTTGATTTATGTCAACGATTTACATTGTTGTGTGAATGATTCAGTTCTAACTATTCAATTTGTAGAATAGAATAGTACAAACCTCTCGAACCACATTCCTGTAATTGATGATGTAATAGAGTAGGTCCGTCCAGTTGAACTAATGATACAAAATATTTTCTTTCTATCTTAATAAATTTAAATTCTATTAAGACAAAAACCGTAATATTTAATCTAAGTGAAGCCGAAGATATACCAAATCCTGAGGTACAATTAAACTAGCTATATATTTTTTAGTTTACTTTATAGAATTTTATATTTAAATTTGTCAATTTCCTCAGTGTTTTATCTCTTACCTTTGTGTATTGTTTAATTATTTAATTTGTGTAAATACTTTGTATATTTTGGCGTCAATAAAGAAAACAGAGAATTCGGTTCTGTAAAGGGCCTTGGGCTATTTAAATGGGAAATATTTTATTGTCCACAGCTGTAGGTACATTCAGGCTGTTCTCCTGTTCCAGTGAGAGCTGGAAATTTACAATATGCGATTTTGTTCATTACTATAAGTAAAACAAATCTAAAAAACAGGATTTTTTTTAAATCTGTGTCTCGAAATGGTTTTCATTATAGTCCTCATTTAGGTTTAGGTGCATTTGAAGGGAAAAGGTGATAATAAAGATGTTTGTCCATCTATCCTTTTAATGAGAAAACGGATGTAATATAAATTTAATTACCTATTAATTAAAACACACGTTGTGCACAGAAAGGGCATTCGACATTTTTGGGGGCTTTCTTAAATAGGTCTTTCAAACAAAACCTATGGAACATTCATTTCAAGAAAAGTATCAATTTCGTAAAAAAATATTTAAACACCAAGTCGTTAAAAATTAAATTTCATGTAGATTTCAAAATTGGGAAATATATTGGGGTGTTTTATTCTAAATAATCTAAGTTTGGTTTATAAAAAAAAACTTGAGGATCATAAGAATGATCCAGAAATGAAAAATTCTGTATCTCCTAAACGTATCAAGATATCAAAATGTAATTTTCCTACTTCGATTTTACTTGAAAATTAAACCTTAGGAAACGTCGAATACCACCCTGTAAATAGACAACACTTCATTACAGCCATCCTCTTCTGCCGCATGTTTGGATTAAGAACCGTATCTTCTCCTTCGCAACCAAATTGATGCCTGCCTTCATTTTTTCCACATCGGGTGGTATCGAGGGATCGAATCCTGTGGAAGGTTCCTTTTCCCCAAAAATTATAAATAACGTCATCCCAAAACAATGTTCAACTTCAGTCGGCGTCGCAGCTTTCATTTCTTCTAAAAACTTAGGTAAACTAAAAGGAGCAGTGTCGCATTTCAACTTCTCCAAATGAGAAATGAAATGTTTGTGGTAAAATTCAATCAAACTATCGAAATCGTCCTGTAGTACAGACAACTGAACGCTTGTGAAGAGAAAGAAGAACAGGTCTGTGGCTGGTGATTTATAGTCGCAAACTTGAAAGTCAACCAACTTGTTGCTAACAGGTACCTTGTTCCGAAATTTTATCATAGTATTATTTACCCACATGTCCCCGTGAGTTAGTGTCGCGAATGGTTCCCTTGGTGGTGCATCTCGTGCTGCACCTACGTTGTTGAAAATGTTTTTAACTTTTGGTATCCATGGTATACATTTGTATGAATCTTGAAGGATCTCTAAGAACAGTGACTGGATTTCGTTTTCGAATGGCATAGGCGGGGGACGGAACGGGGCCAAGTACGGTCTGATTTTCTCATCGAATACTTCTGGTTTCTTCAGCTTCAGAGCAAGTGGTACGGCATGGAAAGCTGCCAAGTCTTTGAGTATTAACTGGGCCGTCTCTAGGTCGAAGCCTACGTGGCGATCTACGCATTGATACTCTGAAACAATGTTATTGAATAATACTTATTTATTTTTAGAACTTAAAATGTACGTCTTGTAAGATAGCTATATGTTAAGAAGTGGGATATTTCAACAGATCCGCCCTGGTCTATTAGTGATTGTTGAGAAACAAATGCGTCCACAACGTGTCACTGTTTGGAGCGGATTTTGAGCTGGAGACATCATCGGATCATCTCAGAAAATGCCGCTGGTCAGGCAATACCAATAATTAACGGTGCTCGCTATTGCAACATAACTAACTCCTGCATACTTTTTTTTTGTTGGAAAATACAAAGCACTTAATTCAATATCAGTGAACCTGTGCAGAACTTCAGAGTTTCGAAAGTACCTACGTCAACTAACCGTCATACCAATTACTGTTAATATAAGTACCTCGCGTTAGATTAGATATTGTTATACATTAATTTCGACGATTTTAGAAATATTTGAATGAATTGTCTTTGTTTTATGAAAAATTCACAAAACATTCTAAATAGCTTAAATATACTAGATAAGAGAATATATTTCACTACATTTACCGATTTACATATCGTTTCGAATACAATAGGTAAAGAGGTTTTATGTAACTTAAGTCTTACGCACGTTTAAACTATCTAGAGATAGACTTGTGTCGATTCCAACATATCTTTTTTATCATACTAGGAATAATTGTAACTGTACACTTCAAAAGTGGAACTCAACGTACCTTTGAAGTTCAAATTTTCTAAAATCAGCACCGCATTCTCATCCACAGTACCATTTTGTTCTCCCAGATTCAACCTAGCACCGTAAAACTCTGGAAAACAGTCAATTACTTTGTTAACACCGTTCTCTCGTTGGAAATCTCGAAGTGTGGGTGCTATGACATTATACATAGCAATTTCGTTCTTGAAAGTCACTTGAATATTGAACGCCTCTCTTGCGAATTCCTGTCCAGGAATCATCTTAGCCACAGCATGTAGTTCCTTTTCCGTACCATTTTCTTCCTTCAATGTAAGGTCCAACTTCAACATTATACTACCGTAGTTTTCTCCAGGAGCCGTCAGGTTCGTAATTTTCTTGTCCGAAATACTTTGGCTTTTCTTAATGTATTCACTTAGCACTTCCTGTAAGTTTTCTATCGTGTGTTCGGCCATGATTATTTTTTTAACTTAAATTTTTTGTTATCGGTGCGAATATTATTTATCAGAAATATTAAATAGTGAGAGCACAGTTGTTGCGTTGTGTTTAAGAGTTACCTCTCGAGTGAAACTTGATAATACCTTCTTAATTACAAATAAGCCTTCAATATGATAAGAATCCGTAGTGAAATATTTGATTCGATTATCCTCTTTAATTTATTATTGAGTATATCAATGATGGATGCAATGAATAATTTTTTGGAGAACGTTATTTAACAAATTCCATCGCGTTAAAAAAAATGATGGGTATGTCTGTACAATTGTGATTTTTGTGTGCTTTGTTTAGCAGCTTCGTAAAATAGTAAAATTTTTATGGATTTGCTAAAAAACGTGTCACCAGTACAAATTACTCCTCTTGCAAAGTCGTTTTGGTTGTTTGGATTTTGTCGTTTCTAAGGTGTTTATAAACAAAGCTACATAAAAGTGTCAATTTTGCTGGTTTTGAATTATTATTTCTAAATGAGCGATTTTCAAATAGAAAGTGCAGCAAATGTTGCCTACGAATATTTATTGCCTGAGAAGTCGAAAGTGCGCTACGGACGAGCATATACAGGGTCGGAAAGTCCCCATGGTTTATCGGCCGTTACGTGAGAACGATAAAGAAAGTCATAGAAATCCGTGCGATAGAGAAAGATGGCTATAATGAAGGCGTCTAATAGTCACCGCCCATTTCGCCCTTCCAGAAATAAGATCCACTTCTTATTTGTATAAGTTTTACGTTTTTAGTTATAATTAGACCTTGTAAGTAATACCGGTGTGAAGTTAGCAGATAAAAGATAGCGGACTTACTGAAAATACCCAAATATCCAAGAGCGAATATTAAACATAAAGAATTAAACACAAAGAATAGGGAATATAGGGTTAATATATATTGAAGGACCAGCCATTTGCACACCGTCTTGGGGTTGGAAAAACTACCTCTAAATAGAATAAAAATTAAAACTATTGATAGAAGTAAATCAACCCTGATAATCATGCGAGGTGAAGACGATATTTCCATATTGCCATAAAATACATGCTAAAAGTTCATCCATTCGCAGGTTTCCTGAATTTTGCAATGCATTAATCATAATTATTGAGTATCTTTACAAATTTGCTGGACAAAACAACATTTACATTTTCTGATGTCTGCATGTTTTCCATGATCTTTCAATGCAAATAATTAAAAGAAGTTGCTCTAGTATAGCTTTACGCGTCGTCACTTCTTGTGTGGATCTACTTGGTCTCTTGTCTATAAAACGCCAGTCTTAATATGATAAGTCTTTTCTTTATTCCAAAGGCCATTTAATTTAGTCAACTCAAATTTTGAGAAGGAATGGATGAAAGACGGTTATGCTAATAATAAGAAATGGAATATTATTAATTTATTTACAGAAACTGTAGCCCTGTAAATTACATGAAATCCAGGAAATTTTTTACTAATTAAAGCACATTGTACAGAGTGGACAGTTTTCCACTCCTTTCCTTATTTCCCGAAAGCAAGTCAAAAAATAGTTAAATACGGTATTTGATATTAACTTGATTCGTTTGAATTTGGAACAATAATTTTATTTATTAATTACGATATTCTTCAGAAAAAATGCATATGTGCCTTGTGCTGCACATCCTTTAAGGAGAATTTTTATACAAATTTCAAAAATTCAGAAATTGAAGGTTTTTTCATTAAAAAAATAAATGGAAGTCCGTACCACAAAAATATTTACTTCACCGGGTTGTTTCTAAAATAAGTAAATAAAAATATTTCATAATAAAAAACTTGTTGGGTATTATGAAAAATTGACAATAATGGAAAATGTTCTGTATTGTTCAGAGGAATCGAGATACAAGTAAGTGATTTCCATTTTTTCTTTAATTGAACTCGAAGCTGTCTAACTATTTTTTATTTCTTCGGGAAATATAGTAAACGCTCCAAAAATGTTGAATATCGCCCTATATATAAATTTTTAAAAGTGATAATTTTATTGTAGCCATCCTTTTGTGCCACATGTATGAATTAGATACCAGGCTTTTTCCTTCGCTTCTAGGATTATGTTTGCCTTAAGTTTTTCGTTTTCAAGCGGCACCTCAGGATCAAAATCTTGCGAAGAACCCCCCTTTCTCCCATATACTACAATGAGTAACATGATGATAGTCTGTAATAAGTAGAGTGACGCCGCTGATTTCATTTCTTCTAAAAACTTAGGTAAACTAAAAGGAGCAGTATCGCATTTCAACTTCTCCAAATGAGTAATGAAATGCTTGTGATAAAATTCGATCAAACCGTCGAAATTGTCTTGAAGCACCGACAGTTGAACGCTTGTGAAGAGAAAGAAGAACACGTCTATGGCTGGAGAATTGTAGTCGCAAATTTGAAAATCAACTAATTTGTGGCCAACTGGTAGGCGGTTCTGAAATTTTATCATGATATTATTTACCCACGTATCCCCATGAGTTATGGTTGAAAACGGCTCTCTTGGTGATATATTTTGACGTGTTTTATTGAGTTTAAAAATCTCTTTCACTTTTGGAATCCAAGGTATACATTTGTATGACTCCTGAAAGATCTCAATGAATGTCGAGTATAATTGTTCATCATGAGGCGAAGAAGGTCGTACGAATGGAGCCAGATACGGCTTGATTTTGCTTTCGAACACTTCTGGTTTTCTCAGTTTCAGAGCCAGTGGTATAGCATGGAAAGCTGCCAAGTCTTTGAGTATTAAGTGGGTCGTCTCTAGGTCGAAGCCTTTGTAGCGGTCTACGACTTGATATCCTAAAGGAAAAAAAGGAATGTATCTGAAATATTTTTATGCAAAATATACAAAGCAAACAAAATTACCAATCTAGAATATTGATATAACTAATTTAAGATAAAAAATAAGTGTTTCAGTTATTTTTTTTTGGAAAGTACAAACTAATAAATTCAATAAAGTTAAATGCGCAGAACTTCAACTGATTCATGAACTATTTACTTAATGCATTAAGTCAATTTAATAATATACTTTCATCAGATAGTATTGTTATGTGATAGCAATTAAAATGACGCAATTACATAAAAAAAAACTGATTTCAAGTAACAGCTCCTTCTCTTATCGAAGTAAAAGTTCAGCTGATATCAAAAACTCAAGTTTTTGGAGCATCTTCTATTACATTTATCTTTCTGTGCATTTAACTGTAATATAAATATCATTTTAAAGGCAAATCATGTTTTTACGGGAGATAATAAATATAGGCGTTCACAAAAAAAATGCTAGAGGGCAAGAGTAAATGCAGGCCATAGAAATTAATATATATTAATCCATATTTTATTTGGTGGTAGTAAATAAAATAAAAAGTAATTAAATTTTCTTATTTGCTGGCAAGTTTGTGCACTGAGCGCAAAAATTTGAAAGTGGATATTAAATACAAGAAAATTTAGTGTTTTAATTTACGATTTACTTTAATTTAATTTACTTTAATTTACGATTAAAACAGCACTCTAAATCCATAAGGTGTCCGAAAATGCCTAACCTAACATACCTTTAATGTTCAGATTTTCCAGTATAAGAACTGCATCCTCATTTACAGTGCCATTTTGTTCGTCTAGATTTATCCTAGCTCCGTAATATTCCGGGAAACAGTCAATTACTTGATTTATCCCGTTTTCCCTTTGGAAATCTCGAAGTGCGGGTGCTATGACATTATACATGGCAATTTCGTTCTTGAAAGTCACTTGGGTGTTGAACAGCGTTCTTTGGAACTCCGTAGCAGGAATCATTTTAGCCACAGCATGTAGTTCCTCTTCAGTACCATCATTTTCGTCCTTCAGTGTTACATCCAACTTTAACATTAAACTACCAAAGTTTTCTCCGGGAGCAGTCAAGTTAGTAATTTTCTTGTCTGCAATTCTTTGACTCTTTTTAATGCATCCACTTAGCACTTCCTGTAAGTTTTCTATCGTGTGTGCGCCCATGATTATTTTTTTAACTTAATTTTTTTGTTATCGGTGTAAATATTATTTGTTAGAAATATTAAATAGTCAGAGCACAGCTGGTGCGTTGTGTTTTAGTGTTACCTGGCGTGTGCAACTTGATACTACATTCTTAACTACGGATAAGCCTTTAAAATGATAAGATTCAGTAGGGAAATATTTGATGCAATTATCCACTTTAATTTATTATCGAGTACGTTAGTGACGGATACAATGGATAATTGTTTGAAGTACATTATTACAAATTCCATCGCGTTCAAAAAAAAAATGATGGGTATATCTGTACATTTGAGATTTTAGTGCGCTTTGTTTAACAGCTTCGCAAAATAATAAAATTTTTTTGGATTTTCTAAAAAACGTGTCCCCAGTACATATTACTCCTTTGCCGAATGAAACAGCCAACTGCGGTCATTTTACTTTTCAGCTGCATAGTATTTGCGATTCTCGAGACCGTGGTTATAGCATGCGCCAGAAGAAAGGGCCCTAGCCGGCGGGGCCCAGCCAGGACAAAAGGAGGTCCCACAAAGCGCCTACACCGGCCGCATTTGCGGTCGGGGTAGACGACGGATGGGGCCCACCTACGAAGGCTGTCCAGGCCTACACGAGATGAGGCAGGATAAAGAGGGATAATCCCCCTCGATCCCAAATCATTGAGGCCAATTTCTAGCCATGGAATAATGGCGCGCGGTTATAGCATATAATCACAAAAATGTATATTATCCTAGAAATTATTACTTAGTGACGCACTCACACACATGCGCATAAAAATGCTCATACCATAAAATTTTGATCTATTATACACTTAAAGTTTTCGATATACCAGCATTTGGTACATAGATAAATTCAGTCTCTATCAGGATGGCTCAGGATGTGCAAAAATTTTAAAAAATATCCAGTGGTACCATTTAAGCATTCCATTTTCAAGGACGTCAAAGGTGGGTATTTCTTCAGTCAATAAAGTTTTAGTCTCGAGGAAATAGATGCGCTTGGTAGAAAAATAGGTTATAAACACTAAAAAAATGCGGTATTGTTCAAATTCGTTCATTTTGTTTACTGACTGCCACATTTATTCGAACAATTATTCCAGAGTATCTCCCTAGGTGTTATAGACAATACTACGTATTTAAACATCTTCATAAGGAATAATCTTATGGGTTAAATTCAGGAGAACGAGGCGGCCAGACTATGGGCCCTTCTCGTCCAATTCATCTTCATTTATTCAATCAGTTTCTCACGTTTAATTGTTTCAAAAAACGTTTAATGGGACGTTTACAAAAAAAAATTACTGAATATTTTCTTGTTAATTTAATTTATCTATTTAGCAAGAACAGAAGAGTTTTCCAGGTTAGGGGTTGCTCGTCTCCTGGCATCGTTGTTAATCACGGGAGCAGGAATAAAGACAACAAAAAAAAAAAGAAAAGGGAAGAATAGGAAAAGGAATGGAAATCAAATAAAGGAAGTGGGTTAAAGTGGAGGAAAAAGTAAAATAGTAGAGTAAATACAAAACGAATTGGGTCGAAATGTAATAACGCGAATGAAATAATTGAAATAATAGATTCTGATAAAAAAAACTATCGGTAGACACTTTTTTGACGGTAAAGAGAACTTAGTAAAAATAAAGGACAAACATATAGGCACGTTAATGACTAGAACAATTTATGTTATAGTGCCGTCTAGAATGTTTAGAGTACTTATGAAGAAATAGCTTTAATTATGAAAAATTTCACGATTTACTGGGTATCGAAGAAACAAAAACAAAGAGAAAATGACATCCAAAGGATAGAATAGTACATATTTCTGATTAGAACCGACGAAACAGGAAACCCATCCACAACTACAAGTGAGGATTTAGTGCCGTATTTAAATGGAATCTTCAAAGTTGCTTGGAGGTCTGGCAAAAAGTAAAGGCAGGTTCAGTTTTGGAGGTCTAACTGAATCGTATCATTACAAAAAACCTTAATTCCTCAAAAATAAGTCAAATGTGGATGGACTGCAATACGTGTTAAGAGAAAAAATGAAAGAAGATGATAGAAAGAGATAGACAATAATCAGTGAAACATGAAGGATGAATAAAAGAAAAACACCTGCTAGAAATTTTTGAAAGAAAAGTTGCGAGAAAAATACATGGACGAAGGAAAGAGATTTTGAGGCTTTTTTTCGGGAAATAGAATGAACCCTAAGAAAATATCGAATACCTCCCTGTACATAATTTTTAAATAGGTAACATTTCATTACAGCCATCCTCTCATGCCGCTTGTATGGATTAGATTCCAGAATTTCTCCTTCGTAGTCAAGTTTATGCTTGCTTTTAATCTTTTCAGATCAAATGGTGCTGACGGATCGAATTCTGGGGAAGATAGCTTTTCCCCAAAAATTATAAATATAAAATTAAAACAATGCTCGACTTCAACTGGCGCCGCAGCTTTCATTTCTTCTAAAAACTTAGGTAAACTAAAAGGAGCAGTGTCGCATTTCAACTTCTCCAAATGGGAAACGAAGTGTGTGTGATAAAATTTAATCAAACCGTCGAAATCGTCCTGCAGTACAGATTGCTGAACATTTACGAAGAGAAAGAAGAACAGGTCTGTGGCTGGTGATTTATAGTCGCAGACTTGAAAGTCAACCATCTTGTTGCTAACAGGTACCTTGTTCTGAAATTTTATCATAGTATTATTTAACCACATGTCCCCGTGAGTTAGTGTCGCGAATGGTTCCTTTGGCGGTACATCTCGTGCTTCTCTTGCGTTCTTGAAAATGTCTCTGACTTTTGGTATCCAAGGTATACATTTGTATGACTCTTGAAGAGTCTCTATGAACACTGACTTGACTTCGTCCTCGAATGGCATAGGGTCAGGACGGAATGGAGCCAAGTACGGTCTGATTTTCTCATCGAATACTTCTGGTTTCTTCAGTTTCAGAGCCAGTGATATGGCATGGAAAGCTGCCAAGTCTTTGAGTATTAACTGGGTCGTCTCTAGGTCGAAGCCTACGTAGCGATCTACGCATCGATATCCTGAAAAATGTGACTGAATTAGGTTAATTAAGTAGGTGTCCAGTAAGTAGGTATGCCAAAAAGAAAATACATAATATTTATTTCTAGAAAATTTGACATTATTGGAAATATATGCAATTTTATGCCCACCTTATTGCATATTTTATGTGTAATCTATAACGTATAAATAATAATTTTATTGCACTATTTTCGTATCAATAATCTTAAGTCCCTCGAGAGTAGAAGGAAATCTGGTCACATTATATATTTGCACAAAATATAGAATGGTAATGTTGATTTGATAATCCCTCTTGTCTCTCATTAATACGTTTGAATGTACCAGCATATACTACTTGAATTTCTAGAACTTTCTATCTTGAACTTGCTTCAACGAACTATCAAATGAACTCTCCACTCCACAGAATTTGTTCTAATTACAATATCAAAACATTATTAAATCGATTGTTTTAGATATTATTTATATTGTGTTTGTTTCTTATTGTACTTATATACTCTGTAATGGCGCTCTGCTTGTTGAGTATTAATAAATAAATAAATAAATAAATAAATAAATATGATGCGAAGGAGTTTACTCGATTTGTTTTAATTTTGGGTTAAATTTTGGAAAGAGTCAAGGTAGTAATAATAAGAAAGATTTTTAAAAAAATTTAAAAATGTACCTACTTCATCTTCATAAAAAAAGTATCAAAGAAATTTTAACTTGTTTAACTCATTATTTAAAAAAAAATAGATATTTTAAAAATAACTACTCTTTTTTCTTTCATGTAACAAAAAATAAGTATCTACTTATGTTACTAAGTGGAATAACTGTATTTACTGCTACATCACGTAATAGCAGCTGCAAGTATTAGTAGCTCATGCTGTTGCTACTAATATTTTCAAGAGATGAAATTTGCGGTTATTGAAAGATTAAAAAAAACAGTAGAAAATATTTTTTCCTCAAAAACGCTCCTATTACGATGTCAAAAATTATTCGATATGTTATAAATGTAGAAGAAAAGAAAAAAATACATGAAAATACATTACATAGGAAATTTCTTTTTAGAAAATGAGTGACCTCTATTATTGAAATAGTGTAGTGACAATTCCTTTATTTTGAAATCTTCATGTCTTAAGTATGTGTTAATAATTAACTCCTGGGTAGTTATATATTTTTTTGGGAAATACAGCACTTAAAGGCCAATCATTATAGCTTTTTTTCGGGAAAAAAATACTATTAGAAGTTTCTCTGCGGAATATTGTTCAGAAACGTGTTATAAACAAAATATCAAAAAATCAACTCGAGACTAGTTGGGAAACTTTGTTAAAACAATGGTCAAAATTATGGAAAAGTAGTTTTTCGACTGGCGTAAAAAAACTGTTATTCATAGAGAAAAAAAGGTTTATACAAAAAAGGTAGGTATTAAATAAATCTGTAAAATAAGACAAGTCCGATTAAATTCCGATAATTTGTTTATGCGCAAGAGCTCAAAAATGGTCGAAATTGTCCGCTTTTTTCAATTGCTAATAATTAATGCAATTTTCATCGCAGACACTTGTAATTCAGGATTTTTGAAGCTTTTTGCACCCTTAATAAGTGGTAAAAATTTCAGCCCAAAAACTTCATTAGCTTGGCGTTGGCGGAATTTGTTATCTAAGAAGATGCTATTTTCAATTCATTTTTCCCAAGCTCACAGGCGTTGTAGGGTTTCGATCATTAGTTGTTTTTGTACCTAAATAGTTGTATTGACATATGCATTTACTGATAATTTAATTTTTCAAATTTAATTTGTTTAAAAATGACTGAAAAAATGTTAATATTTATTACATCGTTAAGCGCGCATGCTAAGCCTCGCCTTCCCCACTCGTTCGCTAGACCAAGTAATAGAACGCATCGCCGCTATCTTCTTTTTCGAAATTAAATAGTTGAATTCACCTTAATGTTAATGTAGGACATGAAAATATAGCTCTTAATGTATACTCTCTCCAAATTTCGGCTCTTAATATTAATAATTAAGGTCACTGCGATTAAATAAATAAAAAAAATTATCTCAGCTTCTAATCAACTTACAACAACGATTTTTTTTTAAATTCGAAGAAAACTAAAGTATAGAGGTTACTATTTTATTTTATAATAATTACCTATCTTAACAATTTAATAAATATTAACATTTTTTCAGTCATTTTTAAACAAATTAAATTTGAAAAACTAAATTCTCAGTAAATGCATATGTCAATACAACTATTTAGGTACAAAAACAACTAATGATCGAAACCCTACAACGCCTGTGAGCTTGGGAAAAATGAATTGAAAATAGCATCTTCTTAGATAACAAATTCCGCCAACGCCAAACCAATGAAGCTTTCGAGCTGAAATTTTTACCACTTATTAAGGGTGTAAAAAGCCTCAAAAATCCTGAATTACAAGTGTCTGCGATGAAAATTGCATTAATTATTAGCAATTGAAAAAAACGGCAATTTTCGACCATTTTTGAGCTCTTGTGCATAAACAAATTATCGGAATTTAATCGGACTTTTTTCATTTTATAGGCTTATTTAATACCTACCTTTTTTGTATAAACTTTTTTTCGCTATGAATAATAGCTTTTTTACGTGAGTCAAAAAACCACTTTTCCATAACTTTGACCACTGTTAAAACAAAGTTTCCCAACTAGCCTCGAGTTGATTTTTTGATATTTTATTTATAAAAGGTTTCCGAACAATATTCCGCAGAGAAACTTCTAATAGTATTTATTTCCCGAAACAGGCTCTTACATGTCTATAATGACTGGGCTATTAATTAAATATCAGTGAACTCGTGCAGAACTAAAAAGTACCTACTTCAGATAATCGACATACTGTAAATATAAGAACACTCGCATTAGATTAGATATATTCTTGTGTGCAATAGATAAAAGGGTATTATACGAGTATAACTTAAGTCTTACGCATGCTAAACTATAAAAATACACATGTGTCGCTTCCAACACATATTATTGGTTTATCGTTCTGCCTTATTCTATGTTTGTATCGTACTTACTAGGAATAACTGTAACTTACAAAAATGTTACTCAACATACTTTTAAAGTTCAAATTTTCTAATATCAGTACCGCATTCTCATCCACAGTACCATTTTGTTCTCCCAGATTTATCCTAGCACCGTAAAACTCTGGGAAACAGTCAATAACTTCGTTAACCCCGTTCTCCCGTTGAAAATCTCGCAGTGTGGGTGCTATGACATTATACATTGCCACTTCGTTCTTGAAAGTTACTTGAATATTGAATATCTTTCTTACAAATTCTTGTTCAGGGATCATTTTGGCTACGGCATGTAGTTCCTCTTCCGTACCATCACTTTCGTCCTTCAGTGTTACGTCCAACTTCAACATTATACTACCGTAATTATCTCCGGGAGCAGTCAGGTTCGTAATCTTCTTGTCCGAAATTCTTTGACCCTTTTTAATGTACCCACTTAGCACTTCCTGTAAGTTTTCTATCGTGTGTTCGCCCATGATTGTTTTTTTTTAATTTTCTGTTATCGGTGCAAATATTATTTTTTTAGAAACATTAAATGGTAAGAGTATAGTCTTACCTTTGTTGCGTTATGTTTAAGTGTCACCTCTCGTGTGAAATTTGATAATACATTCTTAATTACAAATAAGCCTTGAAAATGATAAGATTTTATTTTATTTTATTATCGAGTACAGCAATGACGTATACAATAAGTAATTTTGAAGTACCTACGTTATTTAATACTTATCCAAAGTAATTGGATACATATTCCATCTAGTGGAAAAAAATGATATGTATCTCGGTACATTTAAGATTTTTGTGTTCTTTGTTTAGCAGTTTCGTGAAATAATAAAATTTTTAGAACCTAAAATAAAAAACCTAACCTTAAAAAAATTAGAACTTAACATGTAATAGGAATGTAGCGTAACTAGCACATTCTATGAAATGTCTAAAAAATAATTAGACCAGCGTATTTGGCATCCTTAAAAACCCCGGAATAACAAAATTCGTAAAAATATTACTAACCGTTTGGAAATTTTCGTAAAAATTCTATTTAAAAATTTTTATTTTATCGATAGATGTTCATATGACAAAAAATTCTTATGTTTTGTTGTACTATCGCCCCCTGTATTCAAGGGAGGTCTTTCTAAAACACCCTGTATAACCTATTCCACTGACCACACCTACGAGGGTGGTCCCAGAAGTACCCGGCCTGACCTAGAGATGGCGGTAGTTGTTTGATATTAGAAAGTGAAAATGTTTCAAGTTTGATGACGCCATGCTGTTTAGTATTTGTTTGACAGCCATAAATAGTGAACGTTTTCACTGAATTTGTAAAAATGGAGAAAATTGGTCATCGTTATGTGATACAATACTTTTATTTGAAAGGCTTCAGCCCAACCAATAAAAAGCTGAACTACATTCTACTCTGGGTGAGTCTGCTCCTTCGTTTACAACAGTAAAATATTGGGTAGCAGAGTTTAAACAAGGCCGTACGAGCTGCCAAGACGAGCATCGCAGGGGTCGACCAAATGAGGTGACGACTCCAGAAATGGTGAAGAAAATCCACAAAGCGGTACTGGATGATCGTCGAGTGAAAGTGCGCGAGCTAGCTGACACAGTAGACATTTCAAAAAGTGCGGTACATCGTATATTATCTAAAAATTTGGACATGAGAAAGCTGTGTGCAAAATGGGTGCCGCGTTTGCTCACACTCGAGCAAAAACTGTCTCGTGAAGATGTTTCAATCGAGTGTTTAGCGAAGTCTCACAGCAACAAAGCAGAATTTTTGCGCCGTTTCATAACCATGGGTGAAACATGGGTCCATCACTTCACACCCGAAACAAAAGAACAATCAAAACAATGGCAAGGTCATGGCTTCGGTTTTTTGGGATGCGCGTTGGATAATTTTCATTGACTATCTTGAAAAAGGAAAAACTATCAACGGCGAGTATTATGCGAACTTATTGCAACGTTTGAGCGAAGAAATCAAGCAAAAACGGCCGCATTTGGCTAAGAAGAAAGGGTTGTTTCATCAAGACAATGACCAATTTTCTCCATTTTCACTGAAAACGTTCACTATTGATGGCTGTCAAACAAATAATAAACAACATGGCGTCTTCAAACTTGAAACATATGCTTTATAGATTGTGTGCTTTCTAATACAGTGATATTTTTCACACAACTACCGCCATCTCTAGGTCAGGCCGGGTACTTCTGGGACCACCCTCGTACTTCATCACCCATTTTCAATGGAGACAGAGCCCACAGAACATATCATCACGCCATCCGCACTCCAATACCCCTCCCCCAAAGGTTGAAGAGGATCAAGGCAGCGTGATATTATATTTGTGGGATCTATCTTCAGAAACGGGTATGGAGGAGAATCGGTGCAACAAATAAGAGGTGGCATGAAAACATAATAAATATAAATGAATCAAGGAAAATATGAATTAAATCTTTGGCTTGCAGCGTTGAATATTGCTCTATACAATTTCAATCTAGCCACCCTTTTCTGCCGCAAACATGGATTAAATACCATATTTTCTCCTTAGCGGCTGTGCTGATGTTCGCTTTCATTTTTTCTATGTCGGGTGGTGCTGAGAAGTTAAATTGTGTCGAAGGGCCTCCTTTTTTCCCAAAAACTATAAATGATATCATTCCGATACAATGTACTGTTTCAACTGGTGTCGCGGCTTTCATTTCTTCTAAAAACTTGGGTAAACCAAAAGGACCTGTGTCACATTTTAACTTCTCCAAATTGGAAACGAAGTGTTTATGATAAAATTCAATCAAATCGTCGAAATTGTTCTGAAGCACAGACAGTCGAACGCTTGAGAAGAGGAAGAAGAACAAGTCACCGGCTGGAGATTTATAGTCGCAAACTTGAAAGTCAAGTAATTTGTTGCTGACAGGCACGCCGTTTTCAAATTTTACCATAGTGTTATTTATCCAAGTATCCCCATGGGCTATGGTGGCGAACGGTTCTTTTGGCGGTGCTTCGAGTATTGTCTTTATGTTCTCGAAAATGTGTTCAACTTTTGATAACCAGGGCCTACATTTGTCTGATTCCTGAAGAATCTGAATGAACATTGAGTTGTGTTCTTTTTCGTCGGGCATATCGAATGGACGGAATCGTGCCAAATATGGTCTAATTTTTTTGTCGAAAACTTCTGGTTTCTTCAGCTTCAAAGCCAGTGGTATGGCATGGAAAGCTGCCAAGTCTTTGAGTATTAACTGGGCCGTCTCTAGGTCGAAACCTACAAAACGGTCTACAACCTGATATCCTGAAAGAAAAAAAAAAAAATTGTTAAAAATATGTTAATATACATTCTAAAAATTTAAAATCTTATGTACTTAATTTTAATAGCATGTAAATAACTTATTTAAACACGCCTTCTATTAAGGTATACAGCGTGATCAGTAAGGCACGACATTTCAGTTTGAAAGCAGGGGCGTCCGCGCGTGGGTTACCTAATGCGTTTATAATAAATAATTTTATGATATTGTGGAATGCTCACCCGGCTCAATATTAAAAATCTGGATAAGTTCTAGTAAATATCTGGAACACTACATATGTCTCCGCAGTAGAAAAAATATTCTTATATAACGAAAACGACTGTTCGATATAGTAATAGGCGCATATTTGAAGTAATCTCTAAAAGCAGTTAATGAATCCATGGGAGAGCTATTGCTATGAAGGTGCCTTAATCTGGAGAAATCTGGATTTTTTCTTAACACATTGTCAAACTTTCTCTGACGTAAACACTTTTCTCATCACTTAAGGCATATAGCACTGTTTGTATGTCATCTACTATTTACACTGATTCATCTAACGATAATGCATGATTTTGTAAGTTTTTTTTATAGCATCCGCAATTGAAATGTAATTGTTGTAAACTGTGCTTCAATTCGACTATCTTGATTTTTTTTTTCTCTTCCGAATAGCACCCTGCCGTACGTTAGTGAAAACCAACTAAAAATGTCGTGCCTTAGCGATCAGTTAATTTTGAGGCAAAAATCTGTCAACAAATATGAGCAAATTAATAAAATATTGTTAAAATTTTTTAATTTCATCATCAGTGGGCGCATTTGTTATAGTATTACAAAAAATCGCAAATATTTCTAAATGCCTTTCATACCGCACAAAATATTAAAAAAAAATGTCATGTTTACGAAATAAAAAATATATTATATAAATTTTCAATGAAATAATAATTTTTTTATCTTAAATGTACAACTATTCTGTAGATTTCACTGATTACATTATACAAAACATTTACTTTCCATTATCTTCAAGGTGACTTAAGATAATAATCAATAAAATATTTTGAAAAATTTTAGGCATATTATATAGCATTAATCACTTTTTTCTATTATCTGGCCCCTTATTTAACATGTAACATGTTCATTCGTATTTATCTATTATGCCCAGAATAATAATTTAACATTTACATTAGCTTAGAATTAACGCACAAACGTAAAGGTCAACATACCTTTAAAGTTTAGATTTTCCAATAAAAGAACAGCATTCTCATCAACGTCACCATTTTCTTCTCCCAGATTTATTCTAGCGCCGTAAAACTCTGGAAAACAGTTAATAACGTCATTCACACCATTTTCCCTTTGGAAATCTCGAAGTGTGGGTGCTATAACATTATACATTCCAATTTCGTTCTTGAAAGTCACTTGAATATTGAATGCCTTTCTTGCAAATTCATCAGAAGGAATCATCTTAGCCACAGCATGTAGTTCATCTTCAGTACCGTCATTTTCGTCCTTCAGTGTAACGTCCAACTTTAACATTATACTACCAAAGTTTTCCCCTGGAGCAGTTAAATTAGTAATGTTCTTCTCCGTAATTCTTTTATCCTTTTTAATGCATCCATTTAACACTTCTTCTAAGTTTTTTATCGTGTGTTCACCCATGACTACTTTCCTTAAGAACGTTTAAAATAAATATGAATTTAAATTATTATAACTATTAATACTTAATAAGCGTCGTTTTGTATCAGTCCCACTGTTCGTATGAAACTCGATACTATGTGCTTAACTATAAATAGACCTTGACCGGTATGAAGTTAGCAGATCAAAGATAGCAGCCAACTTACCGAGAATTACCCAAACATCCATGGGCGTACATATTAAAAATATTTGCGGGAATATTAAACATAAAGAGTTAAACACAAGGCGTAGGGACTATAGGATCTCTTAGACGGCCTGCAAATGTATGCGCTTTTAATATTTGTTTTATTATCGTACTGTCTCAGTTTAAATGATTGCCAGGGTGGCTATTCATTTTATTCAATTGTTTCTAACTCTTATGCGGTTTAAGGATAGGTTTGCAATCCTTAGACGGTTTGCAAATACATAAAATTTCACTCAATTTTACTCAGTAATATATCAAACTATTGCAACAGAAGTGAGTGAATTTTACACAAATCTTAGTTTCCCTCCTACACGCTATACACCACGCCACGAGATCACCTAATGGGGACGATGGAAATAGACAAAGACAACGCACGACAACCATAGAATGGGGTGGGGTCACTCAACATTTTGTACTCCGATATATGTACAAGTGTACCAAATACGAGTTTATGTGGAGAATTTTTTAATGGGTATACCTATATTTGAATGCAAATACTCAGTTTTAGTTCAAATTAATATTATCACAAATGAGTAAAATGACCAATATTGAGTGAAAATATACTCAATCAATTCAATCAATTGATTCCACTCACAACGATTTTTTTACAGTGTAGGTTACTAAACCTCCCAAACAGGTACCCCCATACTAGGATGATTTCATTTTGTTTTACATTTCCTTAAATATTTTTAATATGTACTCCCATGGATGTTTAGGGATTTTTGGTAAATTGTCTGTTATCTCTTAGCTGTGAACTTCACACCGGTGAAAATGATAACGTTTTGAGCGGCGACTCTTATCTGATAACATAAAAAACTGTTGATTCATTCAGTAGTACATTATACAGCAATAGTTTATCTAAAATAACACACTCTTTGTACGCAATGACTTGTTATAAATGTTAATTTAATTATCTTTGATTTTAGAAAGATTTTAAAATTTAAAAAGTCATATAGGTTAATATGCAACCTGCGCATTACTCATATTTCCCCGATTCTGGTATGTTTGAATTTTATGCAGGTCATCTGTGCTGAAAATGGCTCTAAAATGAGGGTTCAATATCCCGATTTATACAAATATATAAGGATTTAACTAACATAACTTTTTGTGTGAAACCAAGCTATGTCGGTGAAAAACAAGACTAATATAGTTTTATTATTGTTTTTTATAATCCACTCACAGTACTGCAATCGTTTTCCATAGTCTATAGGAAGTAATTCCTGCACCACAATTAGGTACCTTGTACAGGTGTAAATGCAGTTGTTTTTCTACAGCTTTGACATGTTCCAAATGAAAGTCCTAAAATGAAAACTTTAGTATATTAACTATACTTCACTATAATCTCAAATTCGAATAAAAATTTCAATCGAATAAATGTATATGGAGTCTTTCAATACATGATTTTGTAAGAATTTTATTTTGCTACCTCAGTTGGTTGACCCTAATAAAATTAATAACTTCTTTGCTAATGCGATGGTCAAATAAATTTTTATGACAATAATAAACGTGATATTAATTCATCTTTTAAATTTAGTTTGACTACTGTTGATGAGATTTATACCATTTTTAATATTATCAAAACCGAAGCACTTGGCGCTGATATATCTCCCAGATACAAATGATGAAAAGGGGAGCAAATGGGAATAAGAGATACTATGAAAAAAATAATAAATACAAAAGAATGAAGGAAAATGTGTAATCAATATTTGGTTCACAGAGTTGAATATTGCACTACCTACATAATTTCAATCTAGCCACCCTTTTGTGCCGCACACTTTGGTTAAATACCATATTTTCTCCTTAGCGGCTGTGCTGATGTTGGTCTTCATTTTTTCGAAATTGGATGGTACTGACAGGTCATATTCTGTTGAAGGGCCTCCTTTTTCCCCAAGAACTACAAATGACGTCATTCCCATACAATGTAAGGCTTCAACTGGCGTCGCGGCTTTCATTTCTTCTAAAAACTTGGGTAAGCTAAAAGGAGCAGTTTCACATTTTAACTTCTCCAAATTGGAAATGAAATGTTTATGATAAAATTCAATCAAACCGTCCAAATTGTTCCGAAGCACGGGTAGTTGAACACTAACGAAGAGAAAGAAGAACAAGTCTGTGGGTGGAGATTTATAGTCGCAAAGTTGAAAGTCAAGTAGTTTGTTGCTGACAGGTACGCCGTTTTCAAATTTTACCATAGTGTTATTTATCCAAGTATCCCTATGAGTCACGGTGGCGAACAGTTCTTTTGGCGGTGCATCTCGTATTGTCTTCATGTTCTCGAAAATATGTTTAACTTTTGATATCCAGGGCGTACATTTATCTGATTCTTGAAGAATTTCAATGAACATTGAACTGTGTTCATTTTCGTGAATAACGTCGAACGGATGGTAATCCGCCAAATGTGGTCTGATTCTTTTGTCGAATACTTTAACATTGTACTCCCAAAGTTTTCCCCGGGAGCAGTTAAATTAGTAATTTTCTTCTCTAGAATTCTTTTATTCTTTTTATTGTATTCACTTAACACCTCACGTAAATTTTTTATAGTGTATTTATCCATGATTATTATTTTTCTTAGGAACGTTTAAAATAAATATAAATTTAAGTTATTAGAATTTGTTAGTTGTTGTGTATCAGTTATATCAGTTCTGTATGAAACTCGATACAGTGCTCTTATCTATAAATATAGACCTTGTAAGTGGTGTGAAGTTAGCAGACGTAAGATACCTGCGGACTTGCCGAAAATACCAAGAGCGTACATATTAAAAATATTTGCGCGAATATGACACAAAGAATTGGGAATATAAGGTTAATATATATTCAAAGACCAGCCATTTGCACACCATCTTGGAGTTGGAAAACCTACCCCTAAACCGAATAAAAATTAAAACAATTGATAGAAATAAATCCACCCTGATAATCATGTGAGGCGAAGACAATATTGCCATTTGCCATAAAACACATACGTTCATCCATTTGAATGTAGTCTAAGGGTACTACTCTTTAACAAACTAAAAAATATTTGAATGAAATGAACAGCTACCCTAATAATTATAAATAAATAAAACATATACTGAGGGTTCATATATTTACAGACGTCTAAGGGTAGCAAAACCCACACTTAAACCGAACAAATTAGATACTCTTGAGGGAAATGAAAGGGTGGTTATTCATTTTCTTTAAGTGTTTCTAATTTTTATTCGGTTTAAGGGTAGATTTGCGACCATTAGACGGCCTGTAAATGGATGAGCTTTTAATATATGTTTTATTACTATATGTCGGCATTATCATCTCTTCAGGTGTTTAGTTCTAGCCTGTGTGTGAAATACTATCATTCTCTAACTTTTGTAAACACTTTCTTGTACGGCCGTGTTTGACGAAAAGTTAACTGATAGGATAGAGGAACGCACAAGGGAACGCCCCTGTGAACGGAATAAAATTGTAAACCCGGTAAGCAACGGGATCATTCAAACGATGAATGAAGCAACGATAGCCGTGTGACTTTTATTATTGTTTTGATTCCTTTGACAGAAAAGTAATGAACAGCTTGCTAGGGCTGACGGTGGCGGACCGTTAGTTCCTATTTCATAACTTGTACAACTGCTCCCATATTTTATTATTCGTAGTCGTAATAAATAGTGTCACATCACCCTTTTATTATTTCGATGGAGAAAACAATATTAACTTCACATGATTATCTGATTTTTTGAACCCCAAACCCTATTTTTTTTGTTTAATTATTCCTTACATCTCTTTATACGTACTCCCATGGATGTTTGTAGGATTTGGTAAATTATCCTTATCTTAAAGCTGTCAACTTCACGTCGGTGAAAATGAATGACATTTTCAATCAGGAACCCTTATCTGATTAGACTATTATGTATTACATAAATAACAGCTGAATCATTCAGTAGTACATTATATTGCAATATTTTATCTAAAACAAAACACACGTCCTTGGAAGGCGTGACCTGTTGTAAAACTATCTTTGATTTTAGAGATTTTAAAATTTAAAAAATTATATTGGTTGATGTGATATTATTTTCCGTGGTTTGTTAAATTATATGAGTGTACAGAAAAGCGCGTCCAAAATATACGTGACACAAATTGATGACTGTGTAGATTCACTTCAATTTTTTTGTGAACGAAAAACAGCATTAAATTCTATTTTGAAATTAATACCAGTTTAAAGTGACCATAATTAATGTTTCTATAATTTAAAAATCCTGAATACTACTATTTTTAACATGTTTAATAAGTTCTAAGTTTTTATTTTATTGATTACCTTGGTTTCAGGTAACTTATTAGTTTTAGTTGTAACATTCGTTACATTCCTTTATATTCTCGTATAATTTTCACAATATAAGCATGTTCCCACTGTTATTTGTGCACCAGGTATATTGAACGACAAATTTTATTTTCACAAATCATTTGTAATCCTTATTTATAAACATGACTATGAATTAACTTAACTTACCTCTTGATATTTCTTGTTTGTTTAATATTTATTCTTATTTATCTATTACACATTACACTAAGAATAATTTCATATTTACGCCTAGTTTACAATTATCACACAGTAATTTACATCAACATACTTCGAATTTTCCAATATAAAACTGCAGTTTCATTCACAGTACCATTTTGTTCCCACAGGTTTAGGGAATTTTTGTCTTCATTGAAGTAGAGTTAAAGTTTGGAAGAGGAATGGATGAAAGGTGGTTGCCTATATATTTAATATTAATGAGAAGTAGAATATTATTAAATTTATTTACAGAAACTGGTATACATAATCACATGGGATCCAGGATATCTTACACTAATTAAGTCACTCTGTACAGAGTGGACAGCTTTTACTCCTCCTTTTTTTCCTAAAAGCTAGTCAAAAAATAATTAAATGTAGGTATATATTCCTTGTGTTACACATCATTTGAGGATAAATTTTATACAAATTTCAAAAATTTAAAAGTATAAAGGTATTTTCATTAAAAAAGTAAACGACTACTCCGTACTAGAAAAATGTTTACTTCACTAGATTTTTTTTTATAATAAGTAAATAAAAATATTTCATAAATAAAAAAGTTGTTAGGCATTATGGAAAACTTCCAATAATGGAAAATGTTCTGTATTTTTCAAACGAATCGAGATACCATAAAGTAAAAATAAATAATAATAATATATCTGCTCCTCATTCTAACTACGAAAATTAGCCCAGAAGTCGGAGACTTGTGCGGGAGAGGAGGCGGCATATTATTATTACGCAGGCCGCATTTGCGCCCAGGAACGACTTCTGTTGGTAGGCCCTAACCACCATTCAGTGCAGGAATGAGGGAAACCTAGAAAACCTCATTAATTAGGGGGTGGTCTAATGCCAACCGGTGTCAATATCTCACATTGACCCAAGCCAACATTCTTCCACCCTACCATACCTGCACAGAGGATGCCAATCCTCCGTGCAAGCATAGCTAATCTACGGTCTACCGGCCGTGGGATTCGAAACCCGGGCAGATCGACACATCGATTTAAGTACTGACGCCTTAAACCGTGCTGCTATCGACCGTATAAAGTGGTTTCCATTTTTTTCGTAAATTGTACTGCCTAACTATTTTTTGTCTCTTCGAGAAATATACCTAATAAACGCTCCAAAAATGTTGAATAATACCAATTTTTAAAAGTAATAATGTTATTCTAGCCATCCTCTTGTGCCACATGTATGAATTAGATACCATGCTTTTTCTTTCGCAGCTGGGATTATGTTTGCCTTAACTTTTTCGTTTTTAAGCAGAACCTCCGGATCGAAATCTTCCAAAGAACCCCCCTTTTTCCCAAATACTACAAACAGTAACATGAAAATAGTGTGTAATAAGTGGAATGACGTCGCTGCTTTCATTTCTTCTAAAAACTTAGGTAAACTATATGGAGCAGTGTCGCATTTCAACTTCTCCAAATGGGAAATAAAATGTTTGTGGTAAAATTCAATCAAACCGTCGAAATTGTCTTGAAGCACCGACAGTTGAACGCTTGTGAAGAGAAAGAAGAATACGTCTATGGCTGGAGTTTTGTAGCCGCAACCTTGAAAATCAACTAATTTGTGACCAACTGGAAGTCGGTTCTGAAATTTTATCATGATATTATTTACCCACATATCCCCATGGGTTATGGTTGAAAACGGTTCTCTTCGTGCTGCATTTTGCAGTGTTTCATTGATTTTAAAATTCTCTTTCACTTTTGGCATCCAAGGTATACATTTGTTTGACTCCTGAAAGATTTCAATTAATGTTGAGATTAATTGTTCATCATGAGGCGAAGGAGGTTGTTCGAATGGATCCAGATACGGCCTGATTTTGCTTTCGAACACTTCTGGTTTCCTCAGTTTCAGAGCCAGTGGTATGGCGTGGAAAGCTGCCAAGTCTTTGAGTATTAACTGGGCGGTCTCTAGGTCGAATCCTACGTAGCGGTCTACGACTTGATATCCTGAAGGAAAAGAAATCGCTAAAGGAAATGTATGTGAAATATTTTTTTGGAAAAATACAAAGAAAAAAAAATATGAGATACCTAGAGTTGGTAGATTGATATCAATTAAATTGCGCATTTACATAAAACAGTAAGTCTTTCACTATAATAGCTCCCTCCACCACTTATCCTAGTAGAAGTTCGGCTGATATTAAAAACTCAAGTTTTTGGAGCATCTTCTATTATATTTATCTTTCTGTATAATTTAAATATCATTTTAAAAGCAGACTCGTTTTTACGGGAGATGATAAACAAAAAAATACCAGAGAGCAAGAGTAAATGCAGGCCACAGAAATGAATATACATTAATCCATTTTTTTATTTGGTGGAAGTAAATAAAATGGTGGTGTGTGTAAATCCAAGTATTCAAAACAATCTAAAACAAATAAAAAATAATTACATTTTCTTATTTGATCGCAACTTTGTGCACCGAGTGAAAAAATTTGAAAGTGGATATTAAATTCAAGAAAATTTAGTTCTTTACGTAACATTATCGGCATTTTTTTTGGGAATACGAATCTGGCATATGAAGAGAAAAGATTTTGCTTACGTGTGACACAAAAAATTTTTCAGTACAAGTTCTACAAATCGTTGAAAATATAAATTAATGCAGTGATTCGAAGAAGTGAAATTTTTCTCATCATTTGCGATTAAAGCAGCACTTTAAATCTATGGGATATCCGAAAATGCTTAACCTAACATACCTTGAAAGTTCAGATTTTCCAGTATAAGAACGGCATCCTCATCTACAGTGTCATTTTCTTCGCTTAGGTTTATCCTAGCTCCGTAAAATTCCGGGAAACAGTCGATTACTTGATTTATGCCGTTTTCCCTTTGGAAATCTCGAAGTATGGGTGCGATGACGTTATACAAAGCAATTTCGTTCTTGAAAGTCACTTGGATGTTGAACACCATTCTTGTAAACTCCTTTGCAGGAATCATTTTAGCCACAGCATGTAGTTCCTCTTCCGTACCATCTTTTTCGTCCTTCAGGGTTATGTCCAGTTTTAACATTATACTACCAAAGTTTTCTCCTGGAGCAGTCAAATTAGTGATTTTCTTGTCTGAAATTATTTGACTTTTTTTAATGCACCCACTCAACACTTCTTGTAGCTTTTCTATGCTGTGTTCACTCATTATTACTTTTCAGAGATATGTTCAAAATTTGGATATTAAGAATTTGAGTACTAGTTTTCTATTAGCAGTAAATTATAGTTATTTAACATTTAGATAGAGCACAGTATTTATTACTTTTGCAGGTCTATGTCTGTCACCCGTTGGGTTTAATATGAAACTCGATATGAAACTTTTAAATATTTATAAAACCCCGAATATGATAAGATAAGATTTAGTAATGGTACAGGGTGATTCACTATATTTTGACGCCCCCATTAACTTTTTTGTTTTTAGAGTTGTAAAAAAAAGGTGAAAAATAAAAGTTGCACAATTTTGTATGAAGATTTCGAAAATGATAGTAGAAAAACAAATGAACTCCAAACAAAATGGCCGCGGATGTTAACTTTGTTAATTTAAATGGAACGCCCTGTATATTTTTACATATTTGTATAGAGCATAGTCATAGATGTGATATTATTCGCGTGGTAAGTTAAATTATACGACTGCACAGAAAAGCGTGTCCAAAATATTTAATAAAAAACATAGTGAAAATTTTGTTTTTCTTAAAATACTCACAGTGCATTAGATGGTTCTGTAGAAAATGGATTTATGTGATCTTATTTGTAACTTTTATCGTCTATATAGGTATCCGTATTTATCAATACTTTTTTGTATCTGGCATACGGGAAATAAAATATTAGGAAAACGCTGCAGTCATTTCGTTTATATATAAAATCCTATAAATGATTTAAAAAATATATACTTGTATTGTATTGTATTTTTTTGAAATGTTTAGATTTTTATATTTCCTACGTGACACAAATTGATGACTGTGTCGAGATCTATAGATTCACTTCACTTTTTTTTTGTGAACAAAAAACATTATTAATCCTATTTTGAAAGTAATACCAGTACAAAGTGACCAGAATTAATGTTTCTATAATTTCTTAAAAATCCTAAATTCTACTTATTACTACTACCTATTTTTAATATGTTTAATAAGTTCTAAGTTTTCTTTTTATTTTATTGATTATCTTGGTTTCAGGTATCTTATTAATTTTAGTCCAGACATTCGTTACATTTGTTTATTTTCTCGTATAATTTTTGGAAAATAAGCATGTTCACAATGTTATTTGTGCACCAGGTATATTTGAAGAGATCTGTGGATTCACTTCACTTTTTTTGTGAATGAAAAACATCATTAAAATCCTATTTTGAAATTAATACCAGTACAAAGTGACCAGAATTAATGTGTCTATAATTTATTAAATATCATAAGTACTACTATTTTTAATATGTTTAATAAGTCCTAAGTTTTTTTTTTATTTTACTGATTATGTTGGTTTCAGGTATCTTATTAATTTTAGTTCTGACATTCGTTTATATTCTTGTATAATTTTCGCAATATAAGCATGTCACACTGTTATTTGGCACCAGGTATATTGAACGACAAATTTTATTTTCGCAAATCATTTGAAATCCTTATTTATTAGTTTACAATGATCACACAGTAATATACGCCAACATACTTTAAAAGTTCGAATTTTCCAATATAAAACTGCAGTTTCATTCACAGTACCATTTTGTTCCCACATGTTTAGGGCCATAAAATCCTAGAAAACTTTGCAAATCTTGAAGTGTGGCTATCATGATGTTGTATATAGCATGTCATGTATACGAGTGATTTGCTAAAAAATGTCCAGTAATTTTGATTTTACAAAAAAAACAAATTTAAAAAGCGTTATAGGGTGATAACAAATATTTTAAAGTAATACGATAAATCACGTGCGTCAAAAAATAGTGCGACACCGGAACGCTGTGTTTTTCTTAAATAGAACAACTCCTGTACTATTCTGATTTTTTAATATACAAATATTTCTGCTGTGCTGTACACTACTGTTAATATGATATTAGATTAATCATTCTGAATTAAAAATAAGCCTGGACAATGATTTTTTTTCTAATCTATGGACGTCATTCAGAAGTATGTTATTCAGCAATAACGCATTTTTATCTAAATGTGTAAGGAATGAGAAACGTAGCATGAGGTTGCTAAAGTATTTCCCAATGAGTCGTACGAAATATATTGATAGATAATATTGTTCATATTTTTGGGTTACGAGAGCTGAACGAGAATGTGAATCTGTCACCAAAGCCTCTCTAACTTAATGAGTATAAGCAATTAAGTAACTAATAATATATTGGTTCTGCTCTTAACGTGCGATAGCAAGTCATAGAATAAATTTCGAAGACACCAAGACACTTGTGAACGCTAGGGTTGTTACCTGGTGCGACGAACATGGAAATCGGATAACATATACCATTGCAACGGCACCTGCGATACCGACGACGAACGTGAAACCACACCCATTTGTTTTCAAAAAAGGTGATGAGTCTTGTATGAAAATAGTCTGTCATTTGTTTCTCTCTTATCTATGTACGTGTATGCAAATATAAATTGATATTGATATTTAAATAAAAAAAAACTAAGATATCTCACTTCTAAAAAACTATTAACTGTCATGGCCTACCATACAACATTGTCCATGAGTAATTAGGCCTCTCACGGCCTAATTAGTGAGATTTTGTTAAATTACCTATACGCATTTTGGACCATATCAATGTCCGATATATCAAAATATATTATAATTAAATCTGTAAATCCCTACGTAATTGGAAAAAAACTAAAAATGCTTGAAAAAGGTCTAAAAATTACAAGATGTCAACATTTTCGTTTTTTAATAGTATCTCGCTTACTGTTAGAGATGGACGCAACAAACCCTATATGACTATGCTCGACAGGGAACGTTCTGTCTGAATATGTAAAAATATACAGGGTGTTCCATTTAAATTAACAAAGTTAACATCCGCGGCCATTTTGTTTGGACTTCATTTGTTTTTCTACTATCATTTTCGAAAAATTCATAAAAAATCGTGCAACTTTTATATTACACACTTTTTTATAACTCTTAAAACAAAAAAGTTAAAAGGGGGGTCAAAATATAGTGAATCACCCGGTACATAATAGGTATTTTATTCGATCGTTATCTACAATATTTGACAATATCTTTAGTTATAATGTTTACTATTTAACATCTAAGTTTTAGTAATTTTAATTTAAAAATATTCTGCTGCTGTACCAACTTACTATAATAAGTCATACAGAATTGATTATATTCTACGTCAGAATTATCAGTAGATAATAATATGTATAGACATATAGACATATTTATAGACATTACTATTTAAACATCTTCATAAGCAATAATCTAAGGGTTAAAGTCAGGTGAACAAGGCGTACAGACTATGGGTCTACCTCGTCCAATTCTTCTTCCTCGAAAATACTCATTCAATCTGTTGCTCACGTTAACCCTTTCAAAAAACGTTTAACGTCACGTTTACAAAAAAAAACAAATTTTGTTTATTTAATTTATATATTTAGCAAGAACAGAAAAGCTTTCCAGGTTAGTCTCCTGGCATCGTTGCTAACCACAGAGCAGGAATAAAGACTTAACAAAAAAGAAAAGGAAAAATGGGAAAAAAGGAATGGGAAACCAAATAAAATAAAAGGGTGGAAAAAGTAAAATAGTAGAGTAAATACAAAAAAAATGGGTCGAAAAGTAACAACGCGAATGAGATAATTGAAATAATAGATTCTGATAAAAAGAAGTATGGGTAGACACTTTTTTGACGGTAAGGAGAACTTAGTAAAAATAAAGGACAAGGATATAGGCACTTTATGACTAGAACAATTTATGTTATAGTGCTATCTAGAATTTTTACCTGGAGCATGAATAAAAGAAAAACACCTACTCGAAATTTTTAAAAGAAAAGTTGCGAGAAAAATACATAGACGAAGGAAAGAGACAGTGGGGGCTTTTTTTCGGGGAATAAAATGAACCTTAAAATAACATCGAATACCACCCTATACAAGAATTTTAAGTAGATATCATTTCATTACAGCCATCCTCTCTTGCCGCTTGTATGGATTAGATTCCAAAATTTCTCCTTCGTAGCCAAGGTTATCATTGCTTTTATTTTCTCCTCATCAAATGGTACTGAGGGATCGAATGTTGCGGAATGCTTTTCCCCAAAAATTATAAATATAAATTTAAAACAATGCTCGACTTCAACTGACGTCGCATCTTTCATTTCTTTTAAAAACTTAGGTAAACTAAAAGGAGCAGTGTCGCATTTCAACTTCTCCAAATGGGAAATAAAATGTTTGTGATAGAATTCAATCAAACCGTCGAAATCGTCCTGTAGTACAGACTGCTGAACATTTACGAAGAGAAAGAAGAACAGATCTGTGGCTGGTGATCTATAGTCGCAGATTTGAAAGTCAACCATCTTGTTGCTAACAGGTACCTTGTTCTGAAATTTTATCATAGTATTATTTAACCACATGTCCCCGTGAGTTGTCGTCGCGAATGGTTCCTTTGCCGGTGCATCTTGTGCTGCTCTTACGTTCTCCAAAATGTTTCTGACTTTTGGTATCCAAGGTATACATTTGACTGACTCTTGAAGAATCTCTATGTACACTGAGTTGATTCCATTTTCGAATGGCATAGGGCCAGGATGGAATGGAGCCAAGTATGGTTTGATTTTTTTATCGAATACTTCTGGTTTCTTCAGCTTCAGGGCCAGTGGTATGGCATGGAAAGCTGCCAAGTCTTTGAGTATTAACTGGGTCGTGTCTAGGTCGAAGCCTACGTGGCGATCTACGCATCGATATCCTGAAAACATATTACTGAATTAGATTAACTAAGTAGATGTCCAATAAAATGTAGATAGGTATGCGAAAAAGGAAATACAAAATATTTATTTCTAGAAAATTTAAAATAATAACTATTATCGATTCCAATACACTTTATTTATTTATCGTCTTTCCTTATCTATATTTGTAGCATACTTAACTAGGAATTACACAAAAATGTAACACAACATACCTTTAAAGTTCAAATTTTCTAATATCAGCACCGCATTCTCATCCACATTACCATTTTGTTCTCCCAGATTCAACCTAGCACCGTATAACTCTGGGAAACAGTCAATTACTTCGTTAACACCGTTCTGCCGTTGGAAATCTCGAAGTGTGGGTGCTATGACATTATACATTGCCACTTCGTTCTTGAAAGTCACTTGAATATTGAATATCTTTCTTACAAATTCTTGTTCAGGGATCATTTTGGCTACGGCATGTAGTTCCTCTTCCGTACCATCATTTTCGTCTTTCAGTGTTACGTCCAACTTTAACATTGTACTACCGTAGTTTTCTCCGGGAGCAGTCAGGTTCGTAATCTTCTTGTCCGAAATTCGTTGACTCTTTTTAATGCACCCACTTAGCACTTCCTGTAAGTTTTCTATCGTGTGTTCGCCCATGATTATTATTTTTAATTTTCTGTTATCGGTACAAATATTATTTTTTTTAGAAATATTAAATAGTAAGAGTATATTGTTATTTGTTGCGTTATGTTTAAGTATTACCTCTCGTGTGAAACTTGATACTATTTTTATAATTACAAATAATCCTTGAAAATGATAAGATTTTAATTTATTGTTTTATTTTATTGTTGAGTACAGCAGTGGCGGATACAATAAGTAATTTTGAAGTACCTACATTATTTAATACTTATATAAAGTACCTAATTCGTTACATATTCCATCCCGTGGAAAAAAATGATAGGTATCTTTGTACGTTTGAGATTTTTTTGTTCCTTGTTTAGCAGCTTCGTAAAATAATAATTTTTATGGCTAAATAAAGTTGTTACTGGTATAGGGACTATGCACTAATTGCATTAAAAAGTGGTCTCAATCAAAATTGAGCTTTTAATATGTGTTTTATTGACATGCCGTCTTCAGTATAATTGATTACCAAGGTGACTACTCATTTTCTTCAAGTGTTTCTAACTCTTATGCGGTTAAAGAGTAGGTCTTGCAACCCTTAGGCGGCCTGCAAATATACTGTAAAAAAATTCTCTCAATTTCACTCAATTTTACTAAATAATTTATCATTTACCACCCTGATAATCATGTGAGGTGAAGACAATATTAAAAGCATACAATACATACTAAAAGATCATCCATTTGCAGGTAGTCTTAAGGGTAGCAAAACCTACTCTTTAACTGAATAAAAAATATTGATACTTCTAAGAAATGATTAGCCACCCTAATAATAATAATAATAATAGAGATTCACATAAATAAAAGATATACTATTGGTTCATATATTTGCAGAACATCTAAGGGTCGCAAAACGCATTCTTAAACCAAACAAAAATTAAAGACTCTTGAAGGAAATGATAGCGTTTCTTACTTTAATTCTGTTTAAGGGTAGATTTGCGACTCTCAGACGGCCTGCAAATGGATAAGCTTTTAATATGTGTTTTATTACTATATGTCGCTTCTGAATACCGGCACCACTTCGTAGCCACTCGAGGAACCGTCACCGTCGATGGAATGTTGAAGGGCTGTTCTGTTTATGTTTTAAAAATATTTAGAATACCAAATTGTTAACTCTTCAAGTGTGTGTGAAAGACCATCATTATAAAACTTTTGTAAACACTTCCTTATATGGACGTGTTTGGTAAAAAGTAAACTGATAGGATAGAAGAACGCACAAGGGAACACCCCTGTGAACGGAACAAAACTGAAAGCCCGGGAAGCAACGGGGTCATTCAATTAATGAAACAACCATACCCGTGTGGCTCTTATTAGGTCTGTTTCTGAAGTAGTCGAGGAGTGATTTGAAACTATCAGAGATATTTGGCCAATCGATTCGAAAACATATACATTTATACACAATTATGTAACAACAAATTAAGTGGTCGAGTGTATCTGATAGTTTGAAAGCAGTTTGACACTATTGCAGAAACAAACCTATTATTGTTTTGACTCTTTTGACAGAAAAGTAGTGTACAGGTTGCTAGGGTTGACAGTGGCGGACGGTTAGTTCCTATTTTATAACTTGTACAACTGCTCTCATACTTTACTATTCGAAGTCGTAATAAACAGGGTCACATCATACGTTTATTATTTCGATGGACAAAACATATATAACTGCACATGATTATCAGATTTTATGAACCCCAAAGCAAGTACCCCTATTATTTTATTTAGTTATTCCTTAAATATCTTAATACGTACTCCCATGGACGTTTGTAGATTTTGGTAAATGACTGTTATCTTTTAGCTATTAACTTCACGCCGATGAAAATGAATGACATTTTTGTTTCCTTATCTGATTCTACTAGTATATATTACATAAATAACAGCTGAATCATTCAGTAGTACATTATATAGCAATATTTTATGTAAAACAACACATGTCCTTGGAAGGCGTGACATGTTATAAAATTATCTTTGATTTTAGAGATTTTTAGTGATAGTGATTTGCGTGGTTAGTTAAATTATACGACTGCATAGAAAAGCGCGTCCAAAATATTTAATAAAAAATTTATTGAACATTTTTTTTTCTTAAAGTACTCACAGTGCTTTAGATGGTTCTGTAGACAATGGATTTATGTGATCTTATTTGTAACTTTTATCGTCTCTTTATATAGGTATTCGTATTTATCAATACTTTTTTTGTATCTGGCATACGGGAAATAAAATATCAGGAAAACGCTGCAGTCATTTCGTTTATTTATATAAATTCGTATAAATGAATAAAAAGATGTATACTTGTATTTTTTATTATTGAAATGTTTAGATATTTATATTTCCTACGTGTCACAAATCAATGACTGTGTCGAGATCTGTGGATTCACTTCACTTTTTTTTGTGAATGAAAAACATCATTAAAATCCTATTTTGAAATTAATACCAGTACAAAGTGACCAGAATTAATGTGTCTATAATTTATTAAATATCATAAATACTACTATTTCTATTATGTTTAATAAGTCCTAAGTTTTTTTTTTATTTTACTGATTATCTTGGTTTCAGATATCTTATTAATTTTAGTTCTGACATTCGTTTATATTCTCGTATAATTTTCGCAATATAAGCATGTCACACTGTTATTTGGCACCTGGTATATTGAACGACAAATTTTATTTTCGCAAATCATTTGTAATCCTTACTTATAAATATAACTATGAATTAACTTAACTTACCTCTCGATATTTCTTATATGTCTAATATTTATTCTTATTTATCTATTACACATTACACTAAGAATAATTTCATATTTACGCCTAGTTTACAATTATCACACAGTAATATACATCAACATACTTTAAAAGTTCTAATTTTCCAGTATAAAACTGCAGTTTCATTCACAGTACCATTTTGCTCTCACAGGTTTAGTGCCATAAAATCCTGGGAAACTTTCTTGTTGCAAATCTTGAAGTGTGGTTGTCATGATGTTATATATAGCAAGTCATGTATACGGGTGATTTGCTAAAAAATGCCCATTAATTTTGATTTTATAAAGAATTTACCTGGTGGGACGAACATGGAAATCGGACAACATATATTATTGCAACGGCACCTGCGATACCGAAGACGAACGTGAAATCACACCCATTTGTTCTCAAAAAAAAGTGATGAGCCTTGTATGGAAATAGTCTGCAATTTGTTTCTTTCTTATCTATATACGTATATGCAAATATAAATTGATCTTGATATTTAAATAATAAACTAACATATCTCACTTCTTCTAAAAAACTATTAAGGGGGTAATATGCGTAATTTCTTTTAGCGTTCCGCTTCGTCACTTTCTGGGTGGATCTACTTCTTTTATTACTGTCTTACCAAAAGTGCGATTTCTTGTTTATAAAACGCCAATCTTAATATGACAACTTTTTTCTTTATTCCAGAGGCCATTTAATTTTGTCTACTCAAATAAAATTGCAACTAAAACAGTCAAGTCAACCTTTACGGGGGTAATGAGAAAACTGGAAATAACTTTTGTCTTCACTGAAGTGGAGTTAAAGTTGGGAAAATGAATGGATGAAAGATGGTAAATTTATTTACAGAAACTGATACACATAATCACATAGGATAATTAAGTCACACTGTACAGAGTGGACAGTTTTCACTCCTTTCCTTATTTCCTGAAAGTTAGTCAAAAAATAGTTAAATACGATATTTGATCACTGAACTTGAATCATCTGAATTTGGAAGAATAATTTTTTATGCTTTTCTTAAGAAATAAATGCATATATTCCTTATGTTACATCAGTTAAGGAGAAATTTTATATAAATTTCAAAAATTGAGTGAAGATGAATTATAACTGAATGTCCGTACCACAAAAATATTTACTTCACTGAGTTTTTCGTAAAATAAGTAAATAAAAATATTAAATAAATGAAAAAGCTTTTGGGTATTACGAAAAATTGACAATAATGGAAAATGTTTTGTATTTTTTCAAACGAATCGAGATACCAGGAAGTGGTTTCCATTTTTTCTTTAACTGAACGCGAAACTGTCTAATTTTTGTCTTTTAGGGAAATATACCTAATAAATGCTCCAAAAATGTTGAATATCGCCTTATATATACATTTTTAAAAGGGATAATTTTATTCTAGCCATCCTCTTGTGCCACATGTGTGAATTAGATACCATACTTTTTCCTTCGCAGCCGGGATTATGTTTGCCTTAACCTTGTCGTTTTCAAGCAGCGCCTCCGGATCAAAATCTTTCGAAGAACCCCCCTTTTTCCCAAATACTACAAGCAGTAACATGAAGATAGTGTGTAATAAGTGGAGTGACGTCGCTGCTTTCATTTCTTCTAAAAACTTAGGTAAACTGAAAGGAGCAGTGTCGCATTTCAACTTCTCCAAATGGGAAATGAAATGTTTGTGATAAAATTCGATCAAACCGTCGAAATTGTCTTGAAGCACCGACAGTTGAACGCTTGTGAAGAGAAAGAATAATACGTCTATGGCTGGAGAATTGTAGTCGCAAACTTGAAAATCAACTAATTTGTGGCCAACTGGTAGTCGGTTCTGAAATTTTATCATGATATTATTTACCCACGCATCCCCATGGGTTATGGTTGAAAACGGTTCTCTTGGTGCTGCATTTTGCAGTGTTTCATTGATTTTAAAAATCTCTTTCATTTTTGGCATCCAGGGTATACATTTGTTTGACTCCTGAAAAATCTCAATGAATGTCGAGTATAATTGTTCATCATGAGGCGAAGAAGGTCGTACGAATCGAGCCAGATACGGCCTGATTTTATTTTCGAACACTTCTGGTTTCCTCAGCTTCAGAGCCAGTGGTATAGCATGGAAAGCTGCCAAGTCTTTGAGTATTAACTGGGCGGTCTCTAGGTCGAAGCCTACGTGGCGGTCTACGACTCCATATCCTGAAGGAAAAAAAAAAATACTTAAAGGAAATGTATATGAAATATTTTTTTGGAAAAATACAAAGCAAAGAAGAGATATTAATCTACCAACGTAGAATATTCATGTAAAGCAATGCATATAGAGCGTTTTAAACCTCTGTCTTCCAAACTTTTTTCCCTACATGAAGAACATCTAGGTTTTTGTTGGAAAAAGTACCATAGTGTTTTTTAGGTTTATTATACTGCACTGTTCATAATTTTTACGAGTGTATTTCAATATTGATAATATTTTTATTTAATTACTACACTGTTTTGTATGCGCGCATCCCAGTTTAATGAAACTTTGAAATCTCTACCGTCTCCAAACAGGGTGTTGAAGTAGAAAAAATATTACGTAGGTATATTCAAAATATTCAAATATCTGCATTTTTTTAATGCCCAATAATTAAGAACCGCAATATTTCCATATCGGGCATTTTGAAAATTTTAATGATACTTAGCCCATAAACTTGTGCGTAGATACTTTTGTATGGTGTTTTCAAATTAATTTTTGTAGTTAACACAATAATTATTCAACTTCATTTATGTGCCATTTTTGTATTTCTGTAGCTATTCAAATGCTCTTGCGTATCGTATATTATTAATTGTCAGACAGTTGTAATATACGGTATGTTTATGGTTTCAGAAGGATTATGGAACATTTCTAAAGCATAGCTCCTATACAGAGTGGCCCATCAGGAATCGCCACTATCGATATCTCGGAAGGTACTGATCCGATAAATCTGAAAATTTGGCAACCTTGCAAAGGCAGTAGGGCCAACACAGCTTAAATATTTAGAACTTTATGGCACTTTTGGTTATACCGGAAGTCGACATTCTATATATTACAGCAGGGAGACTGCCATGTTGCCAAATTTTCAAATTTTTCAGAGCATTACTTTAATAGATATCGATCGACGCAGTTCCCGGTAGGACACTCTGTATACTAACACTAGTCGCTAACATGAATAATAAAATTTGCCCCTTGTTCAATTGACATGGAGGATAACTATTTTAATAGTTTTTTTTCTCATTCTGATTCCTAGTTTGTTCCAGTACTCATTCTGCTAATTATTTATTAATTTTCTTATTTAAATTTATTATTTCGTTATTAGTAAATAAGTGTTTTAGTTATTTTTTTGGGAAGGACAAACTAATTAAATTCAATAAAGATGATTGTGTATTAAGTTAATGTAACTTTCATCAGATAGTATTGTTATATATCGATTAAAATGACGCATTTACATAAAAAAATAACTGATATCAAAAACACAAGTTTTTGGAGCATCTTCTATTACATTTATCAGCACTTTAAATCCGTATTCTTGACCTTTACCTTTAACGATGAGATTTTCCAGTATAAGAACTGCATCCTCATCTACAGTGCCATTTCGTTCATCTAGATTTATCCTAGCTCCGTAACATTCCGGGAAACAGTCAATTACTTGATTTATCCCGTTTTCCCTTTGAAAATCTCGAAGTGTGGGTGCGATGACGTTATACATAGCAATTTCGTTCTTGAAAGTCACTTGAATGTTGAACAGCATTCTTTGAAACTCCGTAGCAGGAATCATTTTAGCCACAGCATGTAGTTCCTCTTCCGTACCATCTTTTTCGTCCCTCAGGGTTATATCCAATTTTAACATTACACTTCCAAAGTTTTCTCCGGGAGCAGTCAAGTTGGTAATTTTCTTGTCTGAAATTATTTGACTCTTCTTAATGTAACCACTCAACACTTCTTGTAGCTTTTCTATGTTGTGTTCACTCATTATTACTCTTCAGAGGTATGTTCTATGTTGATTAACAATTTGAATAAAAGTTTTCTATTAGCAATAAATATATTTAAATAATAATTTTTTTAACATAAATAGCACATTGTTTATTACTTTTGGAGTTCTACGTCTATCAACCGTTGAGGTTCATCTGAAACTCGTTAAAAAACATTGAAATATTTATAAAGCCCCGAATATGATAAGATTTAGTAATGGTACTTACATAATATTTTGTTGGATTGTTATCTACAATATTTGACAATATCTTATTTCAAACAAGACACACGTATTTTTATTATAATATTTACAATTTAACATCAAATTTTTAGTAGACAATAATAAATTTAATTTAAAAATATTCTGCTGTACCAACTTATTATAATGAGTGATACAGAATTTGATTATATTCTACGTCAGAATTATCAGTAGATAATAATATGTTTACATTATATATGAGCAGAAAAATATAAAAGTTATGTATACCCACAATTGCTGTTATCATGAATTTTATATCACATGCTAAAGGTAATATAATACCGTACTTAGTGTGAGTTTGATAAAAAATAGCAAATGCGAGGCATCAATTTTATTTTTATTTCAAAGAATTTAAAATATGCGAGGCATCAATTTTATTTTTATTTGAAAGAATTTAAAATATTTCTATTTTAACTTATTTTAGAAACAAGGAAAGGTCCAATTTTCTCACAATCCTTTTATTTTTAAAAGACTACCGGTTTCGAGATCAAACTTTACACCTCATCTTCAGGTCTTACAAGGTTAAAATATAATAATAATTATTTCTAAAAATGTCAGATTATGTTTAATTTTAATTTTTATAGAAGTCAAATTATGTTTTATTTTATTAACCTATTTAATAATTATTAATTTTCACAAATATAGACTATTTGATTTTTTTGAATTATTTCTTAAGTTTTACCTTTCTTAAAAAACTGTTAAATTTAAACATAATAAATATAAGTTGCAAATTAAAACTTTTTATATACAATACTTACATATCACAATTACAGGAAAATTCAACCATATCACTATCCAAAACATATTAGGATTTTGTGAACAATATAAATTTCACTTTTTTTTAAAAAAACAAAATTTAAAGACCAAATACAAAATAACGTTACAAAAGGTATTATTAAATCTAACTATTTCAGGATAAATGAGTGAAGATTTTATTAATCTTTTACCAACGTTTTTTAAAATTCAGAACTAGCGCCATCTATCTTATACCTAACCAACTAGCAATGAGAAGCTCAAGTCTTTACTGAATTATTTCCATTTCTCTCTAGGAGTAGATAAATAGTTCTTGCAGTTCGTCTTCGAATATGCTGTCCTATTTTCCTATTTCGATATTTGGATCATACTAGGAATATTGTAACTGTACACTTACAAAAATATTTACCTTTACAACATACCTTTAAAGTTCAAATTTTCTAATATCAGCACCGCATTCTCATCCACAGTACACATCCTGATGTGCAAAAATTTTGAAAAATATCCAGTGATACGATTTAAGCATTCTATTTTTATACAAGGACGTCAAAGGTAGGTATTCCTTCAGTCAATAAAGCTTTGGTCTCAAAGAAATAGGTGAGCTTGGTAGAAAAATAGGTTATAAAAACTAAAAAAATACGGTATTGTTAAATTTCGTTCATTTTGTTTACTGGCGGCCATATTTATTCTAACAATTATTCCAGAGTATCTCTCTAGGTGTTATAGACAATACTACATATTTAAACATCTTCATAAGTTAAGTAATAATCTTAAGAGTTAAATGCAGGTGAACGAGGCGGACAGACTATGGGTCTTTCTAGTCTAATTCATCTTCATTATTCAATCAGTTTCTCACGTTTAAACGTTTCAAAAAAACAAATTACTGAATATTTTTTTGTTTATTTAATTTATTTATTTAGCAAGAACAGAAGAGTTTTCCAGGTTAGGGGTTGCTCGTCTCCTGGCATCGTTGTTAACCACAGGAGCAGGAATAAAGACAACCACAAAAAGGAAAAGGAAAAATAGGAAAAAAGGAATGGGAAACCAAATAAATGAAATGGGTTAAAGTTAAAATACAAAAAGAATTGGGTCGAAATGTAACAAAGCGAATGAAATAATTGAAATAATAAATTCTGATGAAAAACTATGGGTCGACACTTTTTTTTGACGGTAAGAACTTAGTAAAAATAAAGGACAAGGATATATGCACTATATGACTAGAACAATTTATTTTATAGTGCTGTCTAGAATGTTTAGAGTACTTATGAAGAAAGAGCTTTAATTATTAATTTCACTATTTAATGGGTATCGAAGAAACAAAACTAAGAGAAAATGACATCCAAAGGATAGGAGAGTACATATTTCTGATTAGAGCCGATGATACAGGAGACCCATCCAACTACAAGTGAGGATTTAGTGCCGTATTTAAATGGAATCTTTAAAGTTAGCATTGCTTGAAGATGTATATACCAGAGGTCTGGCAAAAGATAAAGGCAGGTTCAGTTTTGGAGGTCTTAATGAATCTATCACTACCAAAACCCTTCATTAATCAAAAAGAAGTAAAATGTGGATGGACTGCAATACTTGTTAAGAGAAAATATTCAAGAACATGATAGAAAGAGATAGACAATAATAAGTGAAACACGGAGCATGAATAAAAGAAAAACACCCGGTAGAAACTTTTGAAAGAAAAGTTGCGAGAAAAATACATGGACGAAGGAAAGAGACATTGGTGTTTTTTTTTTTCGGGAAATAGAATTAACCTTAAGATAATATCGAATACCACCTTAATTTTAAATAGATAACATTTAATTACAGCCACCCTCTCATGCCGCTTGTATGGATTAGATTCCAGAATTTCTCTTTTATAGCCAAGTTTATCCTAGCTTTAATTTTTTTCTCATCAAATGGCGCTGAGGGATCGAAAGCTGCGGAATGCTTTTCCCCAAAAATTATAAATATAAATTTAAAACAATGCTCGACTTCAACTGACGTCGCAGCTTTCATTTCTTCTAAAAACTTAGGTAAACTAAAAGGAGCAGTGTCGCATTTCAACTTCTCCAAATGGGAAATGAAGTGATTGTGATAGAATTCAATCAAACCGTCGAAATCATCCTGTAGTACAGACTGCTGAACATTTACGAAGAGAAAGAAGAACAGATCTGTGGCTGGTGATTTATAGTCGCAGACTTGAAAGTCAACCATCTTGTTGCTAACAGGTACCTTGTTCTGAAATTTTATCATAGTATTATTTAACCACATGTCCCCGTGAGTTATCGTCGCGAATGGTTCCTGTGGCGGTGCATCTTGCGCTGCTCTTACGTTCTCCAAAATGTTTCTGACTTTTGGTATCCAAGGTATACATTTGACTGACTCTTGAAGAATTTCTGTGTACACTGAGTTGATTCCATTTTCGAATGGCATAGGGTCAAGACGGAATGGAGCCAAGTGTGGTCTGATTTTTTTATCGAATATTTCTGGTTTCTTCAGCTTCAGCGCCAGTGGTATGGCATGGAAAGCTGCCAAGTCTTTGAGTATCAACTGGGTCGTCTCTAGGTCCAAACCTACGTAGCGATCTACGCATCGATATCCTGAAAACATGTTACTGAATTAGATTAACTAAGTAGATGTCCAATAAAATGTAGATAGGTATGCGAAAAAGGAAATACAAAATATTTATTTCTAGAGAATTTAAAATAGTAATAATTATTCTTCTTATACGCACGTTTAATATCTAAATATAGACGGATATCGTGTATTCGAATACACTTTAATTGTTTATCGTCTTTCCTTATCTATATTTGTATAATACTTAACTAGGAATTACACAAAAATGTAACACACACAACATACCTTTAAAGTTCAAATTTTCTAATATCAGTACCGCATTCTCATCTACAGTACCATTATGATCTTCTGTATTTATCCTAGCACCATATAACTCTGGGAAACAGTCAATTACTTCGTTAACACCGTTCTCCCGTTGGAAATCTCGAAGAGTGGGTGCTATGACAGTATACATTGCCACTTCGTTCTTGAAAGTCACTTGAATGTTGAACAGCGTTCTTTGAAACTCCGTAGCAGGAATCATTTTAGCCACAGCATGCAGTTCTTCTTCCGTACCATCATTTTCGTCTTTCAGTGTTACATCCAATTTTAACATTATACTACCGTAGTTTTCTCCGGGAGCAGTCAGGTTCGTAATCTTCTTGTCCGAAATTCTTTGACTCTTTTTCATGTACCCACTTAGCACTTCCTGTAAGTTTTCTATCGTGTGTTCGCCCATGATTATTATTTTTAATTTTCTGTTATCGGTACAAATATAATTTTTTTTTTAGAAATATTAAATAGCGAGGGTATAAAGTTATCTTTGTTGTGTTTAAGTGTTACCTCTCGTGTGAAACTTGATACTACTTTTTTAATTACAAATAAGCCTTAAAAATGATAAGATTTTAATCTATTGTTTTATTTTATTGTTGAGTAGAGCAGTGACGGATACAAATTCACAGTAGATACCATTTTGTTCCCACAGGTTAAGGGCCATAAAATCCTGGGAAACTTTCTTGTTGCAAATCTTGAAGTGTAGTTGTCAAGATGTTATACAGGGTGGTCCGAATTTTATGCAGGAAACTTCGAGGGCATATAGATCTCTTTAAAATAATATGTGTTTGTCTTATAAACATAGATCTGGAACGGCCTCGTTTTAGAGATACAGGGTGTTGAAGTTGTTAAATATAATTGATTTTTTGCTTATATCTCCAGAATCTATTAACCCATTTTAATAAAATTTAGTACTGATAATGTATGATAGTAGGTCTTGTATTTCCTAAAATATGAGCTTTAAAGGTTCAACCAGTGGTGTACAACTGGACAGGGGTCACACCCTTTTTTTTACAAAAAAAAACTATCCCACTGCATTTTTTACATGTCATTGTAACTGATTTATATTTTACTGCACAAAATACGTAAAAAAGGTGACTTTATTTTTTTCCCTAAGATTCGCCGTTCTCAAGTTATTCATACCAATACAATCCCCTTGTGGCAGACACTTTTAATAATAATATTACAAGAATATTTGTTGATGTTTAAAAGTAAGTGCAATTTGTAAGCACATCAACAAAATTATTTACACTACTTTCTACACCACCTGTGAGGTAGTGTGCTATATAAACAAAAAATCTTTTTTTTAAAACCTCAATACCCTGTATCTCTAAAACGGGGCCGTTCCAGACCTATGTTTATAAGGCAAACACATATTATTTTAAAGAAATCTATCTACCCTCGAAGTTTCCTGCATAAAATTCGGACCACCCTGTATATAACATGTCATGTATACGGGTGATTTGCTAAAAAATACCCATTAATTTTGATTTTACAAAAAAAAAAACAAATTTAAAAAGCTTTATAGGGTGATAACAAATATTTTAAAGTAATAAGATAAATCATGTGCGTCAAAAAATAGTGCGACACCGAAACGCTATGTTTTTTTTTAAATGGAACAACTCCTGTACTATCCTGATTTTTAATATACAAATATTTCTGCTGTGGTGTATTTTACTGTTAATGTGATATTAGATTAATCATTCTGAATTAAAAATAAACCTCGACAATGATTTTTTTTCTAATTTATTCCATAAATGGTCATTCTGAAGTACCTACGTTATTCAGCAATAACGTACGAGAGTTATTTCTCAATGAGTCGTACGAAATATATTGATAGATAATATTGTTCATATTTTTGGTTTACGAGAGCTGAACGAGAATGTGAATCTGTCGCCAAAGCCTCTCTAACTTAATGAGTATAAGCAATTAAGTAACTAATAATATTTTGGTTCTGCTCTTAACGTGCGATAGCAAGTCATAGAATAAATTTCGACGACACCAAGACACTTGTGAACGCTAGGGTTGTTACCTGGTGGGAGAAGTTGGAAATCGGACAACATATACCATTGCAACGGCACCTGCGATACCGAAGACGAACGTGAAACCACACCCTTTTGTTCTCAAAAAAGTTATGAGCCTTGTATGAAAATAGTCTGCCATGTGTTTCTCTCTTATCTGTGTACGTGTATGCAAATATAAATTGATATTGATATTTAAATAAAAAAAACTAAGATATCTCACTTCTAAGAAACTATTAAGGTGACCATATTCCTGGCCGAGAAATAGTGAAATTTCTGGCGTTTTTAGGTACTGAAATCTTTAAAAGTAAAAGAACAAAAGTAAGCACAAAAATAAAATCCTTGATGTTTTGTTTATTCATTGTTACCATTTAAATTTACTCAAATAAAATAATAACTAAAAAAAAAGCGTTTGTAAAACATGCGTTTGCTGTTATTCTAACCCCACATTTTAAGAATTATTTTCACGTACTTATAAATAAAAGTAAACAATTTTATATGTAGGACTAAGCAAGTAAATGTTATAAGAATATTTACATGTGGAATTATATATAAAAAAGTTAGTATTTTCGTAGATTTGATCGTTTTTTGCACCTGTTTATTCGTTTTACTGCGGCGTCTTTGAAAATACCCAGGTGGCATGACATAACATTCCTATTATTTGATAAGCTTTAGATTATTCAATTATTAAATGTTTGAAATTATTTGTCTTTGCGGAAAACACTATTTAAAGAATATGGGGCCCTTAAGGGGGCAATATGCCCAATTTATTTAGCGTTGCGCTTTGTCACTTTCTGGGTGGATCTACTTCTTCTATCATTGTTTTACCAAAAGTGCGATTTCGTGTCGATAAAACGCCAGCCTTTATATGATAATTATTTTCTTTATTCCAGAGGCCATTTAATTGAGTCCACTCAAATAAAATTGCAACTAAAACAGTCAAGTCAACATTTACGGGGCTAATAGGAAAACTGGAAATAATTTTTGTCTTCATTGAAGTGGAGTTAAAGTTTGGAAAATGAATGGATGAAATATGGTTGCCTATATCTATGCTATTAATCAGAAGTAGAATATTAAATTTATTTACAGAATCTGGTATACATAATCACATGGGATCCAGGATATCGTATACTAATTAAGTCACACTGTACAGAGTGGACAACTTTTACTCCTCTTTTTATTTCCTAAAAGCTAGTCAAAAAATAATTAAATACGATGTTTGATATTTACTTGGAAAGTTTGCATTTGGAAGAATAATTTTTTATGATTTTTTTTTCAGAAATAAATGTATATATTCCTTGTGTTACACATCATTTAAAAGTATAAAGGTATTTTCATTAAAAAAAAGTAGAGGACTGGAAGTCCGTACTAGAAAAATGTTTACTTCACTGGATTTTTTGTATAATAAATAAATAAAAATATTTCATAAATGAAAAAGTTGTTAGGCATTATGGAAAACTTCCAATAATGGAAAACGTTCTGTAATTGAGATACCATGGTTTCCATTTTTTTCTTAAATTACCTATACTGTCTAACTATTTTTTGTCTCTTCGGGAAATATACCTAATAAACGCTCCAAAAATGCTGAATATCACCCTATACTTATACCAATTTTTAAAAGTGTTAATTTTATTCTAGCCATCCTCTTGTGCCACATGTGTGAATTAGATACCATACTTTTTCCTTCCCAGCCGGGATTATGTTTGCCCTAACTCTGTCGTTTTCAAGAAGAAGCTCCGGATCAAAATCTATCGAAGAACCCTCCTTCTTCCCAAATACTACAAGCAGTAACATGAAAATAGTGTGTAATAAGTGGAATGGCGTCGCGGCTTTCATTTCTTCTAAAAACTTAGGTAAACTGAAAGGAGCTGTGTCGCATTTCAACTTCTCCAAATGGGAAATGAAATGTTTGTGATAAAATTCAATCAAACCGTCGAAATTGTCTTGAAGCACCGACAGTTGAACGCTTGTGAAGAGAAAGAAGAACACGTCTATGGCTGGAGAATTGTAGTCGCAAATTTGAAAATCAATTAATTTGTCGCCAACTGGTAGTCGGTTCTGAAATTTTAACATGATATTATTTACCCACGCATCCCCATGGATTATGGTTGAAAACGGTTCTCTTGGTGCTGCATTTTGCAGTGTTTCATTGATTTTTAAAACCTCTTTCATTTTTGGCATCCAAGGCACACATTTGTTTGACTCCTGAAAGATTTCAATGAATGTTGAATATAATTGTTCATTATGAGGCGAAGAAGGTCGTACGAATCGAGCCAGATACGGCCTGATTTTGCTTTCGAACACTTCTGGTTTTCTCAGTTTCAGAGCCAGTGGTATAGCATGGAAAGCTGCCAGGTCTTTGAGTATTAACTGGGCCGTCTCTAGGTCGAATCCAACGTGGCGATCTACGACTCCATATCCTGAAGGAAATGTATATGAAATTTTTTTTGGAAAAAACAAAGCAAACAAGAGATATTAATCTACCAACGTAGAATATTCAAGTAAGACAATGCATATAGAGCGTTTTTTAAACCTCTGTCTTCCAAATGTTTTTCCCTACATGAAGAACATCTAGTTTTTTTTGGAAAAAGTACCATAGTGTTTTTTAGGTTTATTATACTGAACTGTTCATAATTTTTACGCGTGTATTTCAATATTTATAATATATTTAATTAATTACCACACAGTTTTGTATGAGTGCATCCCAGTATAATGGAACTTTGAAATCTCAACTGTCTCCAAACAGGGTGTTGAAGTTGAAAAAATATTACGTAGGTATATTCAAAATATTCAAATATCTCTGCATTTCTTTTTAAATTAACTATTTAACTAATTCAATGTATATACTTACTGATATCTGCCAAACAGAGGTGAAAGTGCTCAGATTCTTATTGACAGTGCCCTAACAATTAAGAACCCCAATATTTCCATATCGGGCATTTTGAAAATTTTAATGGTACTTAGCCCATAAACTTGTGCGTAGGTACTTTTGTATGGTGTTTTCAAATTAATTTTTGTAGTTAACACATTTATTCAATTTAATTTATGTGCCATTTTTGTATTTTTGTAGCTATTCAAATGCTCTTGCGTATCGTATATTACTAATTGTCAAATAATTGTAATATACGGTATGTTTATGGGTGCAGAAGGATTATGGAACGTTTCGAAATTTGCATCGTTCCTGTCGGTAAAGAGTGTCCCATCAGGAATCGCCACTATCGATATCTCGGAAAGTACTGATCCGATAAATCTGAAAATTTGGCAACCTAGCAAAGGCAGAAGAGCCAACACAGCTTAAATATTTAGAACTTTATGGCGCTTCTGGTTACACCGGAAGTCGACATTAACTTTCTTATTTTAAATATATCTACATATATATTATTGCAGGGACACTGCCATGTTGCCAAATTTTCAAATTTTTCGGAGCGTTACTTTAATAGATTTCGATCGACGCAGTTCCCGGTAGGACACCCTGTATACTAACACTAGCCTCTAACATGAATAATAAAATTTGTCCCTTGTTCAATTGTCATGGAGGATGACTATTTTAATAGTTTTTTTTTTCTGTTTGATTCCTAGTTTGTTCCAGTACTCATTCCGCTAATTATTTATTAATTTTCTTATTTAAATTTATTACTTTCGTTATTAGTAAACAGTGCTTCAGTTATTTTTTTGGGAAGGACTAACTAATTAAATTCAATAAAGATAATTGCGTATTAAGTTAACGTAACAATGTACTTTCATCAGATAGTATTGTTATATGATATCAATTAAAATGACGCATATACATAAAAAAATAACTGATGTTAAAAACACAAGTTTTTGGAGCATTTTCTGTTACATTTATCTTTCTATATATTTAACTGTAATTCAAATATCATTTTAAAAGCAAATGCAGTTTTTACGGGAGACAATAAACAACAAAAATGCAAGGGGCCATAGAAATTAATACATATTAATCCATTTTTTTAAATGGTAGTAAATAAAATGTTGGTGTGGAATTCAAGTATTCAAAATTAATAAAAAATAAAAGAATTTTCTTATTTGATGGCAAGTTTGTGTACTGAGTGAAAAAATTTGAAAGTGGATATTAAATAGGTACAAGAAAATTAGGCTTTTAATTTATACATAATATTATCGGCATTCCTCATTTGATTCTGTAAGCTTATATTATTTATACTAAGAATATTTTTAACATATCACTCATTTAATACAGTAATTTTTTTCTGTGGTGCCAAAGCTAGTTTAGTTTCGAGTTAGGAACTATGGTTTTTGTGTAATAACTAATTATGTTACGTAGAATAGTTCTTTGGAGTATGAATATGGCGTATGAAGAGTCCATCAAAGCATTTTGCTTACGTGTAACATAAAAAATTTTTCAGTACAAATTCTATAAATCCTTAAAAATACAAAATAATGCAGTGATCCGAAAAGGTGATTTTTTTTTAATTTGATTTATCAATTAAACTATTATATGTATATAATGTATTGTTTTAACTCATGATTTCCGAAAATTGAATATTAAAACAGCACTTTAAATTCGTAGGGTATCTGAAAATGCTTAACCTTTACCTTTAATACTGAGATTTTCCAGTATAAGAACTGCATCCTCATCTACAGTGCCATTTCGTTCATCTAGATTTATCCTAGCCCCGTAAAATTCCGGGAAACAGTCAATTACTTGATTTATCCCGTTTTCCCTTTGGAAATCTCGAAGTGTGGGTGCGATAACGTTATACATACCAATTTCGTTCTTAAAAGTCACTTGAATGTTGAACAGCGTTCTTTGAGACTCCCTAGCAGGAATCATTTTAGCCACAGCATGTAGTTCCTCTTCCGTACCATCTTTTTCGTCCTTCAGGGTTATATCCAATTTTAACATTACACTACCAAAGTTTTCTCCGGGGGCAGTCAAGTTGGTAATTTTCTTGTCTGAAATTATTTGACTCTTCTTAATGTAACCACTCAACACTTCTTGTAGCTTTTCTATCTTGTGTTCACTCATTATTAGGTACTCTTCAGAGGTATGTTCAGTAACAATTTGAATAAAAGTTTTCTATTAGCAGTAAATATACTTAAATAATAATTTTTTAACATTAATAGCACACTGTTTATTACTTTCTATCAACTGTTGAGTTTCATCTGAAACCCGATAAAAAACATTGAAATATCTTTAAAGCACCGAATATGATAAGATTTAGTAATGGTACTTACATAATATTTTATTCGATTGTTATCTACAATATTTGACAATATCTTATTTCAAACAGGACATACGTATTTTTATCATAATGTTTGCAATTTAACATCAAATTTTTAATAGACAATAATAATTTTAATTTAAAAATATTCTGCTGTACCTACCAACTTATTATAAATAGTGATACAGAATTTGATTATATTCTACGTCAGAATTATCAGTATAATAATTTGTTTACATATATGAACGGAAAAATATAAAAGTGATGTATACCTACAATTGCTTTTATAATGAATTTTATATCAGATGTTAAAGGAAATATAATACCGTACTTAGTGCGATTATGATTAAGCTTAACGAACGATATAAAATATGCTTGCTTGGTTTATAAGGCAATAACATTAAATAAACTAGCATATTTAGCAAATAAACTTGTTAAAAATTGTGATATACATGACCGTATGATTCGTCATAGAGGATTGCTGGTTATTCCTTGTCATAGGTCAGTGATGTTTCAGCGCAGTTTCTCGTATAATTCTGTGAACATTTTCATTTCCTGATGATGTCAGGAGAACCACGAGTCTTTACATGTTTCAGAAAATGTTAAAGAAGTATATTATGAACACACGTGATATTAATTAATTACTTTTTTACTTCATTGCGATTTAGTTAGGTACTTTTCTTTGTATATGATAATTTTAGATGATGGTTTTTCAATGGGTGGTTGTATGAGCAGCTCTGTTGGTTACCGCCACCTACTATTAATTATTTTTTGTAGGATATTTTCTTTTACTGTGAATAAAGGTATATTATTATTATTATTATTATTATTATTATTATTATTATGAAAAAAAATAGCAAATGCACAATACCATACCAAATCAACGATTTTCTCTTTATAAATTACCTTATTTTTCGAGGCATCAATTTTATTTTTATTTGAAAGAATTTAAAATATTTCTATTTTGTTTCCATTGCCTCAGTATACAATCAAATTAGAATAAACGTTAAGACGAAATCTTTAATTTGCTGCGCCTTCAAATACATTACCAGTATTGTCCAAACATACATTTTTACAAATTGTATAGGACTAAATGTCATCAGTCCTCACCCTTTTGTAGGAGTGCAACTTCCATAGCAGACGTTTTTGGAGAAGACCCCTTTACTTTTTGATAAGGAGTGACTCATTAAAGAAATGTCCTGTATGTTAGATTGTAGTGATTGGCTCCGGGTCTTTACTGAATAATTATTTTCATTCCTTTCTAGGTAAATAGTTTTTGCAGTTCGTCTACGGATATGCTGTCCAATTTTCCTATTTCGATGTTTGTATCATACTAGGAATATTGTAACTGTACACTTAAACAATGTAAATGTAAAAAACTTGAAAAATGTAACTCAACATACCTTTAAAGTTCAAATTTTCTAATATCAGTACCGCATTCTCATCCACAGTACACAACCTCATGTGCAAAAATTTTGAAAAATATCCAGTGGTACGAGGACATCAAATGTAGGTATTCCTTGAGTCAATAAAGCTTTGGTCTCGAGGAAATAGGTGAGCTTGGTATAAAAATAGGTTATAAAAACTAAAACAAATACGGTACTTTTCAAATTCGTTCATTTTGTTTACTGGCGGCCATATTTATTTTAACAATTATTCCAGAGTATCTCTCTAGGTGTTATAGACAATACTACGTATTTAAACATCTTCATAAGTAATAATCTTAAAGGTTAAATTTAGGTGAACGAGGCGGACAGATTATGGGCCTTTCTCGTCTAATTCATCTTCATTTATTCAATCAGTTTCTCACGTTTAAACGTTTCAAAAAAACAACTTACTGAATATTTTTTTGTTTATTTAATTTATTTATTTAGCAAGAACAGAGTTTTCCAGGTTAGCGGTTGCTCGTCTCCTGGCACCGTTGTTAACCATAGGAGCAGGAATAAAGACAACATCAAAAAAGAAAAGGAAAAATAGGAAAAAAGGAATGGGAAACCAAATATATGAAATGGGTTAAAGTTAAAATACAAAAAGAATTGGGTCGAAATGTAACAACGCGAATGAAATAATTGAAATAATAAATTCTGATAAAAAAACTATGGGTCGACACTTTTTGTTGACGGTAAGAACTTAGTAAAAATAAAGGACAAGGATATATGCACTATATAACAATTTATGTTATAGTGCTGTCTAGAATGTTTAGAGTACTTATGAAGAAAAAGCTTTAATTATTAGTTTCACTATTTAATGGGTATCGAAGAAACAAAACAAAGAGAAAATGACATCCAAAGGATAGGAGAGTACATATTTCTGATTAGAGCCGATGATACAGGAGACCCATCCAACTACAAGTGAGGATTTAGTGCCGTATTTAAATGGAATCTTTAAAGTTAGCATTGCTTGAAGATGTATATACCAGAGGTCTGGCAAAAGATAAAGGCAGGTTCAGTTTTGGAGGTCTTAATGAATCTATCACTACCAAAACCCTTCATTAATCAAAAAGAAGTAAAATGTGGATGGACTGCAATACTTGTTAAGAGAAAATATTCAAGAACATGATAGAAAGAGATAGACAATAATAAGTGAAACACGGAGCATGAATAAAAGAAAAACACCTGCTAGAAGCTTTTGAAAGAAAAGTTGCGAGAAAAATACATGGACGAAGGAAAGAGACTTTGGTGTTTTTTTTTTCGGGAAATAGAATAAACCTTAAGATAATATCGTATATGTACATAAATTTTAAATAGATAACATTTAATTAAAGCCATCCTCTCATGCCACTTGTATGGATTAGATTCCAGAATTTCTCTTTCATAGCCAGGTTTATCCATGCTTTTATTTTTCCCTCATCAAATGATGCTGAGAGATCGATTGCTGCGGAGTGCTTTTCCCCAAAAAGCATAAATATAAATTTAAAACAATGCTCGACTTCAATTGACGTCGCAGCTTTCATTTCTTCTAAAAACTTTGATAAACTAAAAGGAGCAGTGTCGCATTTCAACTTCTCCAAATGGGAAATGAAGTGTTTGTGATAAAATTCAATCAAACCGTCGAAATCGTCCTGTAGTACAGACTCCTGAACATTTATAAAGAGAAAGAAGAACAGATCTGTGGCTGGTGATCTATAGCCGCAGATTTGAAAGTCAACCATCTTGTTGCTAACAGGTACCTTGTTCTGAAATTTTATCATAGTATTATTTAACCATATATCCCCGTGTGTTAGCGTAGCGAATGGTTCCTTTGGCGGTGCATCTCGTGCTGCTCTTGCATTCTCCAAAATGTTTCTGACTTTTGGTATCCAAGGTATACATTTGACTGACTCTTGAAGAATTCCCGTGTACACTGAGTTGATTCCATTTTCGAATGGCATATGGTAAGGGCGGAATGGAGCCAAGTGCGGTCTGATATTTTTATCGAATACTTCTGGTTTCCTCAGTTTCAGAGCCAGCGGTATGGCATGGAAAGCTGCCAAGTCTTTGAGTATTAACTGGGTCGTGTCTAGGTCGAAGCCTACGTAGCGATCTACGCATCGATATCCTGAAAAAATGTGACTGAATTAGATTAATTAAGTAGATGTCCAGTAAATGTAGGTAGGTATGCCAAAAAGGAAATACATAATATTTATTTCTAGAATATTTGAAATAATTGGAAATATATGCAATTTTTTGCCCACCTTATTGCATATTTTATGTGTAATCTATAACGTGTAAATAATAATTTGATTGCACTACTTTCATTTCAATACGGTGGGAAGGAGTTTACTCGATTGGGTTTAACATTCGAAGGAGTCAAGGTAATAATAATAATAATGAAAGATTAAAAAAAATTAAAATGTTCCTACTTCATCTTCATAAGAAAAAGTACCAAAGAACTTTTAACTTGTTTAACTTATTCTCTTTAAAAAATAGATATTTTTAAAATAACTTGACAGTAGGTAGACAGATCAATTCCTGGCTCACTTCGAGGTCACCAAAACTGCGGATGTCATGTGTTCATCCGAAGCGACCAAAGTGGAGTTAGTTCGAGGTTTTGCTACCAACGCTATCTACAATATGAGCGTGGCAAAACCTAGAAGCTTCGTCCACCACCAACGCCATCTGCAATTTGCTGGCGGCAAAACCTCGAACTAACCCCACCTCGGATGGACACATGACATTCGCAGTTTTGGTAACCTTGAAGTGAGCCAGGAATGGCTCTGTCTACCTACTCTTGACTCATTTTTCTTTCATATAACAGAAAATAAGTATGTATTTACTTACTAATACTGCCATATCGCTTAATAGCAACTGAAAGTATTAGTAATACTACTAATATTTCAAGAGATGGAATTTGCTGCTACTGAAAGCTTAAAAAAACAGTAGAAAGTATTTTTTTCTCAAAAACGCTCATATTACGATGTCAATAATTATTAAATATGTTAAAAATTGTAGAAGAAAAGAAAAAAACATAAAAATACGTTACACAGGAAATTTCTTTTCGTACGAAAAAAGTACTTACTTCAGATAATCGACACTGTAAATATAAGAACTCTCGCATTAGATTAGATATATTCTTGTGTACAATAGATAAAAGGGTCTTATATAACTTAAGTCTTACGCATGTTTAAACTATCTAAAAATACACATGTGTCGATTCCAACACATCTTATTTGTTTATCGTTCTGCCTTATTCTATGTCTGTATCATAGTAGGAATAACTTTAACCTACAAAAATGTAACTCAACATACCTTTAAAGTCCAAATTTTCTAATATCAGCACCGCATTCTCATCCACAGTACCATGTTCTCCCAGATTTATCCTAGCACCGTAAAAGTCTGGGAAACAGTCAATTACTTCGTTAACACCGTTCTCCCGTTGGAAATCTCGAAGTGTGGGTGCTATGACATTATACATTGCCACTTCGTTCTTGAAAGTTACTTGAGTATTGAATATCTTTCTTACAAATTCTTGTTCAGGGATCATTTTGGCTACAGCATGTAGTTCCTCTTCCGTACCATCATTTTCGTCTTTCAGTGTTACGTCCAACTTTAACATTATACTACCGTAGTTTTCTCCGGGAGCAGTCAGGTTCGTAATCTTCTTGTCCGAAATTCTTTGACTCTTTTTAATGTACCCACTTAGCACTTCCTGTAAGTTTTCTATCGTATGTTCGCCCATGATTATTAGTTTTAATTTCTGTTATGGGTACAAATATTATATTTTTAGAAATATTAAATAGTAAGGGTATAGCGTTCCCTTTGTTGTGCTTTTTTTTACGTGTTACCTCTCGTGTGAAACTTGATACTACATTTTTTATTACAAGTAATCCTTGAAAATGATAAGATTTTAATTTATCGTTTTAAATTATTATTGTTGAGTACAGCAGTGACGGATACAACGACTAATTTTGAAGTACCTGTCTACATTATTTAATACTTATACAAAGTACCTAATTGGTTTTGTATTCCATCCCGTGGAAAAAAAATATATGTATCTCTGTACATTTAAGATTTTTGTGTTCCTTGTTTAGCAGTTTCGTAAAATAATAAAATTTTTATGGCTAATTACATTAAAAAGTGGTCTCAGTCAAAATGAGCTTTTAATATGTGTTTTATTGACATGCCGTCTTCAGTTTAATCGATTACCAAGGTGACTACTCATTTTCTTCAAGTGTTTCTAACTCTTATGCGGTTGAAGAGTAAGTCTTGCAACCCTTAGGCGGCCTGCAAATATACTGTAAAAAAATTTTACTCAATTTCACTAAATATTACTCAATAATGTATCAATTACCACCCTGATAATCATGTGAGGTGAAGATAATATTGCCATATTGCCATAAAATACATACTTACTAAAAATTCATCCATTTGCAGGTAGTCTGAGGGTAGCAAAACCTACTCTTTAACTGAATAAAAAATATTGATACTTGAAAGAAATGAATAGCTACCCTAATAAATATGAGCGGTTCATATAAATAAAACATATAGTAAGGGTTCATATATTTGCAAGACGTCTAAGGGCTGTTCTGTTTATGTTTCAAAAATATTTAGTGTAGCAAATTTTTATCTCTTCAGGTGTTTAGTTTTAGCCTGTGTGTGAAAGACGATCATTATCTAACTTTTGAAAACACTTCCTTATATGGCCGTGTTTGGTAAAAAGTAAACTGATAGGATAGAGGAACGCACAAGGGAACACCCCTGTGAACGGAAGAAAACTGAAAGCTCGGGAAGCAACGGGATCATTCAATTGATGAAAATAAAATTGATTTGAAACTATCAGAGATATTTGGCCAATTGATTCGTGAACATACACAATTATGTAACAACTTTAGTGGTCGAGTGGATCTGATACTTTGAAAACAGTTTGAGACTCTTGCAGAAACAAACTTGTTATTGTTTTGACTCCTTTGACAGAAAGGTAGTGTACAGGTTGCTAGGTTTGACAGTGGCGGACCGTTAGTTCCTATTTTATGACTTGTACAACTGCTCCCATATTTTATTATTCGTAGTCGTAATAAACAGTGTCACATCACCCGTTTATTATTTCGATGAAGAAAACGTATAGAAATCTTCGCATGATTACCAGATTTTTTGAACCCACAAGCAAGTACCTCTATATTTTTTTTTGTTTAATTATTCATTAAATATCTTAATATGTACTCCCATGGATTATTGTAGATTTTGGTAAATTAACTCTTATCTATTAGTTATTAACTTCACGTTGCTCGATGAAATGAATGACATGACATCTTCGATCAGGATCTGATTAGTGTATTATGTACCATAAATAACAGCTGAATCATTTAATAGTACATACATTATATAGCAATATTTTATCTAAAACAACACATACGTCCTTGGACGACGTGAATTATCTTTGATTTTAGAGATTTTAAAATTAAAGAAATTATATTGGTTGATGTGATAATATTTGCCGTGGTTTGTTAAATTATACGAGTGCACAAAAAAGCGCGTCCAAAATATTTAATAAAAAATATATTGAATATTTTGTTTTTCTTAAAATACGGGAAATAAAATATCAGCAAAAACGTAGTCATTTCGTTTATTTATATAAAATCGTATAAATGAATAAAAAAATATATACTTGTACAAATATTTTATTATTGAAATGTTTAGATTTTTATATTCCTTACGTGACACAAATAAATACAATCGAATTGGAGAATGTGATTGGATGGCTCCATCACATCCTTTTCAAAATGCTTTAAGCCTAGTTTCGTCAGTCCTTATAGCATTGGCTATAATCTTCGTACTTCTGTTGAAATTGCATTGTTCTATTTTCGCAGAAAAACTAGTTCATGTATTAATTAAAAGCGTAAAGCAGATCAAACACATGAGAATGTAATTCACTTCCTACTTTATCGATGACTGTGTCGAGATCTGTAACTTCACTTCACTTTTTTTGAAAAAAAAACAGGAATAAAATTGTATTTTGAAATTAATACCAGATAAAGTGATAGTGTAAAGTGTGTGAGTAGAATTAATGTTTCTATAATTGATAAAAATCTTAAATATTACTTAATACTACGAGATAGTTATAATGTTTGTAAATAAAACTTGTTACACTGATCCAAATTTTATTTAGTTATTTTAATATCTTTAAAAGTAGGCATACGCTGACTCAAATAATTTAAGATTAATTTGGTTTGAGAGTAGTTTTTTAAATTAAAATAATCTTATAAATGTTTTTGTTTGTTAAAAAGTTTTATAAGTTCTAAGTTTTTTTTTTATTTTATTCATTACCTTGCTTTCAGGTATTTTATTAGTTGTGACATCGGTTGGAATTCGATAATATTCTCGTATAGTATTCGCAATATAAGCATATTCTTTATTATTTGTGCACCAGGTATATTGAAAGACAAATTTTATTTTCGCAAATCATTTGTAATCCTTATAAACATGACTATGAATTAACTTACCTCTTATCTATTACCATAAGAATAATTTCACTTTTACGTCTAGTTTACAATTATCACACAGTTAATATACATCAACATACTTCAAAAGTTAGAATTTTCCAATATAAAACTGCAGTTTCATTCTCAGTATCATTTTTTTCCCACAGGTTTAGGGACTTAAAACCCTGGAAAACTTTCTTGTTGAAAATCTTGAAGTGTAGTTGTCATGATGTTAAATATAGCATGTCATATATGTGGGTGATTTGCTATAAATGCCCATTAATTTTTTTGTTACAAAGAAACCAAATTTAAAAGCTTTATGTGCGTCCAAAAATAGTACGACACCGAAACGCTGTGTTTTTCTTAAAGAAACAACTCCTGTACTATTCTGATTTTTAATATACAAATATTTCTGCCGTGCTGTATTTTACTGTTAATATGATATTAGATTAATCATTCTGAATTAAAAATAAACTTCGACAAAGATTTTTTTTTCTAATCTATTGCATAAATGGACTAGTGTCTATCTAGAATCACCAAACAACAATGTGGGGTCAATTCTCCCTTTGCTATGAAGGATGAGTAAACTTACTCACTATAAATACTTATTGCACCCACACAAAGTTTACAACCCTTAGAAAATTCACGTGAGAATCACATTCGATATCTAACGAGACTCGAAACTCTAGAAATTTCTTTTCTCTCCGTTAAAAATCCCAAAAAAAGTGTTAGAAAAAGTCACAAGCCATACCTTCGATATTTAAAATACTTTTCAGAATAAGCCTTGTAGTGCCATCTATCCATGAAAAACGGACGCTAGATAAGAAGTACAGAAAACTACCATGATAAACGTGAAACGTCCGATAAAGCGGGCGACAAAATAACTACTGCCGGAATTAATTAAAAACCTAGGAATAAACAAATGCAAATTGAAACAAATAAACAAATTGCGAACTGAATTAAAGTAAGCACTACATTATTAAACTCTAAATGGATTCCTAAATATATAAGATACCTAATTATCTAATATTTAATGAGAACATAACATAACAGAAGAATTTAAAATCTTTATTTACTCTAACTGTAATTCATTCTTTTCTTTTTCAGATACCCAGGACCTAAAGGATGTAACATGAAGTAGAGATATTAAATCATCACCAATAATGCTGCGAAATTATAAACATGTTGTTTACCAAAATGAAATATACTAATACTAAAAAAATAGTTGTTTTAGAATATTTTGGTACATCACAACACTTGTGAACGCCAGGGTTGTTACCTGGTGGGACGAACATGGAAATCGGACAACGTATATTATTGCAACAGCACCTGCGATACCGAAGACGAACGTTAATCCACACCCATGTGTTCTCAAAAAAAGTGATGAGCCTTGTATGGAAATAGTGTGCAATTTGTTTCTCTCTTCTCTATGTACTTGTCTTTTCGTTATTCCAGAGGCCATTTAATTTTGTCTACTCAAATAAAATTGCAACTAAAACAGGCAAGACAACATTTACGGGGGTAACGAGAAATCTGGAAATAATTTTTGTTTTCACTGAAGTGGAGTTAAAATTGGGAAAAGGAATGGATGAAAGATGGTTGCCTATCTATGCTATTAATGAGAACTAGAATATTATTAAATTTATTTACAGAAACTGATATACATAATCACATAGGATAATTAAGTCACACTGTACAGAGTGGACAGTTTTCACTCCATTTTTTGTTTCCTGAAAGCTAGTAAAAAAAATAGTTAAATACGATATTTGATATTAACTTGAATCGTCTGAATTTGGAAGAATAATTTTGTATGCTTTTCTTCAGAAATAAATGCATATATTCCTTATGTTATCATTTAAGGAGAATATAAAGGTTTTTTCGCTAAAAAAAGTAAATGAATTATAAACTCCATATCACAAAAATATTTACTTCACTGGGTTTTTTGAAAAATAAGTAAATAAAAATATTAAATAAATGAAAAAGTTGTTAGGTATTACGAAATATTGACGATAATGAAAAATGTTTTGTATTTTTCAAACGAATCGAGATACCAGAAAGTGGGTTCCATTTTTCTATATTTTCTTTAATTGGACTCGAAACTGTTTTAACTATTTTTTTCTCTTCGGGAAATATAATAAACGCTCCAAAAATGCTGCATATCGCCCTGTACATAATTTATTAAAAGAGGTCATTTTATTGCAGCCATCCTCTTGTGCCACACGTATGAATTAGATACCATGCTTTTTCCTTTGCAAGTGGGCTTATGTTTGCCTTAATTTTTTCAGTTTCATTCATCGCCTTCAGATCGAAGTCTTTCGAAGAACCTCCCTTTTTCCCAAAAACTATAAGCATCAGCATGAAGATAGTGTGTAACATTTGAAGTGACGTCTCAGCTTTCATCTCTTCTAAAAACTTAGGTAAACTAAAAGGAGCAGTGTCGCATTTCAACTTTTCCAAATGAGAAATAAAATGTTTGTGGTAAAATTCGATCAAACCATCGAAATTGTCTTGAAGCACCGACAGTTGAACGCTTGTGAAGAGAAAGAAGAACAGGTCTGCGGCTGGAGATTTGTAGTCGCAAACTTGAAAATCAACCAATTTGTTGCCAATTGGTAGCCCGTTCTGAAGTTTTATCATGATATTATTTACCCATATATCCTGATGGGTTATGGTTGAGAACGGTTCTCTTGGTGGTGCGTTTTGAAGTGTTTCATTGTTTTTAAAGATTTCTTCCACTTTTGGAATCCAGGGTATACAGTTGGATGACTCCTGAAAGATTTTAATGAATGTTGAGCGGACTTCTTCATCGTGAGGTGAAGAGGGTGGGTGTAATGGCTCCAGATACGGCTTGATTTTGCTTTCGAACACTTCTGGTTTCTTCAGTTTCAGAGCCAGTGGTATGGCATGGAAAGCTGCCAAGTCTTTGAGTATTAATTGGGTTGTTTCTAAGTCGAAGCCTATGTGGCGATCTAGGACCTGATATCCTGCAAAAAGTTACACTAAATGAAATACTTCATTGGAAAACGCAAAGCAAACAAAATTCTTAGATATCAATGTTTATTCATCAGATACCACTCACTCACGTGTAAAACGATGAGTAAAAAGTTATTTTTTTTGTGGAAAAGGTACCACGGTTTCTATTAGCTTTATTTTATAGAACTGTTCGTTTTTTTTAAGCATACTGATAATATTTTTATTGAATAAGATTGCAGAAAACATCTATTCTGTAGACCGTCTAGCATTGAATTATACCCACAATATCAATATGGTCAATAGCTTTCTAAGTGTTAAAACTGATTGTTGTGCTAACGATCTTAGATATTTTCGAGATATTGCATGTATAATCCATTACAACATTATTTTACAGAGTACTTGTTTCCTGTTACCATTAATAAATTAAATTTTGTGCTATTTATTATGTTTGGTCTTGCTTTCATAGTACCATCAGATTTGTAGGTTGCTCGTTGCGAGCACTGAACAGCAGTCACTTTGACTGATAATATTGTTTAGTTCTGATATTATTTGAATGTCATAATATTTTGCATACTTTCCTCAGTTTAATTCTGAGAAAATTGAGAAAGGTATGACCAATCCAACTTTTTGTATAGTGTTTTCACTATACTCGCAACACCTAGTGCAACAGCTAGGATCGTTCGTCATCAGTTTAACCCACTAGGCACAAACCGGTTTCGGACTTATTAATCCTCATCGGTATGTCATAGGCGAGAAAAAAATAATAATAATCGCGTAGAACTTCTAGTGGTCCAAAAATTAAGTACTTACGTATTAAGTTGATGTAAAAACGTATTTTCATCAGATAGTATTGTTATATAGTATCAGTTAAAATGCATTGATATCAAGAAAAAAAAACTAATTTTACTATAATAGTTCCTTCGCTTATCTAACTATTAACAACTGATACCAAAAAAATAAGAGTTTTTCGAGCATCTAATAATCTGTGCAATTATCTACAGGATGGGCCATTAGTGTGAGAAATAACTCCCTTGTTATTCATAATACAGAAAAAAAGTTTTTATAAAAGTTGTACAGAATCAAAAAACCTAAAGGACAAAATTAATTTGAAACACGATGAGTAAAAACGGGACACGCCAAATATTATATTTTTTAAATGGAACACCCTGTATGTTTTTAAACATATGGATTTCTGATAAAATTCTATATACGGCAATATAAACAGTTTAACATTTTAGTGCGAGGTTGCCAAGTTATGTAGAAAATTCTTCGAATTTTGGAAAAACCATGACCTCGAAGGAGTTGTATTAACTTTCAACTACTAACACTTGGAGCAAAAATATTTGACAGAGTTATCGGCTAATGTTAGGGAAAGACTTCTATATTAGCTAATATCGATATTTTATACAGGGCATTTTTTATAATACGATCATTTTAAGAAAGTTCAAACTTGATTTTCAAAAATTTTTCAAATGGAACACCCTGTATTTTATTGTTCTATTTTATTCACAAAACAGTCCACTTCAACTTTTATTAAGTACAGTTTCGAATTAAGAACTACGGTTTTTGTGTAATAACTACACAGTTATACATAAATACGTATAAGCATTTTGCTTACGTGTATTATAAAAAATGTTTCAGTACAAGTGGCATTTTTAGGATGACAAATTTTCAATAAGTTCGAAAAAGTGAAGTTTCCCTCTCATTAAATTTTTCAATTAAACTATTATAATATTATTGACTTGACTCATTATTTACTAACACTGAGGATTAAAACAGCACTTTAAATCCGTAGGCTATCTGAAAATGCTTAACCTTTACCTTTAATGATGAGATTTTCCAGTATAAGAACTGCATCCTCATCTACAGTGCCATTTCGTTCATCTAGATTTATCCTAGCTCCGTAAAATTCCGGGAAACAGTCAATTACTTGATTTATCCCGTTTTCCCTTTGGAAATCTCGAAGTGTGGGTATGATGACGTTATACATAGCAATTTCGTTCTTGAAAGTCACTTGAATGTTGAACAGCGTTCTTTGAAACTCCGTAGCAGGAATCATTTTAGCCACAGCATGTAGTTCCTGTTCCGTACCATCTTTTTCGTCCTTCAGGGTTAAATCCAATTTTAACATTACACTACCAAAGTTTTCTCCGGGAGCAGTCAAGTTAGTAATTTTCTTGTCTGAAATTATTTGACTCTTCTTAATGTAACCCCTCAACACTTCGTGTAGCTTTTCTATCCTGTGTTCAGTCATTATTATCTTTCAGAAGATGAATATTAAGAATTTGAATAAAAGTTTTTTATTAGCAGTAAATTTACTTTAATAATAATTTTGTATATATATAACATTAAAAACACAGTATTTATTACTTTTGCAGGTCTATCACTCGTTGCGTTTCATGTGAAATTCGATACTAAACTTTTAATTATTTATAAAGCCTCCAATATGATAAGATTTAGTAGTTATTTTATTCAATTCTTATCTACAATATTTGACAATATTTTATTTGAAAGAGGACACACATACTTTTATTATAATGTTTTCAATACCTTCTTTATTTGTTTTAATTAAAATTTCAATTAACATCTAAATTACAGTAAACCATAATAATTTTAACTTAAAAATATTCTGTTATTGTACCAACTTATTACTAAATAAGACAGAATTTGATTATACTCGTATTTTGCGTCAGAAATATCAGTAGATACACGGAAAAATATAAAAGTGAAATATTCCTGTTATCTACGATTGCTTGGATAATGAATTTTATATCACATGTTAAAGTATAATACCGTACTTAGTGTGCTGTTGATAAAGAATAGCATCATATGCACAATACCATACCAATTCAACGATTTTCAGTTTATAAATTACCTTATTTTTCAAGGCATCAATTTTATTTTTATTTGAAAGAATTTAAAATATTTCCATTTTGATATAAAGTTAATTAGAGCTTAAAATATTACTAAGAATTTACGCGTTGTCTATGAGACATCCATCCATCAAGCTTTGACATAAGCCTACTTTCAGAAAAGTCACTTATTTTGTACACCGTAATATTGTAAGAGTTCAATTAAAAGCCTTTTTTAAAATAAATTAAAATTGTACATTAGAAATTGGAGCTCGAATGATAGAAAACCTGACTTTAAAAAAATTAGAACATAAAATGTAATAGGAATGCAGCATAACTAGCGCCCTCTATAAACTATCCCAAAAATAATTAGACCAGCGTGTTTGGCATCCTCAAAAACCCGGGAACACCAAATTTCATAAAAATATTTCGCACCGTATGGAAGCTTTCGTAAAAATTCTATTGAAAAAAAATTATTTTGTCGCTCTGTATCTCGAAGACAAGAGGAGATAGACATATGGTTCACAAGACAAAAAATTCTTATTTTTTGTCGTACTGTCACCCTCTGTATTTACGGGAGGTCTTTCTGAAACACCCTGTATATACCGTAACACACTAGTAGTAGTAGTAGTAGTAGCAGTAGTACAGGGTGATTCATTAATAATGGGACAGAGCTTAGGGGCATGTTGCTGACCTCAAAATAGAGCGAGCGATTAAACCAAATATGCCTTATCCGAATGTTGCTCCTTTTCGATCTACAGGGTGTTAAAGTTGAAAAAATATTTTCGATTTTTTTAAATATCTTGAGCATCTTTGAACGGATTGTCTTGAAAGTTTGTACAACTATGTTTTCTGAGGTGGTAATTACGGAAATGGTAACTATTTTGCAATCACATCTAGGATGCGCTAGTTGTAGTGTTCTGTCGGAGTAAACATATGTCAAACTTTTTGTCCTTCAAAAATCTGAATTTCCAATAAGAAATTATTAAACTACGTTCAATTCTAAATAAAAAAGATATACCTGTTAAAAATCGATAAACTTAACCGTTTTCGAAATAAGGATGATTTACTATTTCTTTACAAAATTATTTGTTTGAACGTACGCCTACTTTAACACCCTGTAGATCGAAAAGGAGCAACATTCGGATAAGGCATATTTGGCTTAATCGCTCTATTTTGAGGTCAGCAACATGCCCTTAAGCTCTGTCCCATTATTAATTAATCACCCTGTATAATCTATCTGACAGAGGATAAAAAACATTTACTGATTCGTAGTTTTGTGAGAAAAATGTTTCACAATTCGTCTAACCATCTTTAAACAAAATTACTACGACAAATTCTATTCGCTAGAAATATTCAGGAGCAAAGGCATATGGCAGAACCTCTCATTCGACAAATAACCGGCCGACAGCAAAACGAGGAGAAAGTGTATAATATTTAGTGGTGAAATAAACGTCGGTTTTGCATATCCGGAAAGCCGAAGAAGTTTACGAGGTGTGAGAGACCACCCGCGATGAGACGGCATCCAATCGGCAAAGAGCCCGACCCATTATAAAATTAGAAAACATTCGGGTGCGCGCAATAAAGAGATACATAAATAAGTAAATAGTAATGTTCTAGAAATTCGAGTGTTTATTTGTGATCCTGTGTGAACATTAAACGTTACACAAACAGAGGCAGTAGTTGAATAAAGCTGCCCCTATGCGAGGGGATTTATGTCATTTAGTTTACGAGGCTTTGATGCCCGTTTTCGGGCGACGACGGCTTTTTAAGTGACCATTTTTATTACACGTTTTAGTTTGCATGGGAAAGAAGCGGCTCATACTTCGGTTTTTTCATTTCTAACATCTCAAAAAAATCCACCTTCCTTGCGACTTTCTGAGCTGCATTGTATTTGGCGGTACGCTCTGTTGTAGGATTACAAATAACTGGTTTACCAGATGCTTCGTACATTCTTTCGGAAACGACTTACTTTTTATAGAAAGTAAGTTAAATATTATGACATAAGTATTAATAAAATAGTAAGTCGTAAGCATTTTTCATACTTACCTTTTAAAACGATCCTCTAGTTATAGGTAAGTGTAGCTTTGCTCAGTTTAGTACATACAGGGTGACCAAATGAAAACGAAACAGAGGCATTTTCAAGAACTGCGTCAAGATTGTAGAAAAACGCTCAGACTCGTCGATTTTATAATGAAGGAATTCTTTGCTGGTATTCTTGACTCCGCCACTTTCACCCCCAAGCAAGGGTAAGCATCACCCCAAAATATTTAAATGGCATTGGGGGTTGAGTAATATTTCTATTGAAAGCTCTTACAATTCTCTTTACAACAGACTTTAAATTTTATAATTCCGCCCAATACTTCTAGTATTATTTGGAAACGTTGGTTGGTAGTTTATTTAATTGTGTTTTTGAAAATTAAACACTATGGTTTATTCCGCTGCGGAAAGGGTAGATATCATTTCGCATTACTTTATGAATCGAACTAGCATACAAACCATTTTAAAGAAGAATAAATTCCATCCATACAAAATACATTTAGTCAAGGAACTTCATAAGGATGATTATGACCGTCGTTTGCAATTTTGCGAAATAATGAGTGAATGAGCCGGGAACTATCCACAGTTCCTTTTTAACATCTGTTTTTCTGATGAATGCAGTTTTTTCTTGAACGGGACGGTAAATCGTCACAATTGCCGCTATCGGTCCGATTCAAATCCAACGTTTTCTACGGAATTGGATTGGGAAAAGAGGCAGCATTAAGTGGTCTCCACGATCACCGGATTTATCGCCCCTTGATGTCTTTTTGTGGGGATACCTGAAAAGTAAAATCTATAAAACACAGCCAGCGTCGCTGGAAGATTTGCGTCAAAGCATCGTCGACGAATGCCGTCGAATCACTCCAGAAATGCTTCGGAATGTGCGCGAACGTTTCGAACAAAATCTTTATTCTTGTATGGAAGCGGGCGGTCATCAGTTTGAACATTTAATCAACTAAGTAAGTAAGGAACTAAACATCATTTAAATTTTAAAATGTAAATTTTTTTCAAAGTATTGGGCGGAATTATAAAATTTAAAGTCTGTTGTAAAGAAAATTGTAAGAGCTTTCAAAAGAAAGAAATATTACTCAACTCCCAAAGAAATTTAAATATTTTGGGGTGATGCTTGGGGGCGAAAGTGGCGGAGTCAAAAATACCAGCAAAGAATGTCCCCCTTTAATCTAAAATCGACAGGTCTGAGCGTTTTTCTATAATCTTGACGCAGTTCCTGAAAATGGCTCTGTTTCGTTTTCATTTGGTATGTCAAACTAATGCCGGTTACATTTATAAATGAAGACATTATAGCGCATTTAATAATAACGTAATAAAAGGACAAAAATTTTGAAAAAAATTTTTCGAATTTTCAAAATGTTGTACAGCCTCAAAAAAGCATCTGGATACTTGAAAAATTTACTAGAAACCGATCTATTAAAAAAACACAAAATTTGATGTTATACACTTTGATAAATGTAACCTGTCAAACATGGCAAAACCGACTTATTTTATTCAAAATGGGGACTATTTCCATAGTCCATAGGCCGTTTTATGAAAAGCAAAAATTTACAAAAACTTTTTTCTGTTAATTCTTATGATTACTCAAAAACTGCTGACGGTAAAAAATTTTAAACTGCAAATCTGAAAACTAGGCACTTGAAGCTTCAATTTCCTTTTTTTTATTCTCTCTACGGCCATTTCCCTCCAATTTACAGCACTTTGAAAATCACCCAAAATTTTGTGATTTTTTAAACATCCTTTAATTTCTGTGCCTAGTGTATTACAACATGGCATTTTGGAAACCTTTTGTAACGGAACAAAACGGAATTTACCATCAATATAATAGAATTGTTTGAGGACATAAATAATTGAAATATGTTGGTCAAATGAATATATAATAGAAATTTTGTACACAATATACACAAATTATTATAATTTTTTACCTTTAGCAGAAAACTTTTTTAGGGACGCCTATGAAACTCATTAAATTTTATTGCTAGGCGTTTTTATACATATTCAATTGACTCCGGAAAGACTATATCATGTGAGCTAACTATTTCTCAAGTGCTTTAAGTAAAACAAAATATGTAACACTGACCCTCTCTATGCCCCACCGACAATGTTAGAGCCTGGATAAGCTTATTTAGTAAATAATAACATAATTCTCCGATCAGTTCTTGTTTCGACCCCAAACTCTAGCAAGCGGTCAGTAGCATGTGTTTTATTACTAAAATACTGAAAGAACTTGCAGAATTGAAGCACTCAGACGTGTTCCAACAGCTCTCATTTTGAAATATACACAGCGTCCGTATTTACAGGCGTTTTATTCAAGACACTGGCAAAATTCTCAAAAAATTCCAGGTATCATAAATAAACAAACACTGGACCTACAAGTGGACACAAAAAGAACAAAATTTTAACACGCTCGAAATGCGCCCTG